TTCAGACCCGTTTTTACCAAAGTGGGCTAGCCCCCCTATAGTACGGGGTTAGCTGGCCCTGCAAATTAGCAGGGCTAACCCCGCAATTGTGGTGCAAACTCCTGCTAACACCGCAATTGCAGTGCCAAGCAAATGAATGAGAACAGAAACAAAAAATATCGCAGCTGGCCAGATGCAAAGTTAGGAGCCCACTGTCCAATCCACTAGTCCGGAGCTAACGAATTGCAGTGAGAACAGCGTGAATTTTCTTATTCCGGAATAGTCGCTAGTACGGGACTAAAAAAACAGCATGTGTGAAAAGCCAAAAAAGTTAGTCCGGGGTTAAGGATAGTACAGGGCTAAGGAAAGTACGGGGTTAAGCAAAACCAGTGTGAAAAGAGTAATAGTAAGTAAATATAGTTCATATCATACCTTACATGTATACGAATATACCATATCCTATAGAATACCGAAGTGCTAACCTCATATTCCCTCGTCGTCAGGTTACTGGTTCCAAACAACAGAGTCCTCACATGAGGTTCACCGCGACATCATTCAAGCAACGGGCTGGAGCAGAGCAAATTCAATGTTTGGCCCTCGTGTGATCACCACACTATTGTTTAGCACAAAACCAGTTGCGGTTGAATCCGACACTGCAACAGATGCATCAATCAGCAGGGCAAATTCAATGTTTGGCGCTGGGTGTGATCAGTCACCACACCACTCTTTAGCATAACATTTTTTTAAACCAGCAACCTTGCCACCTTGGCAAATACGACGTCACACTTTGGTACTCTTATTCATTTTCATTTGTTCATGGACCAATTGATGCCAAAACTCACAGACACATGGATGTCAACTTCCCCAGATTCCGTTCACACAATGCAAATTTCTCAACAGCAGTACGGATCATTAATCACCATATTATTCAGTATTCAATGCTATATGAGCACCCGCCCCTCTTCACTTTTCGAGGCAGGAGAGCAAATAATAAAATGCAGCCAAAAAACTATAGTACAGTGACAATCAAATACGTCCATAGCAACTGCCCAAGGTAAACGCACAAAAAGTGGTCTTTGTAGACAGGTGGTCACTCAAGCAGGTTTGACTACACATGTATTCCAAGATATCTCAGAGTGAGGTGGTAAATATTGGTTGATGTTGCTTAAAAATGAAACTAAATTCAATTTTCAAGAACCAATACAATGTTCACACTGATCGTTGAGAAAGCTCTTTTATGGTATTAAGTCTGTATGTGTAAAGGTCATATTTTAAGCTGGAATATTTGAAAACAAATTTAATATCCTGAGAGTCTGTTGACATACATAGTCTGCTATGCAATTCTTAAGATGAGAGCAAATATAATAATAATACAAAGTCCTCATTTCCCTAATCATGTATGTATCATGATACTGTGCTGCTTATCACAATATACCAGGGATGTACCAAGAAGCAGAGTGGGTTTTCTTCTTCACTGCAAACATATCTATAAAATACATGTTGATAGAATTGATATTTGGCCTAGATACCTAGACAAATGATAAACCCAAAGAGTAGTTAAAAATATATAAATGGATAAGCTAATAAATTGTTGCCCTAATTGAGGATACCATTTCTGGGAAGTCCTAGGTATTAAATCAACATCACCACAAAGGACTTTGAGATGATACTTATAATAGGTCTATACAGAGGCTGTTCACACCGCCATGAGATGTGCGGTCTATCGTAGCACCCCCTTTTTTTTAGCGTGCGCTAGACCGCGCTATCTCTCGTGGACCACCCCCAAGAGGTGCTCCAGTGGCGCGCCGTTTTGGCTCGCCGTGGCTCGCTGTTGGGCGGACCGAAACGACGTTGTACCTTCCAAACCGCAGAGATAGCGCGGTCTAGCGCGCGCTATCTCTGCTGGTGTGAACAGCCTCACAGTCTCCCCGGAGTTTTACGGTGTGCGTGCATGTAGCACAATAGGTGTGGTTCAGAGTTCAGACAAACAGTTTACGGTTGCTGAACAATTCAAAAAATATGAACTCACAAACTTTATTATCATACACTGTAGGGCTTGTAATACCCAGTACACACAACACAATCCTCCTGCGATCCAATTTTCGAAGAAATGGTGATTACGTTAGATATGGAAAATCTGACAAACATCATCTTCCCTATTTAGGTTCTAAATGATGATTAGAATACCAACAACCTGGATGTTAGAATAAAAGTTGAATCTGCTTCAAATCGTAGTCAATCAGACTATTGGTCTGATGTCGCTACGATTCTGAGCAGGTTTAGCTCTTCTAACTTCAAAGAAGCTTGAAATCCCTTGAAATTTCGATATTTTTAATCTTATGACTACCGTATTTGCCGGCAATAAGGCCGCATCGCCGCATAGGCCGCACCCCAATTTTGACATTAAAAAAAAAAAAATGTCGGTACCGTAGTTGTATTTCAACCCTTCCCTACAAATGTTGATGTGACCAAAATCACCGCCTTAGACCGCTCGGCCATCCCGCACTGATACTACAGCTTGCAGTTTTTTCTCATGTATACATTGAGCCTCTCTCTTATGCATTGCGCCATAGGTTTGCTCACGCAATCGATAGGCTTTAGCTACGGCAAAAACCTAAATCTAGATCTACCAGTTGCGTTTGGTTGGTAAGTTATGAATTTTATTTACGAGATTGGCAAAACTTTGCCCTTCATTTAATAAATATAACACGTAATGGTCGGTAAGACATGTGTTATTCTAGACAATTATTCTAGAAATGTCCATCACCTTTCATTGTTGTCCCATATGTACAAATTCGTGCTGTGTTTCATGGTTTTGACTTGCAAGTTTTTTTTTTTTTTACTCTTTCGCCGCATAGACCGCACCCCGACTTTTTGATATTTTCTCTTCCAAAAATACTGTGGCCTTTACGCCGGCAAATACGGTATTCAGATCCTTGATCATCAGGATCATGGATGCTAATTGCAAATTCTTTCAAAGTCGGATTGTATTCAGATCGAGTAGTGTGCGATTAGTTCAAAGAGAAATCCAGCCCAAATAGACAACTACTCTAAAAGTTTTAACATGCTTTAACATGCATTGAGATCACAACGCACAACATTTGAAAATTGGCATGAATTAGAGGCTCCCCAAAATTTATCAAAACACAGTTCACATTTAAAGCTGCTATCATTTAACATTTGATTTGTTTTTCTATCCCTCTCTTTCTCTCCTCAGCGTAGACTGTCAAATGGCTCCATTCACACTGGTCAGCTACAAACTGAACCTCAACAGGAAGACGACTCCATCTTGTGCTCTGAAGAGTGTTCAAGTAAGGAGCCAGCATAATGTGTCAATGGAAAAGAATGCACAACACTGGTCAGAGCCAAACCACTTGAAGACATCAGTGTGTCCATGCTGAAAACACTTCTCCAAACTCCTCAAAAGAGATTTCCTGCACAGCATGAATGTACATGTACAACTCCATCCAAGAAAGCCCAAAGAGCGGGAAGCGGAAACCAGAAAAGGCGTATGATCAGCTGTCCACCATGAAGAGACGACTCAAGACATTTCCGACAAATCACAGAGACTAAAGAAAAAGGTTGATTCTCTGCAGGAAGTAGTGAAGGCACCGGAAGAGAAGAATTACTTGATAGAAGAGGGGCGGGAATTGTTGGAAAAGACATGCGATATCCCAGCAGAAATAATGAAGAGATGTGTCAAGTCAAGGAGCAAAGATGTAACTTCCAATGAAAAGTATTCTCCTTCTCTGTGAGCTTTTGCCCTGACCTTAAACTTCTACTCTGCGAGGGCATATACAGTTACTATGATTTTTTTTTCCCAGACGAGAGAGAAAAAAAATCCCACAAACAAATAAACATTTTAGTGTACCTGATGGTTGCATCTAAGTGCACCAATTGCCAAAACAGGTTGTGCTCTTGATATCAGGGGTTCCATGCAACCATACTGCAATAACACCAATACTACAACGCTGATAACACCAACAACAAAAAACAATAACATACATGTACTGTATTCAAATACAAGCTTCAACTTCAAATATTACTGCTATTTAGAGATGTCCTTTATCACAGTTTAAAAAAAATCTCAGTAAAAAAAATGAAAACGACTTGTTGAGTTCTTTTCGAGTAGATTAGTTGACGCAGGTGTTGGACTGATATGCGCAAGGTTTTAATGTTATCCTGTATTTTCGTTATACATGTACTTGTACCCCTGAACTGATTTATAAGATGCCAGGTAAAAAAAGGATTTAGGTTGATTTTGTACATTCTAGCTAGATACATTTTCTTTCTTTTTTCTTCAGGAGATTGGTACAATTACAGTTTTCACCTTCACTGTACATGTAGCTCGAACCAAACCAAACATCAATCAAAAGGATACGCGTACATATGGACCACACATAGACCAACTATATCTTAGATCTGGGCCCCGTCTTACAATGATTTGCGATTGATCTAAATCAATCGTAAGTCCTCCAATCAATCGCAAGTTTGCAGTCTCCTATCTCTTATGTACAGAGTTGCGATTGATATCAACTTTTTGTAAGAGTGGGCCCTGCCCTTCTATATATATATTAAGATTTACAAACTGGTTTGAGAACTGTCAAAAGCAAAAACATTCACTAGATTGACTCTTCTCATTGAACACAGGATGTAGGTCAATTTGCATGAACATAAGTAGTCCAGAACAAGTGCTTACATCTTTGTCACAAAGAAATTGTCAATATCTTTTTCTACATGTAGGATGTTAATAAAACCTCATCAATTTGATTTTGCAATTAACATCATCAGACACATGGGGCATTCTGGGAGGTTGGCATGCTGCCGAATCCATTCACACACATGGTAAGGAAGATGTGTTGAGTAATTTGTTAATACATGTAGCTATTCTGTAATAGGAAACTCATGTCTCAAGTATGCAAATCTATTGAAAAACACTTATGCATAGCAATTTATTACAGATTTCAAGTACATGTAGCAGCACAGATGGAAAAAGTCAGGCTAAATAAAATAGTACTTACATTCAATGGAAATGGGTACGGCTTGGAAGGTGTCCCTGGTACTGGTACGTTGCTGTAGAAGAAAAAAAAGAAGATAAAAATAAAAACAATGGTGAAAATATATTCAATCTAAAGGTGGAGATTAACCTGAAAGGTAGGTGATGGGTAGTAAATGTGCCAATACATATTACTTCAGTGTAAATATAATTACCTAACGTACTGTAATTTAGTGTGGGCGAGAACGTCTAATAATTTATTAAAGCCCCTTATCATACTTCAAAAGCAGGCTGTTCGGTTGTGCTGCAACGCTTCCTTCAGAGCGCATACCTCTTCATTATTTAAATCCTTAAATTTACTCAAACTTCCAGATATTCTTTCTCAACGGACTTTATTATTTATGTACAAACTCCAAAATTATTTGCTACCAGTAACGTTTTATGACAGTTTTCATTTGAACTCGGATGTCCACTCCTTTAATACAAGAAAAAAAAAAAGACTTCCATAGAAACAAAATTCACTAACTCATTTTTGCAAAATAAATCAATTAGATATCAAGGTCCTCACAAATGGGACTCCATGTCAAGTTATTTAAAGGGTATTAAGAACCACAACGCATTTAAACTTAAACTGAAAAGAACAATACTTGCCACTTATTGATATATTGAAATACATAATTGATTCATATATTTTGTTAGCATGTAACATTATTATTAATGTATTGTATTGTATCGTATTTGATCGTATTGTATTGTATAGTATCTGTATGTTTTTATGTTTGGGGTTGCTCGTTTACAAGTTTTTAACTTATTTTAGCAATCCCGGTATTTATAATGATTTCATTTGTAATGATTTCATTTTGATGTTTTTTATCTTTTGCCAAATAATGTGTGAATTTTAATTTTGATTTTTGATAATTATGGTACTTGAAAGGGGAAAAGGAGACCAAAAGTAGTCTAAACTTAGTATACAGTAGTAACGTATTTTCAATGAATTTAAAATATAAAAAGCGGTTCTATTTATCAAAGTACAGGGCCAGGTTAAGATATGAGTATAAAACTGTGATTATTATGAAGAAAAAAAATCCTCTTTCACATCTCCGTTCAAATCATGTTTATATCTGAAAGGTATTAGAAGTGCTCACCCAATCCGACAGACTTCCTTCATGAGAGTGGTTGGTGTGTTTGCAGGCTGACTACCATCCGTGCTGTCTGAGCTGCTCTCCTGGGTATCCTTAAAGTCCCCTGCATTCATGCAGGCATCAGGCAGACTCTCACTGTCATCAAGGTCTTCATCAGAGCTCCCTTCCTCTGGCTCTCCTGCAGGGTCAAGAGTGTCTTCAAGCACTTCTCCATTTTGCTGGTCCTCCCTCGCTTTGGTTTCATGCAACGGAGAGGATGGTGGGTGTTCTGAATCTCGCAGTACAGGTGCCTCACCTTTTGGCTGAGGACATGTATTCTCTGACTTGTTGGACTTCAAACATGTTTGGGGGACACGTCCTGGTTGGTCGTTACCCATGACGCTTATTGTAGGAAGATCTCTCTCCAACAATTGCTCTTCATTTGAAGCTACATTTCCATCACCTCCCGATGTCTCCGTTGCCTTTGATCCATCACACCCATCTTCAGCAGGACTGTTCTCCGAATGACCCGGCATCAAGTCACAAGGATCTGGTTGGGATAGAAGTACTGTGTGCTTGGCATTTGCTGGAGAGGGACAGCCCTCCGATGATTCACTGACCATGCATTCAGCTAAGGTATCCATTTGTGGATACTCCTCTGTGGCCACTGTCTCTTCAAAAATCACATCCTCCACTCCAGGAATGTAATTTGTATCTCCAAATGGATACCCCTCTCCTGCAGAGGATCCAAAAAGTGTTGAGTCACTCTCATTCCCGTTGTTAGAGCATCCTGGTCTGTCTCCTTGAACCGCCGCCTGCAGCCTCTTCCCGATCCTCCGCTTCAGCTTGGAAATACTGCCAGAGAACTTGGGTGATGCTGTGACCTTTGACCTTCCATGAAGGCCCAGAGGTGAAGAGGAATCTCCTGGCTGGTCAGTTCTTGAGGGATCAGAGCTCAGCTCCTGAAAGAGATTGGCCACACCGGAAGCTACACCGGACGAGACACTGGATTCACTTAGAGCAGCAGAGTCAGACATAGCATGCCTGAGGGGTATGTCATACTGCAGTGGCGCTGCATGACTGTTCGAAACAGATGTTGTTTCTGGATCCGATGAGCTGCACAATGGAAACGCCCTTCTCCTTGGTTTATGCTTATGAGCTGCAGGCAATTAAAAAAAACAAGCCAAGCTCAAATTAAACATAATATGACAGATGGTGCAATTAACACAATCTGTAATGGTAAAATATTAAACCATCCTATCAATTTAAATAATGAAAGAAATATAGGGGCACAGTGGCACACACAATCAGCTCTCAATATTTTATAATTTATACACATGAAGGCATTATAATGTAAGGTTTGGTGACTTGATGTTGTAGACAAATAATTCTCCTTGATTCATTATAATATCACAAAGATATTTCTTCTAGTGTTGGTAAAAGGGATCCGGTAACTTTGTCTCAGATTCTGAAACAAAATTCTGGATTTAGCTAATAATGATAATTATAAACATTTAGGTCAGTCAGGAACCCCATGACTTTTACAAGCCGATCGCCTGTGTGATTATCAAGATATTTATGATTGGTATTACAAATTTTGAAAACCGTTCGCCTGACGGTTTTCATAACACTACAGTCTATTGGGGAAAACGAGTACATGTATGGTAAAACCGGTCACTCAAAGATTTTTACTTTTTTGAGGCACTTCTTGATCATTTTGAAGCGCAATTTTTTTAGGGCTTCAATATTACACCATATGACAGACACTGATAACACGTAGGGCCGTGTACATGTATCTCAGATTTAACATTGTTAAACGATCCCTTTAATGTTATGAGGTACTGTAGTTAAAGGGAAACTGCCTACATACATGTACTACATTACGTAATGAAAAGGATATACTATTATTCATGAAGTTGTTGGAATCAACAAAATGTACCATGTATTATGAAAAAATGCTGATAAACTGAATGCATGGTGAATAATCAACATGAACTTATGCACTATGCACATTGGACAAGCAAATATAAATTACTCTTGTTAGTTTAGGAGGTCTTATCTTCTCTGTATTTTTACCCAGCCATCATACATTTCTGTCAAAGTTGCCAGGCAGATATTTTAAGTTATCAAAATGTTAAATGGGTATTGTGAAAATTTCATATATTTCCAACATTACTAGAAATGAAGATAACCTTTAAAATATGTCATGGCTTTACTGACCTTTCTGTTTCTTTCCTTGGAGAAAATTGTGCTTCCTGGCCGTGTTGACGATGAAACTTGAGGACCTTCCTAACCTCCGAAGAACATCCTCTGTGAGAAATATGCTTTCGGACTTCAACTTTAGCCTTTTGAGAGGAATATGAACTGCTCTGGAAGATGCTTCAAGGCGGAGACCTTTGACGGACTTCTCGCGAAACTTGTGGAGATGGTGACTGCCAAGAGACTTCTTGGACAAATGGTGCACTTTGCGGAATGACAAGGTTATGTGCTTGTCACTCTGTTCTGAGCTGCTCTCCCTGCCTTTAAAAGTGCATGTGTACTGGGGTCGTTCCGGTGACTGTGCTTCCTCTAAGGGGCACTTTGCTGCTTTGGGCTCCGCTTTGGACTCCACTTTGGGTGATTCAGTAGTCTTTGACTTTGTGTTTAAAGAAGCATTGAAAAGTCTTTCTACCTTTTCTAGCGAGATCTCATCCATGCTGTTTGAAGATGAAGGATTCCCACAGGATTCCAAACTTGCATGGGAATCAACTGAAGACTGCTTGCTCAGTTTCTGTTTCTGTTTCTTTGGTGTTGCCGACAGTGAAGCTTTGAACAAGCGTTTTACTTTTTCTTCATCATAGTCACATTCAAATGATCCTTGTTGCAGGTTGCGACGTGAAAGATGCTGCTCTGAATCACTGCCACTCTGATGAGAATTTCTTCTGATTCTTTCCGGCACCCTATCAGTTATTTTACCGTCTGGGGTATGCTGTCCATTGCTCAAGTTTCGCTGTGCCATGTTCAAGAGTGCCCCGTAGCTAGGAACACCCTGGTGTGATGAAGATGGACTACTGTTTTTCCTTTGCAACTTTTTTCTTTTCTTCAAGTGCAAGTCTCTGCTGCCCCCACCGTGTCTTTTCTGGCAGCCACTACTGTCCACAGAGCTGTAGGACGATCTCCCTACAGGCTCCATTCCAGATGTTACACCACTGCTGCCATCGCTATAGATTCGTTTAGCCCAACCTGCCTTATCTTGGACAATAATGAAGCTTGCTCTTGCGTGATCTGTATTTGGTGAAAGAGTTTGGTCATGTGTCTTTTGCTTCACAGGTTTTGAAGAAGTTAACTGCTCATCTTCTTCTGAAGGAGTCGAGTTCAACACCCACAGCATGGTGTGTTTCTTTTTGCTGGCCAGGATCTTTTCTTCATGAGTCACGCCATCCATGATTCTACTAGATTCACTATGAGATCTTTGTCTCTTTGCCTCATGGGTTTTCTTCCTGTCTGAAACAGCATCCACCTTACCGTGTCTGACATTGGATTCGCTTTGATGTCTTGACCTGGGTTGTGGTACCGATTGTGATTTCCTGTTTCCTTTCACAGTATCTACCTCATTGGTCTTTGAAGAAGTGCCACTTCGATGTCTTGATCGCTCCTGTGACTTCTCTCTGTCTTTGACAGGATGCCCATGATGGTGCTTTGCGCTACATTCACTTTGATGTCTTGATCTTTCCTGAGATACGTGTGATTGTTCTCTATCTTTGCCAGTATCTCCCTTATGGAAGATGCTGCTCGATTCACTGTGATGTCTCCCTTTGGGATTGGACGAGTGGCGTGATTTAAATCCATCTCTGACAGTATCCACACTTGAACCAGGTTCAGTACGATGCCTAGACTGAGAATGAGACCTTGAATGTTCCCCTTGTTCTGTCACAGACTTTGCATGTATTGACGCAGGTGACCTGTAATTTAGGTGCATACTCTTTCCTCTTTCACTAGATAAAATCGGCTGAGATGAACTGCGATCTTTAGATTTTGGAGTACTGCTTGATTCTCGATTTTGTCCTCTAGGAGGAGTTTTTAATGACATCTCTCCTCGCTTGTACGTGTGGGTAGTATTCACAATCTTTCGCCTACCCGTCGTCTCATGTTCTGCTGGAGATGAATGATAATGCTTTCCTGGACTAGTTAATGGCTGACCTTTAAGCCTCGGGATAGATGGTTTCACAGGCGACGAGCTGCTGCATGCCTGTGATGTGGTCGACTTCATCACCGCTCTCTTCAAGGAAAACCCTTGAACGGGACTCCCTTGGACCCCCCTGGCACTACGATCATGAACAGAATTCAGACACGCCCCAAAAGAGGACTTGCTCATGGAACTCTGGTGAGGTTGTCTTTGCTCTCCATGAGAGTAAGGCAAATGAGTTCCCTTGCCATCACTTCCACTAGCAGATGATGGTCTCTTGGGGTTGCTTGAGGCATGGGGTAGCCGGTTGTTCTGGTGGGTTTCTTGAAGAATCTTCTCTCCAACCCTCTCTGTAGGAGGCTGCCTCCCTGACGAGTCCATGCTCATCGAGTGTCGCCAGCGCTGTAGCTTCCTACATCATGAACGTGGTACTGTTGAATCCTATATGATTTAACCTACCAGCAAAAATCATAAGAAGAGAAAAAGAGAAGAAGAAGAATAATTACTATTGCTGACCAGGGTTTATTATTCATAAAAATGATTGATTTGTTTAAACATATTTGTGGCTTACACCCAGTAAATAAGATCGATCTAATTTACTGGGTGTAAGCCACAAATATGTTTAAACAATTGAAATTTCTCCCAGGAAGCATTACATTTATAAAAACAATTGCTTTTCATTCACATTTTTTTTTCAGTTAAAAAGATTGAAATATATTTTGTTTGAAGTGCAAAGTCATCAATATTTTAGATGTCACAGTGGTTAAAATACTATTGGTTGAGATATGACTATCTGAATTAATATTCTCCCCATAGGAACTCAGTGTTATATGCTCTGGCTCCTAACCATAAGGAGCCAGAGCATATAACACTGAGTTCCCATAGGACAAATATTTATTCAGATGGTCATATCTCAGCCAATACTTAACATATTCAATTGGTTTTCGACATTTGGACATTATTTTTGATGCTCTTTCGGAAAATGAAGAAAAAATTGAGAAATTCTAAAATTAGATTTTTGATGACGTCACACTTCACCACTCTATTACCTATCGAAATAAATTCATTCGAATGGGCATATCTCAGCCAATACTTAACATATTAAATTGGTTTTAAAAATTTGGACATAATTTTTGATGCTCTTTCGGAAAATGAAGTTCAAATTTGGAAACTCTAAAATTAGTTTTTTTGATGACGCTGAGACGCCATAACACAGCACTAAGGGTGTGTTCAAGCGACATTTTTTCGCCCTAGTTTAAAACACGGTTGCGTTCAAGCAATTTCAAGCGATTTTGTGTCGGTCGTAAAAAAGTTGACCTATACTTCCAGGGTCAGACTGCACAGTGTGATGAGCAGTGGCTGGGCTCTCCCGCGGTAACCATGTTTTTTAACGGCGTTTTGATTTGTAATTCATGTTTGTGATTCTAGCTTCAAAATATCGCTTGAACGCATCCTAAAGCATTCCAAGGAATTTCTTCCTCCCAGGTACCCAGGTAGAGAGTGGCAATATGACTTGCAAAAGGACATTAATGAACCATGTGAACCATGTGAACCACAGTCCGGTGACATATACACAAGACCACATCTTCTCAATTGAACTCAATTATTCGATTCAATATTCAATTCAACCTGTCCTAATGTAACCAATTTCAGTGCATAGGTCTCAGTGAAGTGCCTCAAAACAAATTATTCCATTCACAAACATTAAGGCTTGTCCTACCTTACAACACAGAATTTATACATACCGGTAATGCATTCTGACTATTGAAATACAATTGTTTGCCACAGGTGAATGAAATAATTTGTAACGTGGCACGTAACAAAGAGTTATGTATTACATTTGATTACGTTACAAAATGGTTCTTTGTGTAAATTGTTTTCAGACAGGTCCTCTACAATGTTTTTTTTTTATCTGTAACCCATTGATTGTCAACTCGCTGTAATTCACGTTAATGTTAACTACATGCATACAAGTACTCGACGCCAGACACTTGAACCCTTTGCAAGTGTACACCATACAAAGATCGCTATCACTTCCTCAAACACAAGTGACATATTCAGGTTCACGTACATTGGAAAATGTATTTGATAAATTTTGCTTCACACAGGTAATATCAGGTATTTACTCGTACAGGAAGTAACTGACATGTGAGCATTCTTTTGTTGTTGAATTTTCCATTCTTCCAAAGAATAATCAATAATTGGGAAGTGTGGTGAATAACCACATTTTACAGGGAAGTATTAGTGTAATATTACAATTTATAACAAATACCGGTAGTGTAATTTTTCACAATGCAGTAGGTGTACATCCAGTTAGCCAAAAACAGTTTTGTGTCACCTTTTAGTGACATTCTATTTGCATCTTTTGATTCAGGAGGCTCTGAATTAAGAATTGCACATGAGCACATAGTGCCAAAATCAATGAAAAATTTAAAGTCCATTTCAGTGGCAGTACACTAAGTGATTTAATCACAAATTATCACCTCATTATTATTATTATTTCCATTTGCAAATTTGCAATTACTTGTTGATTCTTTTGTACTTTGCATAATTTATACTGTTTCTTTTTTTTATATACATTTTCATTTTTTTTCATAATATGAAACATTGGAAAATACAAATAATTGTTGCCAATTTGAGAAGTAAAGCCGATTCATTTTGACGTTTAGCAAACTCTGAACTGCTACAGGTGTATGTGTTATTCAATACTCGCTAAGTATACAATACATCCAGATTCATGTGAATTTTCCTTTGAGAATCTGCATGCACTGTAAAACCTGATACTTTGCCATCTGGTGAAAGTTTTGTAATTGATATCATTGTAAACAAGAGTGATTTTTTATAGCAAGAGACTTTCACAAATTGTTAAAATACATTTTTATATTTTTTACATTTTTCCACTGGAAAAGCTTACCCCACTTTGACAGGGATGACACAAGACTATATTAAAGTGTAAAATAAGGTGAAAAAAAGTGTTTGTACTAGTACTCGTACTACTTTGTACAATTATGCAAAATGTCTTTGAAAAACGAATTACCTCGTAAACACATTTTCTGGTGTACATGTACAAACTACAAAATTGTATTAGCAAGTCGGCTTCATGCCTACTTGTAAGATGCTTTCATAATCATGCAACACAACCTCAACGCAGCCTCCTCAGGCATCCATTCTGAACAACCTGTTACCATAGTTACTAGCTCACTCTTGTAGACATGTAAACACGGCTTGTATGAAAGGCTTGAATATCACCAGTTTCACAAGAGTCAAGAAGAAATGAGGGCCATCTATCATGTCGGTTTTTTATTGCATGTGTGATGGTTCACAAAGGTATTGCCTTATTGAACATTTCACTATGTAGAAAAGGCAAACACGATTGCAAATTTATACAATAAATCAACAAAAGAAAGAAAATGATAAGATATATTGTAAGATCCACCTTAGCCGTGACGTACTAAACAGGCATGACGTGAGCATTTGACTTCTTGTCATTAAGATATTGGATTGGATTTTTTGCAATCTTTCTTTTTTAACTCATTAAAGGCATCGGTAAACAATGTTTCCAGTTTTACAAATCTGAGATGCATGACCCGATGTGTTATCAGTGTCTGTGATATATGGTGTAATATTGAAGCCCTAAATCAAATGCGCTTCAAAATGAGGGAAGTGGGGGGGGGGGGGCAGAACAAAAAATCAGAAGTAAAATAAAAAGATAATAAAACCTGAATTGAATCACAACAAAAATAATATTATATTCAAAGAAAAGGAGTGTAAACAGGAATTAAATTTCCTAAACATTATGCATGCCCCCATATTTATCAATGGAGGATTTGATAATAGCGATACGCACATATCGTGGAAATATTGTGGGAGGATGGGAAAGGGTGTGTTTTTTATCATAGGGGTGAAAAGACATGAGCCCCTAAATACTGGTGTAATAATGGGGGGGGGGGGGGGCTTGGGGGGCAGTCCCCCTAAATAAAATTCAAACATGGTTCATTTCCAATTGATTTTCCACAATTTTTTTCTGAGGTATGTTTAAAAAGAGAAAGAGAGAAAAATGACATACCAGTGTCACAATACGGGGCCTCTGCCCTCTGGACCCCGCGTAAGGTGGGCCCCTGCTCATCTGACCGTAATCAAATGCCTAAAACTCCTGAGCTTCATGGGGCTCAGCCCCCTGCCAGTGTCACAAATAAGGTATCAAAATATGCTCATCTGACCGTAATTAAATGCCTAAAACCCCTGAGAGCTTCCGAGGGGGGGGGGGGGGGGGAGGGGGGCGGTAATGGTGGGGGGGCTCAGCCCCCTTGCCCACCAATTAGTGACCTGCCAGAGTCACAAATAAGATATCAAAATAATTAGAGAATCTATAATAATTCATTTACTGAAATTGTAGATAAGATACTGTATACAAACTGATGGGTTGTGGAAAATTGGATGAAAATGTGATCAAAATAAATTTTGTTAGGACAACTCTTTTTTTAATAACTGCACACTATGAATTTCATATCAAGACTCTGAAACTGAAAACTGCAATTTTCCAAGAAATATTTAGTTTTTTACCCCTCAAGGCCTCTTAATTTGGAGTTTTACACTGAGATATTACATGTACAGTACAACTATTTTAGTCCAAAACCATAATTACTTATTTTAATTTTAAAGGTAATACAAAGTTTTGGTATTGGGTCATGAATTTGGTTCAAATGAACATATTGGAACCATATGATTTTACAATATTCAATGATCGTTGTCGTGGTTAAAACCGAGTCTGAAGTGATGAAATTGTAAATAATAAACTCTTTCCCGGTTTGTGGTATAGCTCCCTCTCAAGACTGATATATAGTACTTTAGCTTTAAAAAATTGTTTGTTGACTACAATCGACCGATTTGCTATTCCCGTTTGGAAATTATATATCAGAACTGCATATTGTGAGATTTCCATGGTCGCAGCTACAATGTACATGTACATGTACCATGGAATGGCCTTAGGCACTATTAGAAATATTTGAAATTTACCGGGAGCATCAGTAAATTTCGATTATTCAATTTCTCGAAAGTAGAAGTGTTTTAGGGGCTACGTTTTCTAGTGCTTATAACCAATCCACAGGGGCATCCAAATCAAAAAAATTAAGAATTACTATTCCTAATTACTATCCATCCAATTTTCAAAATTTACCAAAACTTTGCATTACCTTTAAAAAGAAGGTTGAGTTCAGGGAAGAGGTGAAAACTAACTTGTACGCATTATCATTGTTATTATGCAAGTGTGGAAGAAGATCAGATAAAACATGTTCCTGAAAAGCATGGCTCTTCAAATGCCTTCATATAACATCGTAAAAATTGGGACGGATTTTTACTCCACGTGTTTGTGTAGTCCCATAAACATCTTTCTGTGTACAGTGTTAGTAACTTTACCAAGACTTGGCCAAATTTCATCATTTTGATGATTCCAGAACCTTGCAATACACACGAATACTCATAAGCTAGATGATCAACCTTTTCTGATCGGTTCCACACCGTTTCTTTCACAATGCAATCCCATGACCAGAACTCACCTTTATCTTTAACGTGATGAGTTACTCACCTGGGCCTGGGGAGTGTTTCACAAAGACTAAGATCGACTTTAAGTTAGACTTAACTTCATGCCACTTGTTTGATCTCACCATTATGATCTTTAGATAATATTTTTTCCTTCTACAATCTACATGTAAAATAAATTATCAGATAAATGTACATTCTGTAGATTTGAGACGATTTGTACGTCCCTTGAGAGACCAATGCCAGTAAATGGTGAGAGAAAACAGTGGCATGAACGGCCTGCCATAGTTAAGTGCAACTTAAATTCGATCTTAGTCTTAGTGAAACACTGCTCCCCTGGTCTTTTTTAAAATGATATGATATGAAATTGTTTAAGTGCTCAAACATGTGGAGCAATGTGTGCAACTGTACATATCAAATACCTTTAGGATTGAATTTCCTTTTTTGGATAAAACTTTTTTTAAAGATTCATGTTCTAGTGATCAATTACAATCTTTCTAGAATTATGTCCAAAGCTTCACATGTCATTTAATCCAATCTACACACAGCAAAAACTCAGTTTCAGGAGATTACTTGAACTCCATCCCATTTAAGATTACTACAATGAAACCTGTATATTTAAGGGCCACTTTTGCAACACTGATGTATCTTGCGAGCTTCTCTCCATTTACTGAATTTGTTCGGTACATACAAATTCATCAACTTTCATTTCCTCGGTTATTGATGATGGAATAAAACATATTTGCCAAAAAAATGAATGTATGCGGTATGGTTAACAATTTTGTCATTTTTACAATTTAATTTTTCAGTATGATTGGTCATTGGGTGTCCGGACCCTCACAAACAGCCTTCTCTTTTCCTTCAGATTTAACAAAAAAATTCATCAAAGAGCATGAAACATCGTGAATATTTGTCCTTTCATATTGGTAAACGTAACTTTGTATTAGAAGATTTAGGAAATATTGCTTATAAAATTGCTGTTTTAAACAGTCTGGATACACAAGCAACGTCTGGGTAATACAGGGCAAATGGGAGGGGAGCAAGATACGTCACAGAGTTGCCCGATACTATATAGCACCTTCAACAATTCATATTAAACTTTCTCATTTTTAATCATTTTTTGCTCAAAGTCAAACTAGTCTATCACTCATTCGTTCAAATCGTTTCTCTCATTTTTCTGCTTTTATGTTTTAGTTATTGATATTAGACCCTATTTTATTTTTACAACAAACTAATTATCATGGTCGACTTTCCCTTCTTGATCTTGGCCTTGGCTTTCAAAAGTTCCCCACAGGCCACACCAGACATTTAGACTCTAATAATAATATTTATTTCCGTCTAGCCAGGCCGAGCTCATCTTCAGCTCAAGCGAAACATAACAATAACATTGTCATCACAACTAAATACTAGCTCTAGAGTCTGGCTTCAATTCAGCATGATCTGGCAGTGGCACCCAAACAGAAACACATCATAGATTCTAGACCTAGACTAAGTCTCTTCAATTATTCTTAACAATAACATGAATTAAACAGAACTAGATTATAGATTTTCATTTCCTTTCAAAGAACATTCTATCTAACTTTTGATCATAAGTTTGCATACTAGACCTACTGACTAACATGATTAACAACTTTATAGGCCTAGACCTAGTCTACATGAAGTTCATACATTCACATTGTCGTCGAGTCTTATTAGGCCTAGGCCTATGTATTATTAATTAGCATGCATTGGCCACTACACGAATTACTATGTCTACTTATGTGTTGCTGGTGGTGCGAGCCTAATTAAGTAGATCTAGACTAGATCTAACGTTACGCGTCAACATGAATTACTTACGAAATTACGAGATAGATCCCTCGTTCCCTGTGCCTATGATTAGAACGTTTATTCTCTCGAGAATTTAGACCTCCCAAGTCTCACTCCGTTTTAGGGACCTTGGAAGACGACCTCTCTATTTTTTGTAGCTTTAGACGTGGTCGATTCGGATTTGATTCAGCTTTACATGCAAATAATTTGTATACAGCTAGCGTACACAGTGCAGTGCCAGTGGCCCTTGCTAGGTTCTACGCGTATTTTGCATTGCACATACAGCTCAGCGCCAAAGAGCTTATATTTAGAGCAAAGGGATTCTACGTACTTTCGTAGTAAGCGTAGTACGTGTGGATTTGACCAAAGTGAAGAAAACATAATAGTGCGGTATGGTATGTAATTCCGTAGGATTTTTTTCTCCAACGTTGATTTTTTTTTCTCGCTGTTTTGGCTTTAAAAGGGTGCCAATTGGCCAAAAATGATGGGGTTCAAATTTTCAGACCCCTCCTTCATTTCCTGGGGGGGGGGGGTCCATATTGGGCGCCAAATAGGCATAGACCCTTAATTTATAGCGCGCAATATATAGGGAAATTTGGTGTCTTCGGAAAATTTGAACCCCATCAATTTCTCATAGCTTGGACCCCAATGAATAAAAAAATGCAACCAAAAAAAAAAAATCAACTTTGGCACAAAAATCCTACGGGAGCTGTTTCAGTGACATACCGTACTACACTATAAGAAGAAAGAGTAGACTCGAAATCTATACTAGCCACGACTCTATAATAGCCCTAGGAATGATATACAAATTAACACCTAGGCTATTGGGTCAAGTACCCTCATAACCAAATATGTAAAGCATGATTTGAAAATTACAAAGAGACATGCAAGTAGAAATTCTTATGTTTTTATTATAATATTCTGTTATAGTACGGATAGTTTGAAAATATTTGTAATCCCCCCCCCCCCCAAGAAACACCTTCCAAAAAAACTGTATGCTCATTAGTTTTATTGCAAATCAAATGAAATTTATACTGCTCACAAAAGGAGGGGGCATGGCCCAGGGGGCTTAACGTTTTTATAATGATTTTGAGTGGAGAATTTGTTCATCCAAAAAGTTGCAGTGCAACAAATAAACTAAGAAATATATGTAAATTTTTTTTTTAAAGTAACAAAAGTACATTTTCCCGGCAACGCAAGATAAAATAATGATAACCTTGAATACGCAAGGCCAGGGGCGGTAGAGTGAGTGCCAAAGTGTGGGGGAGGGGCATCAATACAAAAGGGCACCTTTCTGGGGGGGGGGAGCACCTACAAAGGGAAATCTCAAGGCGAAAATATACAATTTTTTAGACATTGGTTTATACCCCTTCATTATCAGGGTTGATTTCAACATTTGTTTTTTCTTTATACATCATAAACTATTATACAAGATATTGCTTAACTCATACTTATCATACTCATAAAATAATTTTTCTCAAAGAGGAAAATACCCAATCCTGATGGGGGTTAAGTACATTCTCATAACGGAAGACTGAAAAACCTTTGATAAGTAACATGCGATCGAGCGTAGGAAGCGAGCTTCGGGTAAATTGCCCTATATAAGTCGCTTTAAATTAGGGGCACGTTTAATGATGAGAGGAAAAGGGGACACTAATCGGAAGGGATAAGATACTCATTAGAGAGAAATGGAGCACGTGTCAAAGTATACAAAGGATGATCGTCAGATGTGATAATGATACTTCTTACACCTGAAAACAGGCATTCAACGGGGTGAAATTATGACAATTGGAAATTGTCATTTGCCGACGGAAAAGGGGCACGCATCATCGCCAAAAAGGGAATCATCAGAGATGAAAAAGGGCACTGACCATGCTATGAAAAGGGCACTTATGAGAATGAAAAAGAGGCACCAATAAAGAAAAATGTGCATTTGCTGTAAAAAAAAAAAAAAGCGGGTGGCCGATCAGATTTCAATTGGGGCAATTATCGGAAGTGAAAGGGAACTTTTATGAGAAGGGGATAGGTCCAATTATTAGAAAGTAAAAGGGGCACATATTAAAATAACAGGGGCATTTTTTTTCTTCAACCGGGGTAATGATGAGATAGGGACGGGGCATTTATAAGAAGGAAAAAGATCATTGATTAGAAAGGGATGGGGAACGTGTATAAAAAAATCAAGGGGGGCAGTTATTAGAGATGAAAAGAACACTTATCAGAAGGGGAAGGGGCACTGGTTAAATTAAAACGAGAATCTCTCCGATTTGAAAAGGGGCAATAATCGGAAATGAAAGAGGCACTTATCTGAAATGTAAATAAGTAACTTCTCGTACCTGAAAAGAGTCATTTACCAGAGATGAAAAGGGGCACGTATGTGAATGAAAAGGGGTACCTCTAGTTTTTAATAGGGTAATTATCAGAGATGAAGGGGGCCTTTATCAAAATGAAAGGGTCACTTCTCGAACCTGAAAAGGGGCACTTACTAGAGATTAAAAAGGGTACTTATGAGAATGGAAAATGGACACTTATTGCCTGAAGGAAAATGGGAACTTGTAGAAGGAAAGCCAGGGGCAAACACACACCCCCCCCCCCACTCCCGATCATATGAGTAAACTGGTTGCAACACCCTGACTCATATGAGAAGGGAACAATTTTGTTTTGCCTCGGTCGCCACACTCCCTAACATACTCAGATGCTTAACTATATGCTTATGATAAAACTACAAATACAAAATAGATTTCCTAACCGTAATGTACGTACAATGTATTACATAGCCAGAGATTCGCTTATGTTTTACAAGTTTTATACACTAAACTCCCAATAGCACATATCGCTGGATCAGAAAGTTCGGGGGGGGGGGGGGGGCGGTGCTCTTTCTTTTTTCACATTTCACTTTTACATTGCAGGTAACTAGTGTGCATTCCGAAGGGTTGTAAATATTTTGTAGATAAGTTTTAGTAAGTAGGGAGCTTGGGCATGGATTGGAGCGTATAGCGACTGAGCGAGAAGATTTTTGCATTTTTATTGAATTCAATTCAATTCTTTTTATTCATCCAAATTCACAAGAATAGTGTTGCAGTCTTTAGTCATGCAGTAGGCCTAGGCCTATTTGCTAAAAATTATTGTTTGCACCTTTTCAAATTTCCAGGGGGGGGTACATGTCCCCCGCTCCGCCCGCCCCCCCCCCCCACCCTCCCGGGATCGCCGCCCCTGGATTTATGATAAGAACATAATAATGTATACAGAAAAGCTTGAAGTAATCGACGTCCCCTAGAATATGAAAAAAACAATACACACAATATGCAGCGATGCATACATATTATACTGCTAATGCATTATTTTCTCATGTATGCGTTGATTGATAAATAATCAAAGATCCTCCCCCCCCCCCCCTCCCACGCCATGATAAGATATATCTTCGCCCCTGGTTGCGAGAAAACAAGAAGCTCCTGAGTCTGACGTAACGCTACGTAATTTATACAGTAATATGGTTTCCAACTCTACTACATGAGCTACCACTCAATGCAAGCGTTGTTAGTGGAACTGAGTAACCCATCTCTGTAATCTCACCCAAGGAGCAATATACATGTGAGCTATCGCTTGCGATCCCGCGCTCAGGATAATAACACATTTCAAGAGTAAAATTGTGCATATAGATCATTGATTGTTTTTTTTTACCATTATCATTAATCGCAATGCATTTTATGTTTTGTAAAAGGCATTATTTATTCCCATGCTCACCGTCTCCCACGAGTTTGGAGTAGGGTCGAGCTGTCGGGATGATCTAAATTTGGTAATCATAAAAGATATATATATTGTCTTACTATCATGATGTATAAATATTTTGTTTTCTTCCTTTTATTTGAAAAGAAAAAGGGGAAAAACTTGTATAAAGTATTACAAGAAATATAATTTATTCTCATCCCTGTATAATATTGCATGTGGTTATTGTTCTTTACTCTTACACCGTGAACCTAATGCTTACACTCAGTAAGCTATGTAATACACAATAACTTTTTTTTTTTTATAATGTAAAGCTTCCTGGGAGAAATTTCAATTATTTACTGGGTCTATATAAGCCACAAAATGTTTGAATTAAACTTGAAATTTGTTATCCAATGTACAAAACTTGAAAATGATCCTATCTGTTTGGATTGAAATCAATAACGTTGAATTTGAATTATATACGGGAAAGGGCGCATCCGAGATTTTGAAAGTAGTGCTGGGGGGGGGGGGGGGGGGGGGGGGGGGTGGAACAATTTTTTTTTTCTCTTCTGAACTCGATAAAATAGAAAAGATATCATCTGTGTCGAAAAGGGGGTAGAGATAAAAGCTCATTTTCCGGGTAGTGTGGACTGAAGTTACGCAGGCCTAATTTGGTTTGGTGCAGTCGTTCCCGTTAGTGGGGGGAACAACCAGGAAGAGAAGTGCCATTATTTTTCCCCTCTCCATTGTGTGTGATAAGCGAAGATTATGCCCCAAGGGCTCATTATATTTGGGGTATATTTATCAGAATTTTGTTTTGCTTCATATAAAAAAGTAGCAATAAAACAAAAATAAATGTCATCACATAGGGTTTTGTTAAGCCTTAAAACAAAATACATCCTTGGCAGCACCCATTCCAGGAATGTAGGCCTACTAGTATTATAAGTAGGCCACCTACAGATTTGACAACTCAATATAAAGAGCTCCCACACTCATCCTAGTTTGCAATGATCCATTTTTAAAAGCCTGTCAGTATGTCTTATTCATTTCATGGAAGAACGGAGTGGGAAAATTCAATAATGGTTAGGAGAATTAACTGTCAGAGCAGGGATATGAGAACTCTCATATCCCTGGTCAGAGGGTGTCGCACAGTGGCGCCTTCAAAGAAAACATAAATTTGTTTGTTGTTTGAGAATTTTTTCAGGATTTTTCGCATGTTAGAGGGTTAATGGGTTAATACAGTAGAAGGAATATGATAAATAACATTTCATACTAAAATTATTGTGCTGTTTTTTCATCAACCTTCAACAAGTATTAGAACATTTTTTTAGCTTAAATTAAACAAGATGGGAGGGGAAACCCCGAACTCGGGTCCATACCAACTGTGGGGGATTACAAATTATCCAAGCCCGTGCCAGATCGAACTCTGGCCGAAGTTCTTATATATATTTTGTTATCCCCACCAGTACTTGATATGTGTACACGCCGCCGAAGATGGCGTTATCAACGAATTGCGTAGACATTCGGGGATGCAGAGATCGTGGTGGTAGAGACCAATTAAATCGGCCAGATTTATTTGTCTCCATCAAAGGGGATCAATCATTCATATAGTGGCGCAGTGGCGGATCCAGGGGGGGGGGGCCCGGGGGCCCGGGCCCCCCCCCCCTTGAGAAAAAAATCATGTAAAATCACGTGATTTTTACCTTTTTTTTTTGGGGTTGGGCCCCCCCCCCCCCCCTGGCGCTCAAGGGGGGGGGGGGGGTGCAAATTGGAATTTTTTTGAGGATCAAAAAAAAAAAAAATGTGCTCACTACCCCCCCCCCCCCCCCCCCCCCCCCCCACTGAGCGAATTTTTGGCCGGCGCGTTTTTCAAATTTTCGGGAGCAAAAAAAAAAAAAAAAAAAAAATTGTGCTCTTTACCCCCCCCCCCCCCCCCCCCCCCCCCCCCCCCCCCCCCCCCCCACTGAGCGAATTTTCGGCCGGCGCGATTTTCAAATTTTCGGGAGCAAAAAAAAAAAAGTTGGGCCCCCTCCCCTAAGAAATCCTGGATCCGCGCCTGTAGTGGCGGATCCAGGATTCTGGCCGCCGGGGGGGGGGGGGTGGGCTGGCCGGGGCTCGGAGGCGTGCCTAAATGTCTCTTTGATCTGCCATTGTTAAATGGTGTTTATTGAGAACATTTTGTTTCCTTTTGATGAAATGGAATTTTACGATTATCCTTTAAAAAAGTTAATAAGGGCTTTTTTCTTTGTTTTGAAATAGAGATGTAATTTATAATTAGAGGCAGGCAGCCAGCCCTTGGTGCATTGTTTCCTTTCTACTTACAAAAAAAAAAGGGGGGGGGGGGACCATGATACAAGTTTGTTAGTCATTTAGTGGATGTTGGGTAGGAGAAGTGCATAAACATGTAGGTGGATATTATTTATACAGCTGGGGTTTCGATCGCTTGAGGGAGGGGGTGAGCACCACGCCCTGATCATTAAGTGGTCCTATTCCTAACCCTATCGAGACAAAAATTGACAGCGAAATGGGTTAGGAGACAAGAAAGATGAAATAAATAGCCTATCGAAGCCCAGGAGGGGGGGGGGTTCAGATTTGGTTTGGACGGGGGTGTGCCGCGCTCAGTAGCCTCGAAACCCCTACCCATTACTAGGGATCATTACTAGGGGTCATTTGGGGTCATTTTTCTCGAAAAAGACCTATTTGCCACAATTATCGGGTGGTTTTCATGGCAAACACCCGGAAATTTTGTGAATTTTGGAAATTTTGAAAAAACGTACTCATTTTTAATGGAATTTTTGTTAAAAGTGGGACCCTTGCTCCCGGCCCTTGCTTAGAGTTTTTTTTTTTTTTTTTTTTTTTTGGGGGGGGGGGGGGGGGGTGAAAAAGTGACCCATTAGAGCGACACGCCCCCGTATGCCCCCCCCCCCCCCCCAACGGATATCGAAGTAGACAAAATGTTACAGAGAGCGGACAGCCCAACAACGCCTAGAATAAATTTGTAATATCTCTTTGAAATAGGACACATCATCATTCCCTCCACAGTGCATTCCACGAATCGGTGACGTGGTGATGATAATACACCTGCCGCGCTCCTACACACACAACGCAATGACAACATCACTACACACACAAACACAGCACTGCTTCATATAAACTGCACTCGGCATTTGCGTGTAATAATATACATGTATTTAAACCACGTGGTACATTTATATTGATGTTACTGAGAAAGGACAACCTCACCTCGTGGTTGTTTTCCTCTTCTTCTGCGACGAATTGAACTGACATTTGCCTTTTTGTACTTCAGACTAAAGGTTCGTATCTAATTTTGTTTGACCAGGACACGTTTCAGTGTAAAACTTTGTGTTTTTGTAGGGAATCTAGAGAACAAGTATCGTCTCATGATGGGTTTTACATGTTTGTTATGGCTATGGGGCTATGCCATATGTTTTGCACACAATTGCGCAATTGGTAGTGTGTACAATGCGTAGTGCATGTGATGATACATGTGTGCTTGCAAATTTAGTTCATGACCACATGGCGACATACAGTCAGCAACTCTGAATTTTAATTGTTACATTGCAATTGTAAACCTTTAATTTAATCACCAATCTTTCTTGCTACTCTATATGTGTTGGTAGGTCTAGTCTTAATTTACTAGGATTGACATGATCAACTGACATGGTTGAAATGAATGACAGGCAATTTTTTTCATTCATTCATCGTGACAAAATTATTGAAATTTGAAGTTTGAAAGTTGTAATTTTGATGTCTGTCATGAATATTTATCAAGATTATGGATGGTTTAACAGTGCATTAGTAGTTAATAGTGCATTAGTAGTTAATAGTATGGAAAACGAGATTGACATTGAATGATTGATTAAGTAATTATAAAAATATAAAATGATTGATATTTATTTCATATTTGTAGGGTGTCTGATCGCGCACCCGATGTTGTGTGCTAAAATTCTTCCCATAGAGATTACACGCATCCCTATGCAGCCTACGTGCATTGCGCGACCATGCAAAAAAAGTCAATTTTTTTTTTTCAAATCGAGATTCAAACCTTTATCAGTTGTGATCCTGAAGGTGATAATCAATGAATGAGGTGTCATATGAAAGAGCAGGTGAATTCCAATATTTCCAAAGGGGCGTAGCCCCCGAAATTCTAAAAATATCTTGGTCAAAACAGCAATTTAAACATTGTGTCCTGGCTAACTCTGAGGTTTGTCACTTTTGAGATATGACGCCCCGATCGATATGTAGTCCCAGTCCTAAGGAACAATTCTATGTGATTATATTTTCGCTAGCCCCCAGGGATCACAACTGATAACAGTTTAAAAATACCCTTCTCGCTATTTGGTGGATCAGCTAATTAGGAGGCGTGCGCTCCGCTCAGTCCAAACCATGGTTACATCGCGTAACATCTCCGCGCACGAACGAAACCCCAAATTCAATTACACATTATAGTGACTGAAATTATGGTTGGCAATTCCCTCGATAAACCCGGAAGTGAATACACGTTATAGTCAATGGCAATATCGCGGAGACAACGTGCGTTGTCTCCGCGATATTGCCATTGACTATAACGTGCATTCACTTCCGGGTTTATTGTGCGACGAACGCCAACCATACTAGTCAATCGCACATGTCGCGGAGACAGCGTAGCTCAAGCTGCAAGTCGCGGATTGGCTTAGCAGCATGCGTACGATATGCATACGCTTGCATATCGCGCGATACAGCTGTTTGGCTAAATTTAGCAAAACAACATCACTCTGCGTGGACGTCTTTTTCGTCGATTTTGACCAAAATGATATGAATATACCAGCGTGTTGGAGGGGCTGTAACTTTTGATAGAAACATCGGTGAGACTTGAAATTTGAAATGCATTATTCTGATAACATTTTTTATTCAAATATCAAACAAAAATGGTGAAAAACGATCCCAAATTGAAAATTGAAAAATCGTTCAGACACCCTAATATTTGTACTGTTCATGTATGTAGTTTGTCATTGATTCATGGTCAACCACCAGCAGAATGAGCACACAAGTTGAAACATCTCGTGTTAAAAAATTGGATCTTTCCTAAAGTATACATGGTTACTTGGTTGGTTAGGCTAATTATTAAATTAAGACTTACTTTTTGCCCGCTGCACTTGTTAGGCAGTGTCCGTGCGACTGGTGCCACATGTTGAATGTTTATTCCCAGACAGTTTGTTATTTTGATGTGTGAAACTAATATACATGCATTGATGGTTGAAGTCTTGGAAGACAAAAAATACTTAATCTTATATTTTTGTATTTCACTTGTACTTCAACTAAACTATAAAGCCCATCTAAAGTGTTGGGAGCCCCAAAAATTTCACTTGTACATATCATAATTGTGAAAAATCAAAGTGGATGTCGTTTAATTTTAAGACACACTTCTGGAAGGAGTTTCACATCAAATGTGTTCTACAGATTTTTGCGTACAACAGAAAATTCAAATTGTGTATTTTATTAATTTCGTCTTCATGCCCATTTTGGGGGTAAAATCTTTGGAGAAGTGTATGTTAAATTCATTCATTCATTCTAAAATCTTTAAATTGGTTTAATATCTGACAATTTGATTTTATGATTTTGTTTTCACAAGCGTATTAATTTAATTCCAGAATACGACCTGTGGGAATGGCCCAAGTAAATCGGTCTTTTGAATTTGGAGATCCCCCTGGTGGGGGTAGAGAATGGCACCGACTAATGCAGAACGAAGGATATGACTTGAGCAAGTTTGAACTGGTTGCAGTGCCAGAGGAGTTTTCAGATGCATCGGGCCCAGACCAGATCGGCCACTGCGGTCTCTTGGAGTACGACGGAGTCCTGGATGTAGAGGGTAGCGATAGCGAGGCATCATGGTAAGTTGGAAGTTGGAGATGTGGTCTGATCAGATCGTTACATTGAGGAAGATATTTCAGAGCTATAGGTGTTAAATCTTTGGAAAGATCTGAAAAATATTTTAAAGACAAAATAAAATACATTAAAATGAATGTGATGCAGTTAGAGTTCCCATGAATAAAAAGATATATCAAACCAAAAGTCATGTTATACTGGATGGTCCAGTTGCCTTGTATTATTCGATTTGTGTTTGATAAAATAGCAGATAGTTATTGGCTTAAATCTGGTAGTTTGATAGCGGTACCTGTAGATATAACTAAACTTATAACCGCTGTACTAAAATCTGTTTTGAAATGTTCTCAAATTGATGACCAGTTACATCTCTTCTCGTACATGGATTTGTTACACTTCTGATAGGCGTATTCTTGTAGTGAAGGCATTTTCAATAAGTAAACATGGAATGCAGCTTCTTTTATATCTTGGAGGCACAATACATGTTTGCAGATCTTTTATTGTAGGTGAAATGTAGATGTTTTGTGCTCTGTGAGTAAAGCAGTACCTATCCCCTGCCTTTTTGCTTTCATGCTTTTATAGCCTATTGGGCCACAGGGGACCATTCGATATTAGTGAATCGGAACAAAGAGCATTGTGATGTTTAGTGCTCAAATCATTGGGATCGTGCATTAGATTGAAACGGCCTATTTAGGTCAAAACTCAAAAGAATTTCGATTTGAAATCACATACTTAAAAACATTCTTTGTGAATTACTTGTTAATGCTGTAGTGAATTTGGAAAATATTCTATTCTTCAAACAATCATAGGGTTCCTGTTCAACTTCTTGTCCATGTAGGCTAGGAGTTTGTCCCAAAATAATCACTCTACATGTGCTTCATTCTTAAGATTTGACCTCTCAAAGATACGTTGATGATACTTTTGGGATGAAATTGACCCAATTTATGAGTCTGCTTTAGGGGCTCTTGAGGCATTTTCATAAAGGAGTTAGATGACCTTATTTTGAGACAAGTTACTCTCATGGTTAAAATGGGGTGACTATTTTGGGACAGGCTCTCAGACTATTGAAAATGCCTCAACTTCCTGGAAAATGAAAAGCGTTCCTTGCCTCTGTCTGACGAACCTTTTCTCTTTCTTCCATTTCTTGTAGTCTTGACCCTGGTGAAGGATTCAATGTAACCATTGAGCATGTAGGAGACGACCTGGGTCATGGGTCAGGACTTGTCCACCTGCTGGAAGTGCCTCCTAACCTGGGTGAAACCAAACATTACCATAGAGATGACATCCTAGATGTCGGTGAGTAACGTCTTTGTTGCGTCTTTTTGATCGTACATTAAAGGCCCGGTCCCACTGCACTTACGGATGCAAAGAGGATGTAAAACGTAAAAAAATCTTGCCATCCGTTGGAAAACGCTATGCATCCATTCTGTACTCATTGCATACGTGTTTCATACGCTCTATCCGTCGAGCATCCGTCCACTGTGATTTCATCCGCGCAAAAAGTTTTGAGCTGCACAAAACTTTTAGAACGGATGAACTTCCGCCGTGTACGATGTAAATCCGCAACAAATACGAGCAACAAACGTCCTATGTCCGTTATCATCCGTTAAACGTCCGCTGTATCCTTTCTGCATCGTCTGGGCATCCTCGCAACTCACATCCGCTGCAGCTGAAAACGGAAAGAGGGAGGAAAGATAAGGTACATGGAACGTCTATACATCGTTAGTAGCACGGAAATAGAAAGGATGTAAGCGTATGCATCTCGTAATATAAAGTATTCAAAGCTGTCGTCCACTTCCATCCGCTTTCATCCGCTAGGCTTCCGATGAACATCCGTTTAACATCCCCGCTACATACTACCCACGTCCGTTATTTTCCGTTCTGTTTTCGCAAATTTTCGCAAAATGTGTCCATTTCTGGAGCGGATGAAAACGGATGGAGCCACCCCCGAAATTTTGCTCGTCCGCTGTGTCCTTTATGCATACGTTTTGTGTCCGTCGGCCAGTGGGACCGGGCCATAAGCAGCATGTGTTTCAAAGGAGGTGGGATAGAAAAGAAATCATGACACACAGGTTTTGGTAGATTATGTGTGGTTTATATTTTGAGTTGCCAATCCGATATGTCATAAGAATTAGGCTAATAAGAACGCATTTTTAAATGAGGATTGAATTCAGTTTCATCTTATTTTGGGTGGGAAATGTGATTGTAAAAGACTTGTTCTCCTTTTTTTTTCCTTGATCAGGGCTTAAACTTTCAGTTTCATTATATTTTAGAAGGAATGTGGGAATGTAAAAGAGAGATACTCTGTTCATCTTTGACCAGGGCTTCAATATAGACTCCATTTTGTTCTTTGCAGGAATTGAAGCATGCGATCTGAAAAGTCTTCTGGAGCAGTTTGAAGAGATTGAGCAGCCACAGACAAACCCCAAACAGATGGCTGTCCCCAAACCCCAACCCCAACCCCAACCCCAACCCCAACCCCAACCCCAACCCAAATCCAACCCAGTGCCTCTACTAGTACCCCTAACAACATCTCAACCAGCACCTCAACCAGTACCCCCACCAGTATCTCAACCTGCACAAAAGGAACCAACAAGGTAGACAACTATTTCTTGAAATCATGTACAAGTTGATGAAATCTAATTAGTCATCACGCTTACAAGATGCACATGTGAAAGCATTTCTTTATGTTCGTGTACCAGTAATATTTTTTTCTTTTTCTCGAGAATCTGCCATGGTTATTGAAAACTATCATGGTGTGGAGGTGTGCAATATTTTGTTTCTAAGTGAAGACCCTGAAATCTTTATTTGTAAATAAATTGCTGTCTCAAGATATTTTTGTTTTTGGAAAAGGTTTATTTGGAATACCATTTTCATCCTACCTCTGTTGAGGTTTCATGGTTCAGGGGATGTGTTGCTGGACTGTAGCATGACTGGACATGACTGGACATGGTTAGCAGTTTTAGTCTAAGCTACATGTACAGCATCTATGACCCTTTGCAACACATTAAAGCTTATCTGCCGTAGTTTACAGGAGGGATTAGACTGCCCTGCAAGGTCACTGGACAGGTGGTTATCTCATCAACTCTGCTCTCAGTTAACATAAGAAAAAGAGGATTATGGGGGACCAATGGTCACCGATTAGGCATTGTTTGTTATGTAGAGGGCGCAAGTAGCTACAAGTAGTGCAGTGGGCCTTTAATGTAAATTTGTCAACTCTGTACTCGGATGCAGTAAATAGGAACCTGGTAGAAAGCTATTCCTTGAATGCTTTCAGCACCTACATGTAAGGGCAACTTAATGAAAACATGGATGATAAAAGCTGTTAAAGCTACCGTACTTTGTAGGTGCTCCGTTGAGATGGACATGTATAAAAAGTGTGTAGCCATTATCATTCCTAGTTCATTTGTCATCTGATTACAGGTATAAAATCATTACATCAACGAAGGAGCTTCCAAACCCTGCTGATATCATTAAGAAGATTATGCCAGTGAAGAGGAAACGAGCCATCCTCCTCGACCCTGAGGCCTCGCCGTTCAAGAAAACCAAGCCCAAGCAACAGAACCCAGAAGTCAACAAGGCCATTAATCTAGCCAAGAGCACCCATTCATTATCCCCTATCCCGTTTAACCTCAAGAACCTGATTCCTGCTCCCAAGTACCTCAGCATGGAGCATGACTACTGCATGAGTCCCGCTTCAGAGAAGAGCACAGCGTCCGATCTGTCCAACGAAATGTCCAAAGAGCAAAGAAGAGCCTACTACAAGTATAAGTACAGAGTCAAGAAGAAACCGGATGGAGTGGACAGCCCGCAGTCAAAGTGTTCATCCGTGAGCAGTTCACCTATCAGTGTGTCCCCCGCTAGCTTGTCACCGAATCCTGGTGTAGTTGAAGTCGTCAGCGACGGGAAGGTGCCCAAGGCCACTGTGCCAACTCCTGGAGCGGTCGTGCCTCTGTTTGACAAGATACCGGGGTACTTCTCAAAGAAGCTCTTAGTGGGAATGTACCGTGAAATAGACAATGAGAACCCCTCCAAGCCAGTGCATCAGGGATACGACCAGAATATTTTTGTGAGCAGTGAGAACGATGGTGGAAGAGTGGAAGAACCAAGGATGGAGAGGCCGAGTAGGCCGCAGGTCCGACGACATCATCGTCGCTCGTACCGTGATTCACGGAGGAAAAACTCCTTGTCTTCACAGTCTGATAGTTCATATTGCAGCTCGTGTTCTGAACATTCCCCTCATCCAGAAGAAAATGATCTAGAACAAGAAAACCAATCTAGAAATCGAAACACTGTTGTGCGGAGAAAGCGGCGAACAAGAGAGAGTATCTGTTCTGCACGGTCAAGTGACTCACGATCCCCTTCGTACTCGCGCTCTAGGTCGCCATCCTATTCATCCTACAGTGGTTATGATTCACGAGGACAGTCACGTTCAATTTCCAGATCTAGGTCACGTTCCTTTTCAAGATCGAGATCACGATCATTTTCTAGATCCCCCTCTTTTTCAAGATCACGTTCAAGATCTCGATCTTATTCTCGCTCGAGATCGAGATCACGATCACGTTCAAGGTCCCCCAGAGACTACAGTAGGAGATCTAGGTCCTATTCACGTTCATTGTCTAGGTCCCCACAAAGAACTCGTAGATCATCTAGTAGGAGATTAAGTAGGGAGTCTCATTCAAGGTCGAGAGCAAGGTCCATGTCAAAATCAAGATCACGTCAGCATAGCAGACATAGAGACAACAACAACAGGTAAGCATAAGTCGCATGTACATGTATTTATTTATTTAAGAATTATTTTAAGATATGAAAATCATGCTTTGGATGTTTCATAGAAATTGATCATCATTAATTTTGTAAATTTGGGGATTTTCATTTTTTCTTTCTGTAAGGCAAATTGAGGTAGAGTTGGGTATGGACCTTGCTGTGAATTACATATTTAATTTGTTTGCAAACATATTTGATTCTGTTCTCTTTTGGCTGTTAGTATTTTTGCATCCAGTAACACATTCTGACTGATTCTGCATCTTTATTATGAATTTCTAAATGGTCACAAAAGCATTTGATCACGCTTCTAAACATGCAATCTATGATTGATATCTAGTCTTCCTCGTCTGCCTTTAAATACATCCTTTGGGAGGTATTAGGATCTTGATCTTTGACATGAATTTTATGCTATCTTGGTAAAAAGAAATGATTTTATACCTATGATGTGATGTGTTCATGCATGTGGAACTTATGATTACAAGTCATGTTGCTTGTGATTACTAGGTCATGTCGATGTTCCACCCCCTCCCCCCCCCCCCCCCCAGACATAGATTTATTAAACTTGCTCCCAAGATTATGAAAAAGATATCGAAATCACTTTTAAAGGCATGAACATCGTTTAACGTTAACATACTGTGGCCTTGCAGAGTTTCAGGGTATTCATATATGACTTCACCAAACACTTCACCAAATTTCTGTCGCACAGCAAACTTATAGATAAAGGTCAATTGTTTTCCTTAAATAATTTAGGAAGTGTTCTTTTGTTTCTTTGCTCAGCAGCACAATTAGGTCAGATGTCTCAAACCCGTATTGTATATGTTTTGATTTGCAGATCTCATTCAAGTATCAGAACTTATGATCCACTGGGTGACAGCAAGGAAGTCAAGTATACAGATGAGCAGCTGCAAGAATTTGTAAGTCAACCAAAGACATGGAGTTTTCAGATTTTACATAAAGCAGGGAAACTATTTTAGTGATAGAAAACCTATGCTGAATAGTGAATACCATAATGTTTGTTAATTTGTATATCTGTTTCTATATCGTTTCTGTCAGAGAAATAAGCCTTCCAGAACTGAACAAACCATGCATAGTATGCAGGCATTAGACATTATGTATATGTATAGCTGTCTTATTTAAAGTTTTGATGGCTCTACTGTTTCAAACAACAATCTCCCTTATTCTTATCTCAAATAAAGCACTCTTTACGATTTTAAATTAATAATCAATGATTCTACTCAAAAGGGGAAAAAGCAGTAAGAAATAGTTGAAATACATGAAGACAAGATTTTTTTAATGAACTTTTTTTAGATCCCTTTTATCAATAATTATCTTCTTTTTACTGCTCTTAGAATGTTTCTGATTTCATATTACCAATTTTCAAGTAAATGCAGCAGTTCATATTCATACAGCCATGAACAGTTAGTGACAGAACATCTTGCTCAAATGCCATTTCTTGAATCGTTTCCATCCGCCCGTAGGACGAGAGACGTGTTGTGTACATAGGTAACATTGAAGAGGACACATCCAGGAAGGACTTGATGAAGCAGTTCTCGCGGTTCGGTCCTGTAGACAAGATCCAGCTCTACTTCAGGGATGACATGTAAGTCAAACCTCTCTGGCAACCACCTGTTTATAGAGACCACCTGTCTATAAAGACCACATTTTTTGTATGATCACTTAGAATGATAATGAAGTTAATGTTCAAGACTCGAACAATCACACCCAAAATGACTACAATCATCGAACACAATTACAGTCAAACCTCTCTAGCGACCACCTGTCTATAGAGACAACATTTTTTGGTTCCCTTGAAAATGGTTCCTCATTAAAACATGCATTAAAGGAACCTGTACATAAAGATCACCTGCTTATAAAGGCCACTTGTCTATAAAGACAACATTTTTTATTTCCCTTGAATATGGTTTCTCATTGAAACATGCACAAAAGCAACCTGTACTAAAAGACCACCTGTCTAAACAGACCACCTTTCTTGTCTCCCTTGGATGGTCTTTATAGACAGGTTTCACTGTAACATGATGATCCTTTCCAAGCTTATCACAAGGGTGGAGAGATCTCCTTAAATGATTGTATTTAAAGAGGATTTACATGATTTTCTGCAGTCCATGTCGGGATTAGTCTTTTAACATTTGTTTGATGTTGATTCTATTTCGGTATTGATGAAGGTAAATCACCTAAAGCAAATTTTTCACAATGGAAGTCATTTGTGTATAGCTAGTTGTGTTAATTTTTTGATTATTTTAGTTTGAGTGCGAGGTATTCTCAAATACCTGTATTTTTTTTTTTAAGGAATTCTTTCAGAAAATGTGTTATTCTTTGTTATGAAATTGCTGATGTGTACCCATTTATCTTCATGTTGTTTTTTTCTTTTTTTCAGGGATAACTATGGATTTATTACGTTTCGCTACAAGTGCGATGCTGTTGCTGCCATCACATGTAAGTTTATCTCATTTCATTTAACATTCTTCAAGGAAATTCAATTCTTACATTGTTTTTTGTTTACATTAGGAAAAGTGACTCTAATGAAACATCAAGGATTATTGATCAGTTAAATTTGTTAGATTTGACAAGTATTTAAAATTTCTTTAAAAAATGCTGAAAACTTTAATCTGAAAAGAGCCTTACAGATTAGTACGTTAAGGACAAATTTGTATTATCTTTATTGTCTTGTAAATATTCTAACACTGTTTTTCCTAATAATCTGTAATTTGTTGTGCTTAATCAGCTATCCTTTTTGTTATTAAATATTTTATGTCAACTATTGTTGTCGAGTTTTTGGGATTCAGTGGGAATTTTATTTTATATCATTACCTGGGCTGTCTTACAAAGAATTGCAATCGATCATCATCCAAATCAATCGCAGGTTTGCAGTCTTCTATCTATTATATACATAGTTGCGATTGTCAATCACAAATAAATTGGGATTGATATCAACTCTTTGTAAGACAGGGCCTACTTTTTTAGTAGCATTTAATCATGCATTGTGGAAGCAGCTTTTTACGTCACTTTTTTTCTTGCCCAGTATTATCGCAACACCTGCTGGTAACATTTTCCTTGCAGTGCGATTTTAATTTTAATTTTAACTTTTTAATTGTTGGTATCTGCAGCTGGACATGACCCTAATTGGCCCAAATATGAGCTCTGCTTTGGAGGAAGAAGAAAGTTCTGCATGAAGAAATATGAAGACCTGGGTAAGAAAATATTGCATGCACAAATTTGATATTTACTATACTTGGTATGGATTTGAATAATTTATGAAATTTTGAGGTGGGAATACATCAGTAAAAATGACCTGTTAATTTCCTTAATTTGTTTCTGATTCTTTATAATCATCTCCCATCATAAAACTTTGCCCAAACAAAACCTGTCTACAAAGACCACCCAAGGGAGACAAGAAGAGTGGTCATTATAGACGGGTGGTCTTTATGTACAGTCCACTTTAGTATATGTTTCAATGAGAAACCGTTTTCATGGGATACAAAAAATGTGGTCTTTGTAGACAGGTGGTCACTAAAGCAGGTTTGACTGTAATTGTGTTCGATGATTGTAGTCATTTCGGGTGTGATTGTTTGAGACTTGTACATTAACTTCATTATCAGTCTAATTGATCATAAAACGTAATGAAATATCTTTGTTGAGACTAGCCATATGATTTTCATGGTAATGATGAAAATCATCCAATGACTTAAATTTACAGTCTGATGTAAATCTTATTGTTAAAATATTTTCTTCAAAGTTTCATGCTTTTGTGTTGAGGCCCCTATATGTCTACTACTGTATTGTAGCCTGGTAATATACATTTCTGTCACTTCTATTTTCACCCATTTCATTCTTTCATTCTTTCAACCATTGATAAAAAGTTCTTTTTTACGTGCAAGGCAACTGCTCTGACGCATATTTTTTCTGTCTTGTCTTTATGTAGATTCCTTGAACAAAGTATCGTCGGAGCTTGATTATGGTTACCATGACAACGGAGAAGGGAAAGAGGATGACGAAGTAGACGCACCAGAAGAGAGTGAATTTGATAAACTTCTCAAGGCAGCAATGAAGAATAAGAACAAATCAAGATAATGATTGGAGAAAGTTTTGTTTCATTGTTTCATTTCCATTTTTTTTTTTTTTTTTTTGGGGGGGGGGGGGAGAGAATTGGAGAACTTATGTGTTGCACATGAATCGATTATTAAGGATCATGTGTTCTGGTTTCTTGTGGTAGGATGAGTAATTTATCTTCTCTTAAAAGTGTTCACAAAATGATTTAAAAATTGATACAGACAACAAAGTTGTGTTTCGCTGTTGCTACAGGTTGGCAAAGTGCTTCATAGCAAAGAGTTGAATTATTTTAGAAATCAAGATGAAGACAATTCAAAAGTGAATTTAAGTTGAGCTGTGGTGTTACATTGTACTGGTAAGAACCAGGTACCTTTTTCAGGAAAAAACAAACAAAGGGGCATTACCATGCATATTTATTGTTTTCACTCTGGAGCTGTTGTGAAATATGCTGCAGTGTTGTTACTCTGCTTATTTGAAGTTGATGGTCAGAAAAGTTGATGGTAGATGATCATTCAATCGAAAAATTGCTCCTTGTTGGTTACTGTTAGTGTTGTGAAAGGGCACAGATTTTCTTTGGAATTGTTTTCAAAAAATACACCAGAGTGGTAAAATATTCCTTAAATGAGTCACTTCGGTGATAAAGGTTAGTCTCTCATTTTGTTTGCTTCAGTGTACGCATGTCAATATACAGTGCATGTTTCTTGTAACAAGACTGGGCCAATTTCTTATCACTTTGATAATTACAACAAAAAAGTTCACAGTATACACCAATGCTTATTGTGCTACATTATCAAGCTTTTCCAATGCTTCCGCACAGATTCTTTCACAAGGCAACTGCATGACCAGAACCCAACTTTATCTTAAATATAGACCGTCTTACACCTCCAATCAATCGCAAGTTTGCAATTTCCTATCTTTTATGTACATAGTTGCGATTGATATCAACTCTTTGTAATACAGGGCCCTGATTTCAGGCGGTATGTTTGCTCTCCAATACTTGTGATTCTACTAACACCACTAGCACCACTTGTAAATCACCCTTTGTGTAGAATACAAACACATAATATGGTTTGAATTCCCTCCCATTAGAAGTGAAAGCAGCAGAAATATATACAAGGCCAGTATTGTGCTTATGCTGGTAGATTTTACAGGGTGTTCAAAAAAAGTCCTTGTTCAAGGGCTCTTAAATTCTCAAATGCAGCCTATTGCAATCTGAGCCATTATATAAAGTATTTTCAGACATGTTTTATTACTAATATTGCATTACATTTGTTGGTTGAGAATGAAAATTAAGCTATTGCCGATTTTCAAACCTTTACAACAATACTTCAAACTTGCGACTGTTGCATGTTTAAACCTCTCACGGACCACCCTGTGTTCATGTTTTTGAAAGAAGCCTATCATTCTACTAAGATTCTAGAATAAGGTGTTTTATTTTTGTATGTAGCAATGCAGATATCAAGGGAAAGTGTCCCTTTAATATCATGCAGAATAGATTCAGTACTTATTTTTTTTAATAATTAGCAATGTTCAACATTGAAGAAGAAAAAATGTGAGATGTAGTTTAAAAGCAAGGATTGCCAAAAGAAAGATATAAATTTTTGAAAATAAATGTTCATTGAAGTGAGCTTGTAAGACTAATTCACTTCAGGTGTAGTTAATACCTTAAGAAAATCAAAATGCAGCTTTAATTTGTATGTTTCTGCCCAGAATTACAGTGCATGAAACCTTTATTTTATATAGATCAATATGGCAATAAGTTTATGATTGTATTTGCTTGAAAGGTGAGAGCTCATTTCTCAATAATTTCAATTTTTGTGGAAATTTTTTCCAAACAGTTGGTAATACTTGTATAATAAATATTGAGTATGAATTACTTTGAAAGCACATGAAAATTTTTATAACTTGACATTATATAAAAAATGATATAAATGTCTTCAATTCTATAGTTGCCAAAATGCTCCATTGTGTCAATTGTGTGTGCATCAATACTATGATGAATAGTATCTTTGAAGTTCGAATCCATGTTTTTTTTCTTTTAGAACAGGATTAGACTTCATTTCATTTTAAAGACAGATTAAAAAACATTTTAGTATTTCATTAAACAAGTACCTCTGATTAAATATTATTTAAATCTTTCTTTTTTCTTTATAACTTTTTTTTCCTTTTAACTTTTACAAAAAGTTGGTATTGTATGATCATGTGCAACTAATGTGAGAGCTTTAGCAAAGGGTATGCTGTAATTTTTATTTCTAACTTTGTTAAAAAGTTCGTATTGTATGATCATGTTACAACTAATTTGAGAGCTTTAGAAAAGCGTATAATACGGTACGATGCAAAAATCAAAATTATGTGACCATATCATTTATACTGCTGCCATGCCATAAGTACAGATATTTTTTATTTGTATTTGAATTTCCATTTGATTTTTTATGAAATACTTCATTTTTACTTTTATAATGTTAATATGTTGAGAAGGGTAGATCTTATAGAACACACCTAGTATTAGTTGTTGATATGATGCAGACTTATATTATTTTAGTTAATAGCCGGTAGTTATTATGTAGTAATGTAGGTATCTAAGGAGGGAATAGATAGAGAAGTATTTAGAACAGTAAAATACAGGAATGATACTAGCATTATAAATTGTTAAAATGCTAGAAAAAAATGGTGGAAAAGGTAAACTAAATACAAGGAAAGTATCACAGAAAAAAATACATCCTTTGTTGATGGAATTTTTTATCTCAAGAAAATGAGACCGAGAATAAAGACTTTGTTGTGATTGGTGTTGCTTTTTTTTGTCCCCCCGGATCTGTTAAGGATAAAGTAGAATATTCCTAGTTAGTTTTGCTCTCCCTTCTCTCTTTACTAAAAAGTAATGTCCATGAAAAGTGAATTTTCACCCATGTTCCATAGTCATGAAATTTCTCTTTGATGTTGCCCAAAGATGGGTAGAACGCTATGTAAAAGCAAGGGAATAGCATTCGCATTTGTGCTGTATAACTATACATGTATATGCATATTTATCCCAGAGCATGGTTTTGTGTGGTTGGTTTTACGCTTGTGAAGCATTATTAAATGTGGTTCACCGTCAAGAAGTATTTAGCCTACCATGCATATGTATGGTCACAATAAACATTAAAAAGCATTAAATACTAGAGTCTTGTTTTGTGCATATTTTTTTCCTGGGTGTATTCTTTTATTCTTGGCCTAGCCCTGTGCCTAACTGAACATCTCCCCTTTCAACTCTCTCTCTCTATTTCCTTTTCTCTGTTATTCTTTATGTTTCACTCTCTATCCCTCTCTCTCTTTCTCTTCCTCTCTCATTATTTCTTGCCTGCTCCTTATAGCAGCCCTTATTCAATATTTTCCATATACATGTAGTAAATAATATTTAAACGACAGCTATGAGAGAGACTAGATAAACAGTAAAGACTAATAGAATTCAAGTGTACATATATAAAGAGATGCACGTTACAGAAAAAAAGAAACAAGTTGTGTAAAAGTTGTAATGAATGTGGGAACTTTAGTGTGAAAGAAAACGCAGGTATCGGACAAGGTCATAGATTAAATCTAGATACGGATAGGGCGTCCTTCGATCAGTGATGAATACCATATACATGACTTGCATCAATATTACATAACAATTCGCTGCTGGTTATCACCGAAAAGTGGCACGAGAATGCACAAAACGGATCTAAACAAAAGAGTACTGAATTGCATTTCATTACCGTAATCTATTTTCCACATTCCAGTTTAAACATGCAAAATACAAAATAATGTGCATTTCATAAAATACATGTACAAAGGAATACATAAAGAAACAAACGTAACCAAGTATATATATATCTATATATATATATATATATATATGAAGAAGAAAACAAAAAATATATAAGTGGAAAACACTCCTTCCCTCGCATAGGACGTTAAAAGGAGGCCCCTTGAACAGGAGAGTCACCACCCTAATTGCACCCACTGCACTATTTGTATAAATGTAGGCCTAGGGGAAACCCCGGTGTAGTGGTCCACCTGCACACCCCAATCAGGTCGAGTGGATACGGCATCTGCAAGAATCTTCAGTATTGAAGAAGAAGAAGAAGAAGAAGAAGAAGAAGAAGAAGAAGAAGAAGAAGAAGAAGAAGAAGAAGAAGAAGAAGAAGAAGAAGAAGAAGAAGAAGAAGAAGAAGAAGAAGAAGAAGAAGAAGAAGAAGAAGAAGAAGAAGAAGAAGAAGAAGAAGAAGAAGAAGAAGAAGAAAGAAGAAGAAGAAGAAGAAGAAGAAGAAGAAGAAGAAGAAGAAGAAGAAGAAGAAGAAGAAGAAGAAGAAGAAGAAGAAGAAGAAGAAGAAGAAGAAGAAGAAGAAGAAGAAGAAGAAGAAGAAGAAGAAGAAGAAGAAGAAGAAGAAGAAGAAAGAAGAAGAAGAAGAAGAAGAAGAAGATGGAGAAATAATACATAAACATAGTAAACCAGATGGAGAAAAACAAAAGGAAAATTTGCTTATCTGGATTAATCCCCATAAGGATTATAATAAAGTAAACAAAGCAGAGAGGGGAGGGTGGGCATTATAATATTACCATTTCTTGGGCTAAGACAAAAATGGCATATTTAACATTAAGTGTGTTTTTTTAAATATGTACTTTTATCGCAAACATATTGTTTTGATAACATTGATATCCTTTCTGAATGGAGATGATGAAAAATTTAAAAAATGAAAAAAGATGTTCGCCCAATGTGGGGCTCGAACCCACGACCCTGGGATTAAGAGTCCCATGCTCTACCGACTGAGCTAACCGGGCTTCGCTGTCTCAGGAGGAGTCTTAATCGATGTATTCAATTCTTTTTTTAGCATTTGGCATTTATCCAAGGATGTTATGGAACGCGATCGGGAATATTCCTTTTTTCGTCCATGTACAAACCTAGTTTGCTGGCACAAACCCTGGTCAGTCGTAAAAGAGAGTCTGCACTATAAGACTACCATAGGCCATGTACTATAGCTGCTCCTGACACATATTGACACAACCAGTAGGTAGCTGGGCTAGGCTTCTCTCAAGGCACAATGATTTTTTGAAAAAATATCAAATTAGGGTCTGTGCTTGCAGACTAGTACAAACCCGTGGTACGTTACGGAGGTTTCTCGGGGGGGGGGGGGGGGGGGATTTCCTCATGTCTTTGTGATATCTCAATATTTCGATAGAATCCTGTCGTTCCATTGGTCAATTGTCAATAATTCTCTATAGAGATGATGGCGTTGATTGGCTAATGCGCTATCGAAATGTATCGAGATTTGTGAGTCTGACGGAGGATTCCATGGCCGATCGACTGAGCTAACCGCGGGCTCCCAGGCTGACATTTATTTTTCTGCTATATCATTATGTTGGTTGTTTGTTGTTGTGTAATTTAGGCAAGTCAGTAAGTTTATATTATTGCGAATACTATAAAGAATTTGTTTTTATTTGCGTATATTTCTTCTTCTTCTTAAAAAACCAGCAACAAATAAAAGGTCGAAGATAATGATATCATGTTTCCAGATTCCCTTTTACCGATCCTAGTCCCTTTTTTTGGACCTATCCTGACAAACCAGACGTGTTTCTGGGAGGGGGGGGGGGGGCGCTCTTTGTGATATCTCAATTTTATCTCGAAATAGCACCCCCCCCCCCCCCTCCCCCCCCCCCCCCAAAAAAAAAAAAAAAAACGGCGGCCAAAACACATTCAACATCACACACATTTTAACGAGCTTTATTTTCAAATAAAATAATGAGCTAATGTCTGCATGGGCATTATATACCTCAATTACTTGTACTACTCCCTTTTTTCTTCTTATGTGTATCGATTACTTTTATTCCTTCCCTTTATTAGCTGAAGTTGTCACCCCCCCTTCCCCATTTTCCCTTTTTTCATTTTCATTTTTATCATTTTATTATTTTTTAAATATATATAAATATATATATATATATATATATATATATATATTGCATCACCACCACACCACTCTTACACGTTACATGCAGGCCCCTCGGAAAGTTTTTCAAAGTGGAGTATAAACGATCAGGTATATAGCGTAAATTGCCGGGGTCCATGACCTGAGCCCCAGGGGGTCAAGAGGATGAGCCCCCGGAAGCTCAGGGTTTTTAGGCGTTAAATTACAGTCAGTTAGGCATATTTAGATACCTTATTTGTGACACTGGCAGGTCACTAATTGGCGGAGAGTCCAGGGGGCAGAGCCCCTGGAAGCTCAGGTTTTTTTAGGTATTTTATTACGGTCAGATGAGCATCCAGGGGACCGCCTTAAGGCCCTTGGTGGGGTCCAGGTGCGGAGCCCCCGTAAGCTCTGGGGTTTTAGGCATTTAATTACAGTCAGATGAGCATATTTTGATACCTCATTTGTGACATTGGCAGGTCACTTTTTTTTTTCTCTCTCTCTCTTTCCTACCCTTTTCTATGTAACTATACTATATACTTTTTTTCAAAAATTGGGCCCCCGAGCCCAGCCGTTATGCAGACCCTGATATAAAGGCTTCTAAAAAAGCATATATTTCGTCCGACTGTAAATTTGGGATTTCTAATTTTCCAACAAACGCATAAAAGGTGCTTACAAAAAATTGAGAAAAATACCGGAAAACCATGCCAATTCAGCAACATTTGTAAATTACTGGTATCGAATAAGAAATACCCCCCCCCCCACCCATCAGTACATTAGCATTCAGTGGCTCATGTCTTCTCACCCCGACAGACACGCTTTCCCATTCTCCGATATGTCAACGATATGTGCGTATCCCTATTATAAAAACCTCCATTGATAAATATGGGTGGCTTTCGCAATGTTTATGAAATTAAATTCATGTTAACTTTCCTTTTCTTTTAATGGAATTTTATATGTGATTATTTCAGGTTTTTATTATTGTTATGTCCTTTTGGGTTAAAAATACGAACCGTCTCTACTCTTTCACTGCTTTTTTTTTTGGGGGGGGGGGGGCGGGGAAAAAATGCGTTTACCCCCCCCCCCCCCCCCCACCACACACACACACACACACACACACCCATCCACCCTCGGTGCCCTAGGTCACAGAATGATCATCCGTAAATGAATAAAATAACAGTCATGCATAATGTCGCATTAAACAAATGTATAAACATTATGACGAAAATCATCCAACGACGATGGAAATGCCAACAACAATTTTGCATTCAAAACCACACTTGGCATTCTATAGTTTAGACATTCGTCCCATATTGCCGTCTACGTCGTATTTGCGTGCATGCCTGTAGTATTATACCCGCGGGAAATTTGTACAGGGCTCGACCGAGCTCGAGCTCCCTAGGCATCGGGTGGTGGTCGGCACGGCTACGTACGGGTACGGGTACAGACTACAGTCACGTCGCGTCGCTCGTGAGTTGGCTAATTCTAGATCGAGATCTAGATCTATCTAAGCTCAGCTAGCTAGCTGTAAGTTGGTGTTAGAACTATAGCCTCCGCTGCAACTGTACTGGGGATTTGGCATTATGAGTTGGGACGTTATTGCACTCGATTTTGGTAGCGAAGAAACCGCTAACTTTGGAACTCGTCAAGAGTCAGGGACGGCTCTTTTCCAAGTGCAGACTTTGGCTACAATTTCCAATTCAAGTCATGAAACGGTAACTATGAATGAGTATAATAAACTATGGTAGACCTCTAAGGCTCTATGATGATAACTAGATCTAGACCAAAAATTTCTTTCTGTTTTGTTCGTTAGCCTCTGATTCGGGTTGGGTCTGCTCCTCTCTTTGACGAGCGGACCCAACCCAAATCAGACTCAGAGGCTAACAAATGAAAGAGGCAGAAATTTCAGTCTAGATGATGATACTAGGCTTAACTTTTGTTCATGATCATGATGGTGAGTAATGGACTATTTTTGTCCAACAGAGAATATCCATTCAATACATACATGTCACATGTCACAAAGAACTTTGCAGGCTACAGTAGATTCTACAGTAAGTGTATGCGCTCTCATTGGCCGATTAGCTCGAGTGGCTTTGAATTTAAGTGAGAGAGGGCCTAGACTACTTAAATTAAGTTGAATTGCAAAGTTAATACGTAATATTATGACGTCACACACCACAGAGATTTTGACATGTCATGCTTAATAAACAGGTGACGCACTTCACAGATAACTAACGCACACGCATAAAAATATAGAAAAATCAACAAACGTGTCAGAATAAATTTCCAGTTTGTACCTTAAATATGACGAAAATGAGAATTGTTCAAACTTGAAAAATAGTTATGTAAGACTTAAACTTAAGTGAAATACTTAACCCTTTAAGGATGCTGAAAAAATCATAACTGATGGGGTCTAGGCCTAGAGGGTTTGACTGAAATATCATAATTTTGGTATTGGATGAAACAAAAAATTGCAAGCTTTCTCCTCGCACAAATATCTTATGACATTGAGTGAATGGGAGTCGGCAATAGCCAATAAGAAGGGCCCTTGTCGGCGCCAATTTAGTAAAATGGGTCTGCAATTTGCTGGGATCGGAATTTGCTGGGAACGTTCTGCGCATGTGCTAAATGTAAGCTAAAGTAGTTCTGCATGCATGATGTGTTTGTGACATAGACTAGTATAGCACTTAGTGCAGTGTTTGCCATAGATCTACTTGTATTTGTTAGTTACTATTTGTTTCTCTAGTCTCTTCTTTCTAGAACTATACATACTTATTTCACATCATTTGCTTATTCACTTACATATTCATCACTTGACCCAATTCCTAATTCCTCCATTCATCTCTACATACAATGTACCAAGTCGCCCATTTCACCTGGTTTGTTCCTTTGTTCTCTTCTCATTCTTTATTCATGGATCTTACGTATTTTCACTTCTTACTTATCATTGGCTCTCTTCTCCTTTTTATTTTGAATATTCAGTCTTACTTCTAAATTTTGCGCTATTGGTTAATGATGTATTTCATTTGAATATACTTTTATGTTGGAGATTTAGGAGACAGGATTGATTAAAGTTTGGCAGTGGTTTTGTGAATGATTGGTGTTTTAGAGATAGATTGGTAAGGGGTCATTTTATTAGATTACAGCAGCATCATGCAAGACAATTTCACATTGAGTAATCTTAACTGAGAATTTACATATGAAAGGATGAGAGCATGCTAGAGAATTTAACATTAAACAGTCTAATTTGAGAATTTACAAATGTAAAGGTGATGCAAGAAAATTTGACAATGAGTAGTTTAGTCTCATTCAAGAATTTACATATGAAACGATGAGAGCATGCTAGAAAATTTAACATTAAACAGTCTAATTTGAGAATTTACAAATGTAAAGGTAAAGGCATGCAAGAAGAATTTAACAATGAGTAGTTTAGTCTCATTCGAGAATTTACATATGAAATGATGAAGGCATGCAACAAAATTCCCATTGAGTACGTCGTACCTCAAGTGTCAAGACTATTGACTTGTTTCTCTTTTATGCCAGATTTCTACTGAAGTGGGTACCCCTTGAAAAAAAAAAAAAGCTGAAGATTATCATTAATAGAAAAGACATTGAAGAATGCGTTACCCAAGAAATCTGGCTGGCTGGCTCTCTGCCTACAATTTTACCAGGGAAAAAAATTAATATTTATTTTTCGGGGGCTAGTTTTCAAGCTTGACTGCATAAAAATAACACTCTAAAATTTGTTTTGCATTGAACTCTATGCAAATTTATGGGGGCTCTTTTCTGATTTTCGGGGGCTCTTTTGGGGGCAAATTTGCTCTCAGCCCCCGTTTTTTTTTTTTCACTGAATTTTACAAACATAACAAACTGACTCTGAGTCCAATGATCCAATCAGACCCAGGTATGAGAGTGAGAGGGTTATGGTTGGTCCCAGACATAAATAATCGGATCATTGGCCGTACAAAGAACAGCCTGAAAATTTTACTCGATCAAGGTTTAATACACTAGGAAGTGTTTGGAAATAAGAAAGACCTACTAATAATATGCTATCTTTCTTGTGTCTAAAGAGCAAATATTTTTCAAGAATTTTGCTGATTATGCTGACTTTTTTTCCTCCTATAAAGATAAACTTGAGTTAGGGTAAAAAAAGAAAATGAATTCTCACAGAATCAAACGAATACACTGAATGTTCAAGATTACAAATAAATGTCATTTGCCAGACAATTTTGGTTCTGGCTGAATAATGAGCATAGAAAGATAAGGAAATCAAGGTAAGTAGGCCCGACATCATTTGTGTAGTCCCATATGCATCTTTCTGTGTACAGTGCTTGTTACTTTACCAAGACTGGGCCAATTATGATTTTGATGACTCCAGAACATTGCAGCACACACCAATACTTAAATGCTACATGATCAACTTTTTTTGATCCATTCCACACCTTTTCTTTCACAATGCAATCGCATGACCAGAACTCAACTCTATCTTTTTAGTAGAGGTCGATTGCTACATTTTATTGTTATTATTATTATTCGCCATCTCTTTGTTATTTTATTCAAGGTCACTCGCCTTCCTCATGTCACAGCATCCGGCTCTCAGGCTGGTATGTGTGTTACAGCAGATACAAATGCTTCTTTGTTCAATGACGGTTGCCAGGCCCTGAGCGCCGCTCTAAGTTTTGGTAAGTCAAGCGATAAGCCGAGTTTAAGCTCACAATCACAATTGCCTCCAGATCACGGGCAGATACTGCTTGTCACAAACGAGTAGAAAGAGATAAGATGGAGAAGAATGAGATAAAGTAAAAGAAGGAGAAGAAGATGAAGGAGAAGAAGAGGAGAAGAAAAAGATGAAGGAGAAGAAGGAGAAGCAAATAAAAGGAAAAGAAGATGAAGGAGAAGAAGAAGAAGGAGAAGAAGGGAAAGGAAGAAAGCAAATGAGGAGGAGAAGAGAAAGACAACAATAATGTAGCTATGGAATAGGCCCAGAAATATTTCATGAAGCTTACATATATGTCATGGGCTGAAAATTTGTAAGTGGCTCTCTTCTTTCATGAACTATTTTGAAATTCAGGAGTTCTATGTCACCTACATTTCATAATTCTTTTATGTATGTATTAATTACTTCTATCTTAATGTTAATAAAGCTATTCTAGGTTTACACGGACCTCTTTAATCAATCTTCTGACATGTTTATGTTTTCAGAGTCTGTGATAGAACTCGCAGCTTGGGCAAATGACCTGCCATTCTTGATCCTTGCTGAACGAAACGGAACTGTCCATGTGTACCAAAGTGGCTTGAACAGGCTTCTCATCTCACAGGTATGGTCTTCACTCACGAGGTCAAAGGTCAATGGTCAAATTTGAAGAATATTACTTTGTTGTTGTTGTCCTTATTGCAAACTTGAAAATGTGTTCAGGGATATATCACCTTGCATATTTTTAGTCATGTGTAAGTGCCCAAACACACGATTCATTGAATTTTCCTTGAGTCAAATCAATTCTTATGACCAAACAATGCATAATATGTGTTATTGAATATTACTAAGTTGAATTGTTGCATCATTTTATTGCACTCCCAACAGATTCAACTTATGCACACTTAACTCCATGTGAGTGACCTCTGGCAGAGGCAATAATGTTTTTATGCCTCCGCCACCGAAGGTGGTGCCGGAGGCATCATGTTTTCGGGTTGTCCGTCCGTACGTTCGTACGTCCGTCCCGTTTGACCGTTATCACAATATCTCAAGAACCATTTAAGATTTAAACTTAAGACTCGGGAATAGTATTTATCACCATAGGAAGACGATCTGATTAGATTTTGGAGTACGTAGGTCAAAGGTCACAGGTCACAGAGGTCAACTTATGAAATTCCTTGTATTGAGTTTGTTAGCGCGATATCTCAAGAACCATTTGAGATTTAAACTTCAAACTTAAGGATAGTATGTATCACCATAGGAAGACAATCTGATTAGATTTTGGAGCACGTATGTCAAAGGTCAAGGGTCACAGAGGTCAACTTATGAAATTCCATACATTGAGATTGTTATCATGATATCTCAAGAACCACTGGAGATTTAAACTTCAAACTTAGTGATAGTGTGTATCACTATAGGAAAACAATCTGATTACATTTTGGAGCACGTAGGTCAAAGGTCAAGGGTCATAGAGGTCAACTTATGAAATTCCATACATTGAGATTGTTATCATGATATCTCAAGAACCACTGGAGATGTAAAAACTTCAAACTTAAGGATAGTATGTATCACCATAGGAAGACGATCTGATTAGATTTTGGAGCACGTAGGTCAAAGGTCAAGGGTCACAGAGGTCAACTTATGAAATTCCATACATTGAGATTGTTATCATAATATCTCAAGAACCACTGGAGATTTAAACTTCAAACTTAATGATAGTGTGTATCACCATAGTAAGACAATCTGATTAGATGTTGGAGCACGTAGGTCAAAGGTCAAGGGTCACAGAGGTCAACTTATGAAATTCCATACATTGAGATCGTTATCGCGATATCTCAAGAACCACTGGAGAATTTTCACTTCAAACTTAATGATAGTATGTATCACCATATCATAATATCTCAAGAACCACTGGAGATTTAAACTTCAAACTTAATGATAGTGTGTATCACCATAGGAAGACAATCTGATTAGATTTTGGAGCATGTAGGTCAAAGGTCAAGGGTCACAGAGGTCAACTTGTGAAATTCCATACATTGAGATTGTTATCATGATATCTCAAGAACCACTGGAGATTTAAACTCCAAACTTGTTTAAATTGCTCTTTGGCGGAGGCATCATTTTCGACTGCGCGCAGTCAAAATTCCATCTAGTTTTTTAATGATTCTGAAATATAGAATTGTTCTGTATGGTCATTACCGGTAGTTATATCAATGACTGTTTTTCTTTGATTTCTATATCTTTTTGCTTCACCATAGACACTACTGGAAAGAAGCGAGGATGAATTGGACAGTGTCTGTTTTAAACAGATCAGCATTACGGAGGATACGGAAGGTAGATATTTATTTGTCAATTTTTTTTTTTACCTTGGCCCCCTCTAATGCCTCCCTTGCTAACACTTTTCCCCTCTCAGTTAAATCAAGCAATATAAAATATTTTGTCTTATTCTCAAAACTTAAATGTACTCTGTAAACTTATTTTATTACATACATATTTATCAGTATTTCGTTACTTGTAATTCATTTGTTCTATTATATATTGTAATACATATATGTCATTTTTAATTTGTGGATATTTGAGTGGAAAAATAAATAAAATAAAATAAAATCGAATCAAACTAGTGCTAGTGCTACAGATATTGTAATAGGTACTGCTCATACAACCACCACTAACACCACTACCAACATCACCACTACCACCATCACCACTGCCACCACTAACACCGCCACCACCAACAACAACTCCATCAGCACTGCCACCACTTCTTACTCCACAATTATTTCCACTACCACCACCACCAATACCATCATCTCCACCACCACCCCCATTACCTGTATCATCGTCATGATTACTACTACCACATCCAACTCTAACTCCACAACATTCCCAACTTAACTACCATCCCACCACCAATACCATCACCTATATTATCATCATCACCATTACCACCACCAACTCCAGCTCCAGTAACATTCCCAACTTCACTACCACCTCCATCACCAACACCAACACCAACACCACCTCAAAGAAGAATACTGATTGTGAGATGGAAAAACTATCCAGTTTGGTGAAAGACACTGTGTTCCATTCAAATTTTTACAGCATCTCATCTTTAGAGATGCTGCTTAGAACATTTATTATTAATATATATACTTATTCTCAGAAAGAAACATTGAAGAAGTTATATCATAAAGTACTTTTATAATAAATGATAATATGATGATATCTCAATAAGATGATCATGTCTTTTGATGTTTGCAGGTAAACATGTTATTCTGCTGTTAGCATCAACAAGCATGCTATTCAGGCTGTCCAATGTAGACCTGAGGAAACTTCACGACGGTGAGGATAATTTTACTATCCCTGTTTTTATAAGATCATGATTTTAAAGCATAGAGATGTTGTAGTTGTGTGGTTAAAATACTTGAAGGTAGATGCGAAGGTCGTAGGTTCAAGCACAGGCTCAGCACTTATATTGGCAAGATATCATTCTACATTTGCCACCCCTCAAGCCAGGCGTTGAATTGGTCCTTAACAGGAATTAATTCCTTGAATGCTGTGAGTGCTCCCCCAAAAAAGAAAGAGCTGTGATAATATTGAGCCCCTTAAAGGTGGATATGAGTGCTATACAAGTTTCCAATATCATTGTTATTAAAGATATCCTTATTGTCATGATATTGGATGATATGATTTTTTATATATGTTTTTATAATATGAATTTTATATGTTGTGTTGTGTGCTGTGGTTTGATCTATGCATATTAATCTGATGGAATTTTTGTTTATTATTACAGTGATCCAGAATGGAGACTTAGCATCTGCCAAACAGGTAACAAAAACTATGTTTGGCCACAATCTGAGGCTTGGTACACTCACTTGTGTACTGGACTGCTGATTTTTCAGGTCATGGTTCAAAGTACAGCTTCTTGGTGATCATGACACTGCACTATACAGTGCAGTTTCTTGCCCCACAAAGCAGTTAATTTTTGTATAAATAAGTAAATTTGAATATATTTTATCAAAGAAACAGAACAAATTAAATGTTACCCAATATCCCACTGCTGCTACCACATCAATAAAGAAGAAGCTATCACATCAGATTTAGGATACAATTGAATTGTTTCATTTTTATTGAGACTCGGGCTGAACAGAGCTGACCAAAAGATGAACATTAAAAAGCATCTCACCACTCAACAGTAATTAATTGTAAATCCCTTTATCCTCTTTTGTATTGATTGCTTTGGCTGAAACAGATTTTTGAGGAAATGTAAATCTCTTTGTCCTATTCTGTGAAGATACAAGGTCAGAGCCCTGTTTCATCAAACTTGTTATCAATAAAAAATTACACTAACTGTGATAAGCTACTGAAATTATGGCATTTGACTGGCTGAGAGCAATTTTGTCATAGCATTGTAGTATTTGTTTTTTTATTGATAACAAGTTTTATGAAACAGGGCCCAAATTGTTTGGCATGAAACAAGATTTTACATAGTGTGTTTATAAAAATGTATACCGGTAAATGAAACTTTGAATCAATTTTTCTAAAGTTGTACCTTTAGATCTGTTATATTCTATGAAGCTACAAGGTCAGATTGCATTGAACGAAACAGACTTGTCTGATATTATTCATTGTATTAATGTTGTTTATTGTAAAAGTCCTTAATTGTAAAATGTCATTATTTATTAAAATGTAAATCTCTTTGTCATGTTCCATGAAGCTGCAAGGAGAGATTGCTTTGGACGAAACAGATTTGTCTGCTGTCCACGAGGAAGGTGTCACTGACCTAGCAACCATTGTTGTGGGTGGACAGATACATATTGTGACTGCAGTAAGTGAAACCACCCCCTCTGAAATGTGATGGGACAAGTTATATGTACTTCAGGGACCCGTTTCACAAAACCTTCTTTCAATGACAAATGACAAAAATCAGTGACAAATCTGCTGATAACCAATCAGAAGCATGGATTTCACTAACTTATAACAAAAACTGTCATTTGTCACTGATGACAAGTTTTGTGAAATAGGGCCCAGGAAAGTAACCGCCTGATATTATCATGAAGTGGGGATTGGATAATCAAAGATTTTGACAGTGTTTGGCTAATTTTAGAAGAGATGTCTTAATTAGAAAGAGATTTCAATGTTCCTGCGGCTCAAGTGATTGAACATTTGTAATTCATTCAATGGGTCCATGGTGTATGCTCTGACGTATGCTCCAGGTTTCAGTTTGTTCGAGATATAGGTTAAGGTTGCAGTTGGTGTTAGGTTGGGTTTAGGCATAGGCATAGGGTTGGGGTTAGGTATGATGTTTGATCTAGAATTTTAGTTGAGAATTTAGTCAATGTACACTAGTAACCTGTTGCCTACTGGAACCGTGTGGTTCCTGACTTAAGTCTACAGGAATGAAGGAGTTCAGTAGTCAATGGGTTCGCACAGAGCAACTGTTGCTGGAGTATGTGTTGTACAGTGCTGTGAGGATGTGAATGTATGTAGATACAGTCAAACCTGTCTATAGCAATCGGTCAAGGGAAACACAAATGTGGTCTTTGTAGACAGGTTCCTTTGGTACATGTTTCAATGAGAAACCATTTTCAAGGGAAACAAAAAAATGTGGTATTTGTAGACAGGTGGTCACTAATGCAGGTTTGACTGTAGTAACCTAGGTAATGTTTTATGATTTGAAAACTATTCCCTGTACATCACCAAGCTGGTCAACAATCCTTACACAACTCTCCACTTGATTCAGAAATAAGAATTTACAAGTCCATGAAGTTGAAAATCAATCTAAATATCTGTACAATGCAATGACACTACCTGTTTTATAATGCTACATGTATTTGTGTAATCTTTGTCCATTCAGGGTGGAGGTGACTATGTTTTGGCCATTTGGAAATGTCAGAAGCGGATAACTGTTCGCCGAAGACTGAAGAAAAATATGTTCATGGGTGAGTGTACTTGTATGTTGTGTTTTCGTTTCCATTAGTGTCTTATTGGAACATATGTGAGAAAAGAGTGTTATTTTTAGGTGCCATGGAAGAGGAAAGATTCGACTCAATTATTGTTTAACTTAGGGCAAATCAAACTTGAAGATGAAAGCAATTTCAGCCATTTTTCATTGAACAAAATTCATAGGTCTTTTCATTTTCATTCCAGTCTACAGGTCTGCAGTTTTTTTTGCCACTGTCAGAAAATTTAAATTTGGGTATTTGCACTTCAAATTTGCTTGACTTCTCTGATATGATATTGATACAAATGTTTTTAATGTTTTTTATGATTTTTAATATTGCTTTTTATGTCTGAAGGTAAATAATACTTTGTTTCTATCCCCTTTCAGCTGGAGAACAACTCATCAAATGTGTTGTCAGTGGGAAATACATCTTTACTTTAGATGATGAGGTAACACTTGTTTTTTATGTTAATATTTGTCACTCCCCCCTGCCTGCTCCTAATTTCACTGTCTCTCTCTCCCTCTGTTCTACTTCTGTTGTTCTCTCTTTCTCTTTTTTCCCTCTCTTCTTGTCTCGCTCCCTATCTTTCTCTCTCTATCTTTCTCTCTCTCTCTATCTCCCTCTCTCTCTCTCTTTCTTTCTTTGTTCTCCTTCTCCCCCAGTCTTTGTCTTTGTCACTCAATGTGTCTATATGATAATAATGATGGTTAATAAGTAGAGGTGTTGTGGTCGTCTAGTGGGTACCTCACTAGACGGTGGATCACATAGTTAATGGGTCAAGTCCTGACGCGACACCGCCCTTTAGCAAGACATTAATTTACATTTGCCACTCTCCACCCAGGTGAAGGAAATGGGTAACCGGTAGGAAGAAATTCCTTTAATGCTTTAGCGCCTTTCATGGTGGCTCAGCTACAGCCGGGTAATAATATGATACTTTGTGTCAGTTTATACTGTTATCAATGATACTTGTTGGCATTTTTCTTGGCATTTACTTTCCAAGTTCTAGTGGTGATTGGAATTAGTTTTAACACTAATTTGATCTCATTTGTACTTTTATTTCTATTACATATGCATAATTTATTGAATAAAGAGCAGATTTATATTTTGTGTGTTTATTAAAAGTTTTGGTTGGTAATTTTTAGTCAGACAATGGTGCGCTTAGAAACACCCATATTAAGCGCCTAATAAATGTTGTGTATTATTATTATTATTATTAAGCGTTGTAGAGTATATTCATATAGTAGCTGCGCTATATAAATGGACATATTATTATCATTACTAATAACAATTGAACATTTTTTCTGATATGCAGCATAAATTGTGTTGTTGGAATGCTTCTCTAATACTTGTGTGTTCATGGCCGCTGAAAGTGAGGGACTTCTTCCTTACTGCTGACAACAACAACAGGTGAGCAAGTGCTAGGAAAATCTTAAAGGCATTGTTTAGCAATGCCAAATCTGAGATGCATGGCCCTACATGTTATCAGTGTCTGTGATATGGTGTAATACTGAAGCCCTAAGAAGATTGCGCTTCAAAATGATCAATAAGTGCCTCAAAAAAGTAAAAAAATCTTTGAGTGACCGATTTTACCATACTTTACCAGCATCAGTAGAGTAGAGGTGTTGTGGTCCAGTGGATAAGTCTCTGGTCTGTGAGCTACAAGGTACGGGGTTCAGATGCCTGCTGCAGCACTTATGTCCTGTATCAAGACATTAATCTACATTTGCCTCTCTGGACCCAGATGAAGTAGATAATAATAATACATTTATAAAGCGCAGAAACTATCCAACATTAACTATATATTCTACTGTGCTTCAAGACCTCCTGATGTGCTTAGATTTACAGTTAATTGAAAAGATGTGTTTTCAGTTTTCCTGACTTTAAATGGCAAGTTATTCCAGAGTTTTGGGGCTGCACAAGCAAATGCTCGATAATATAGCATTATTTTTGTTTTAATAGATGGGATCTGCAGTAGCAAAGTATCTCGGGAACCTGGCAGGAATCAATTTCTTAAAATGCTCGAGTGCTGGAACGGCAGCTGGAACGGCCAGGGTACCAATAATGGAGCGCAAGGAGAGGCAATGTGCCAGACATGAGCACTATACCAGACTCCACTATTATTATTATTATTATGTAATCCTACAGTCGTGGCAACCATAGGGCAGTTGTATCTTAATGAGAAATGAAAACCTGTTGATGCTAATTGCGCCATGATATTGGAACTTTTAAACTCCAAAGTGTTTCACTTGCTTCCCATCTATAGGAAAATATTTGCTGATTCTTTTAACATTTTATTTGAAATCTAACCGTTTGCTATTCAATAGAAAGCCCTGTTTCCAGTTCCTTATATTTGGAGGGGAATTCTTGAATGGTATTCTATCTTATATATGACTGAAATGCTATAACTTTAGCCTAAAGAAAAACACAAGTACCTTTAGTTCCTTTGGTAGCTTAAATAGGTAGCTTAAATAGGTAGCTTAAATAGGTAGCTTAAATATGGAAATGTAGTTTTCATACATAGATGCATTCACACCCTAAAAGACTTTGTTGTTGGCATGTTCAGGGAGATGTGACTTGGTCTGGCGGCACGTTCACTTGGTCAGCTCTCTGTCTTCACTTACAAACTGGCTCAGGCGACCCCAGTTTGAAACTGACTCATGTCTGTCGGATGGTGAGGTTAAAGGTCGGTCGCCAGACGTAAATAATCATATCTGATTGATACACGTCTGATAAACCAAATTACACACACATGTATTAAAAAGTATAGTCTGACTTAATTTATGAATGACATTTTGATTTGTAGTGAGGCAAAACCCCAATTCCAGCTTGTGATGTTGACGGTCCCGGACAAAAATGAAAGTAACTTGAAAGTCTACGACCTTCCCAGCATGCAGTGCACCTACACACTCTCCGTCGGTCCTCTCTCCGTGCTAGCAGACACACCAAACAATCAGGCAAGTTTTTTTCTTTTCTTCCACAAGTTATGCAATGTGATCGGTAGTTTTGGGGGTATGATAGAACATAATAAAAGAATAAATTTCTTTATTTAGAATGTCATCATTCATTAAGTATTTATGTATTCATTTTCCAGTGTAGACCTCATGTCTTTTTTCATTGAAGAAAAAAAAAGGAATTCTAAGCCATTTGTATGTGAAATGTCAACATTTGTTTGGTGTTTTTCATAACTCAAAAATGAAACGTGGACTGGTTGAATTAGGGCCTTTGTTGGATACTTTTAGATGTAAGCTTTAATATATAACATTCTCAAAAGACATAAATCATGACAAATTAATTTTTCACTCACTTCAAAAATTACAAAAATTGGTAAGGGTATGAATAATTTAGTTGTTAATTTTATATTCCTGGCCCTCTCATCTTAAGTAATTTTCACATTTTGTTTCTTAACACTTTCTTTCTCTCTATTAAACAGGACTCCATCTTCCTGGTAGAAGGGCGCAATGAAGATGAGGATGGTTCCAGCACGGTCGGTATGTTGATGGTACGATGTCTGATGGAGGCGCTACCTGAGACTCGTTTTCATCGTCTCCTGCACAAGAAGGAGTTTGATGAAGCGGAGAAGTTTGCCAAGCTTTTCAGCCTCAACACTGAAGTAAGCAATCTCAGTACATTCTCGCTCCCTTGCATAAACATAAATAGTTGCGGTGGGACCTATAACAATTATTTCCAGTTTATCATTCAGGTGGGATGGAACCTTTATGTTTATCTAGGATATTTCCTGTCTTTGAGAAACTATTTCGAAACCAGAGAAAGTGTACTTGATACACGCTTCATAAGTATTATAATTTTGGAATGATATAGCTTTATCGTTCAGGTGGGATGGGACCTTTATGTTTATCTAGGATATTTCCTGTCTTTGAGAAACTATTTCGAAACCAGAGAAAGTGTACTTGATACACGCTTCATAAGTATTATAATTTTGGAATGATATAGCTTTATCGTTCAGATGGGATGGAACCTTTATGTTTATCTAGGATATTTCCTGTCTTTGAGAAACTATTTCGAAACCAGAGAAAGTGTACTTGATACACGCTTCATAAGTATTATAATTTTGGAATGATATAGCTTTATCGTTCAGGTGGGATGGAACCTTTATGTTTATCTAGGATGTTTCCAGTCTTTGAGAAACTATTTTGAAACCAGAGAAGCTGTACTTTATAAAGTATCCTCGCATTCCTATCATCATACTTTAGATTTGTCCATCCTTGTTGCAATAAGCAAAAAAAATCAACTTAAGCAAAAAGAATGCACCAATTTATCCTTGCATTTGAAGCATCACAACTGAAACTTTTATTTAAAGAGGAAAGCCATAAGATTGTTCATACAGTCTTAAGAAATGTTACCAGAAACATTGGGTTGTACTACACATGCTCCTGTAACAGTTGCTATGTGGTAAATTTTGTACATGAACCAAAATCCTAACATCAACCCTAAACCGAACACTATCCCCAATCCAAAAACTAACCTAACCTAAAACTTAAGCCCGGGAGGAATCGTCCTTAAAATAGCAAAGGTTGGTTCAGCATTGATCCTTGGTATTCTTCAGGTTCATTTTATTGCTTCATGAATAGCAACACCTATACTTATTTGTTGCTTTAGTAGAAGGTGTCGTGGTCTAGTAGATGTAGATAGGTCACCGGACTGAGGATCACAAAGTTTGTGGTTCGAGTCTCGCCGCGGCACTACCCTTTGTTTGCTATCAATGTCAATTAAGTAATGTAATGTTGTAAAGCGCTGTGATACACATGTATGTCTGTAAGAGCGCTATATAAATGCCAATATTATTATTATTATTATTATTATTAATCTACTCTAATCTGTCACTCTCCACCCGGGGGAAATAAATAGGTACCCAAAGTAGGAAGAAATTCCTTGACTGCTTTAGCTCCATATCATGGTGGCTCAGCCGGGGTAATAAAGTGCATTAGAGTATTTTCATATAGTAGCAGCGCTAACTAAATATAAATGGACATATTAATATCATTATTTATTTTTTTGCATCACTTTGCAGCTTGTCTATAGAAGCAAAGCCTTGGCTCTTTTAGAGCAAGCATCATCTTGGACCAAACACTGTCCCCAATCCCATACCAAACCTAACCTAAAATCTAAACCTGGGAGCAAAGATATTCTTCAGGTTCATTTCATGGTTTCACTAATAGCAACACTACCTCTTATTTGATTTTGTTCATTTATTTATCACTTTGCAGCTTGTCTACCGAAGCAAGGCCTTGGCCCTTCTAGAGCAAGCATCATCCTGGAGCCCTGCCGCCCTACGAGGGAGCCCTGTAGGGGATGATAACAAGCTGTGCGGGGACATGATGGCATGCCTAGAGAAGATCGCTGATGTTGAGTTTGTGGTTGATGTCTGCTCCAAGGCTGCCATGCCTGCCTTTGAAGACACGGCAAAAATCCTGCAATATGCTAGGACTAGAGTGAGTGAAGCACAATGTATAATCCGACGACTGGGAATTGTGATATTATAAATATGTGTTTCCATGAATTCATATGCGAAGTGGAGGCCATTGAATAAGTAAAGTCACAAAAAAGCAGGGTAACTTTTAACGAAATCCTTATGTTGAAACTCTGAACTCACCTGGCTGTCATCTGAGTAATCGCTAGAGAGCTCTTGATAAAGTATCTCATTGATGCAGGGCATGATCTAAATATATATAGAACTTGACAAATGTATTTTTCATCAGTATATTGTACAAACACCAAAACAGTTTTTGATATGAAGTGCTCTAATTTTTGGGGGTAATTTTATTTGGCATGATGAACTTTTGTTGAATCATGGTCCAGCTTTCTTTTTGCAGACAAAGAGTTGACTTTTCTAAATAAAAAGAATTTGGTACTAAACACTTTTTTCCAGTCTATTGTCTCTAATGATATATTGCCCAATGCATTTTTACTCTGGCATCCAAATATATTTTATTAACGGTAGAAGTGAAGTATTATTCTCAGTAATTGAATTTATCACCAGTGCATCACAAATTTATTTTCAGCTCGCAAAGATAAAGGGTAAAGATGAAATGGAAAACAAGACGGAAGATCAACTCTCTATGGTGAGTCTCGGTCCATCCAGTAATGGTCACATCAAATTAAATTGCCTACTTAAAGGGCAATCTAACCTAGTAATACATTGAGCTGGATGAAAACAGAACAACAAAAATAGAGAAAAAGAATTGAGAAAGCTGAATGATGTTGGATAAATAAAATAAAAAATATGTGAATTTTTAATCATTTGACTATGATGTATGTGGGGACAAGAGTTAATATTCAAAATCATTTTTTTATATTTCGGAACAATGTCTTGAAGACTGAAATGTGTTATGGGAGGAAAGCTTTACAGCACACTGTACAGTCCTAATGTCTTTGCTTGTCTTTTGCATAAAAAGGTATTTAACCTATTTAATCAAACATTTACTGTTTTTCTTATTTATTTTGAAAGATTCTGGATACATTACACAGACTGGCCACCTTCAGCCTTGTGTACGGAACCAGTGAATACAGGTAAATCAAATATTTGTAGCAAACTGTCCTTAAATTTCAAATATTGCATTATTTATGATTTCATCATCTTACACATATTTGATCGGTTGCAGGATAAGTGTTGAATACTGGGCCCAAAAGACACAGAATGGGGGTCTGTGGAAAATTGTCTTTTGAGAGAATCTTGAGCCAACCACACAATATACGATCTAACTGCATTTTTGATTTTCAAAGACATTTCATTGTCATCAGAAGTAACGATTAAACATGCATTATATTTGTGATGAAGAATTCATTGGTAATGTCAACACTTTATTTGAAGGCCCTTCATATATTGGCAGTAAAAAAAATATACAAAATGTTTAAAAGAATCAATGAAATAATTGTGCATTTCGAGCCGATTTTTAAAAAGCAAACTACACACACACACACACACACACACACACAACCAATAACTGATGAAGGGCGATTAATCTTTTACTTCAAATACAATAGTAATTGGTATTACCATGACAGCTCAATGGTCGAGCATAAACAAGGGTTAGTTTGGGTCCCAGGATTTAAGCCTAATCGATGTGCGCGTACTGTGTAGTGCTAATCCACATTACCTAGTCCCTCAGATAGTATTTAAAGCTGTAGGTCCCCTCAGTTGCTTACTAATACAAACATATAATTACTTTCTTAGCAGTCAGGTAAAACAAACCCTCAATCATCACATTTTTGTTTTATATAAGAAAAATATTATCAAGTCATATTTCTTTAGCGCTTAATATGGTTCCATGACACATGCTCCGCCGACGATTGCTCCGCCGACATTTACTCCGCAAAACGCGACAATTGCTCCGGGACATTTGCTCCGCGACATTTGCTCCGACGTCAAATGCTCCGCCGACAGGTGCTCCGCCGACAGTTGCTCCGCCGACAGTTGCTCCGCCGACAATTGCTCCGCCGACAGATGCTCCGCCGACAATTGCTCCTCCGACAATTGCTCCGCCGACAATTGCTCCGCAGTCAATTGCTCCGCAAAACGCGACAATTGCTCCGCCGACATTTGCTCCGCCGACATTTGCTCCGCCTGAAGCGACACTTGCTCCGCCGACATTTGCTCCGCCGACATTTGCTCCGCCGACATTTGCTCCGCCGTCAATTGCTCCGCCGACAATTGCTCCGCCTGAAGCGACAATTGCTCCGGTGACATATGCTCCGCCGACAATTGCTCCGACGACATTTGCTCCGCCGACAATTGCTCCGCCGACAATTGCTCCGTCGACAATTGCTCCGCCGACAATTGCTCCGCCTGAAGCGACAATTGCTCCAGTGACATTTGCTCCGCCGACAATTGCTCCGACGACATTTGCTCCGCATGAAGCGACACTTGCTCCGGTGACATTTGCTCCGACGACATTTGCTCCGCCCAAAAAGTGTCCCATTAAATACAAATGCTACTAGTACTACGACAAATGCTTCGCCGACAATATTTTTTTTTCACGGGTTGTTTTTGTTTCTTTCTTTTTTTCTTCATTTTTTGAATGCATTTCATGACATTATGTAAATGAAATGAAATGAATGAATGTTGATAATGTGGGAGGAAAAAGCAGTTGCCTAAAAGTCATTTCGAATATACTGAAATAACTTTCCATCTATCACTGTACGTCCCACATAATGTACACTAAACACTCATTACATGTCATGGGAAGTTTTTTTTTTTTAAAGTAGAGCAGCAAGCCACATTTCCCAATACGCGCATACCTCCTAGTTAATTTCAAACAGCTCATCAATATGTAAGACCTGAAATTACCTCAATGAAAGAAGACTAATAACATGAGAGGAAAGAAAAGAGCAAAAAAGACAACCGTTTTTTGCTATTCCCCATAATGTTTGATTTAAAAAAATAAAAAATAAAATTATAGCTCCTTACGCAAGTTCTCCGGCGAAAGATAATTACTCCGCTCAAAATCTGTTTCATGTATTACTCATTAGCTGATCCAAAGCTCAAGGCTATCTCTCTCTCTCTCTCTCTCTCTTTCTCTCTCTCCCATGCTCCTCCTTTTCCTGTTTACACCGTTTTCTTGTCTTCTTTGCTCTTTTCTTTCCTCTCATGCTATTAGTCTTCTTTCATTTCCATCACTTCTTCTCTGCTCCCCCTCTCGAGTTCTATTTCTCTCGTGAAATTGAAACGTAAAGTAATACAATCATGTAGTACATTCTTGTTTAGAATAATATTTTCAATAATATCCAGTCCATTTTCTAAAGGTTTCTTTCCTTTAGTTAAGTGTATGTAGCTTTAATATATATATGTTATTGTGCAAAACACTCCGTTTCATTCGAGTACTTTGTTTTCACTAAATAATTTAAGGGACTCACGAAGCCACCGGAAGAAGAGCAATTGGCTTATCATGAAGAACTAACATCAAACTGCAACAAAATGATTTGTATAAATGTGAATAAGCAGAAAGGCTGCCATCTCATTTTCCCGTCTGAATGGGTTCTCTTCCTTACGTATATAAGTGCCCTTATTTTCTAAACTTTTTTTTTATATTTGTGTGTTTATTAAATTTTCAATCATATAAAAATTACATATTTACAAGTCATTGGTAATAATTAGACAAACAAAAAAACCAATATGTATAAGAACAACTAACAATAATGAAAGGACAAGAAAGTTATAAAAAAAAACATTATAGTAAAAAAAAAAAATACACTGTACACATATAAATCATAGTTTGAACTCCAGTGCATAAAGGGGAGTGAGGGGGCACAGGAATAAAAGTTAAATCAACATGAGTATCATAAGTCAAATCGCCATTTCTTAAAATGCGAAACAAGCTTGTTCCTTTTTTTCGCTGAGAAATATTCAATATCTTTTTGTTTCTTTATAAAACTCTTAAAAAGATCAACACTTGGTAAATCCCCCTTACTTATTTTCTAAACTTCCATGATGACCTATTACATTGTATAATGCTTTACCTAGTAAGATGCATTGATCGAGGTAATTTCAGGTATTACATATTGATGAGCTACTTGAAATTAACTAGGAGGTATGCGCGTATTGGGGAATGTGGCTTGCTGCTCTACTTTTTTTTAAAAACTTCCCACGACATGTAATGAGTGTTTAGTATACATTATATGGGAGGTACAGTGATAGATGGAAAGTTATTTCAGTATATTCGAAATGACTTTTAGGTAACTCCTTTTTCCTCCCACTTCATCAACATTCATTCATTTCATTTCATCTACATTATTTCAAGAAATGCATTCAGAAAATGAAGAAGAAAAAAAGAAACGAAAAAAATAGGTGTAAAGAAAATATTGTCGGCGAAGCATTTGTCGTAGTACTAGTAGCATTTGTAGTTTATGGGACACTTTTTGGGCGGAGCAATTGTCGGCGGAGCAAATGTCGGTGGAGCAAATGTCGGCGGAGCAAATGTCGGCGGAGCAATTGTCGCTTCAGGCGGAGCAATTGTCGGCGGAGCAATTGTCGGCGGAGCAAATGTCGGCGGAGCAATTGTCGCTTCAGGCGGAGCAATTGTCGGCGGAGCAATTGTCGGCGGAGCAATTGTCGGCGGAGCAAATGTCGGCGGAGCAAGTGTCGCTTCAGGCGGAGCAAATGTCGGCGGAGCAATTGTCGCGTTTTGCGGAGCAATTGACGGCGGAGCAATTATCGGCAGAGCAATTGTCGGCGGAGCAATTGTCGGCGGAGCATCTGTCGGCGGAGCAATTGTCGGCGGAGCAACTGTCGGCGGAGCAACTGTCGGCGGAGCAACTGTCGGCGGAGCATTTGACGTCGGAGCAAATGTCGCGGAGCAAATGTCGCGGAGCAATTGTCGCGTTTTGCGGAGTAAATGTCGGAGGAGCAATCGTCGGCGGAGCATGTGTCGGGTTACCCTTAATATAAATGTTTGCCGATTTGTCACCAAAAGAAAATTAAAAAACAAAAAATTGATTTTTAAAATATTTTTTTAAAACATAATTAAACATATAAATGAATTATAAACTAATTTACAAAAAAGTTAGTAAGCAAATATAAGACAAAACATAGGTAATAGACAATGGGCAGTAAGGAATAATATACCAGTAAGTAAACAAATGCTACATGTATTACATTACATTCTTAAAAATATTATTATTTGTGTGACCTCTTTTTGTCCAGCCCGACAAGATGGGATGCTTTCCTGTCGGGATCTATTCTAGATGAGCACTTCCTTCATCTCAGCCAAGCCAACCTCAGCCGAGCTTCAGTCATTTGGAATAGACACAAGGTATGGCTAACATCATAAATGTTCCACTTAGCGCCCCACAAACAGAGTTGCCAACCAGTACGATTTATTCGTATTTCGTACGATTTTTAGAAGTAAATACGACAGTGCGATATGCCTCAATTGTTTGTTTTGTTTGTTTTTTGGGGGGATTTGTGTGTGTGTGTGTATGTGTGCCATTTTTAACCCATTCTGTCCTGTAAAGTATCCTACAAGCATCTTACATTGGCAAATTGGGGGAGTTCATGGTTCATCGAATACACCACTTGTGATGAAATCATGCATATTCAACCAATGATCCATACAAAAAATTCTTCCTGTATGTAGGAACTGTAGAAGGCATTGATCCGTGGTTTTTTTTTTATAATACAATTTTTGTTAGTAAAATACAACTTTTTGGATTAAAGAAAACCATTTTTGAATTCCAGAGGTTGGCAGATCTGCACAAATGGCATCACTGGTTTTTGTATTATACACGCATTGACTTGACTTTCATTTTCACTCATACCATGACAGGAAGCCTTTGTAGCGGTGATGTCTGAAGACTTGCTGGATAACATGCTGAGGTCCATACCAGGGGATTCCCCATCGTATGACATCATACCATGGCTCAGGGATGACATCATTCCCTTTGTGTATCAGAGCTTCCACCATGGCAAGGTAAAGTGCAGTCATCATTTGCTTTTGCTTTTGATGATTAACTTACTCTGGTTCACATTGATGTATATATTTTGTATGTATTGTGACTTGTAGGTTTTTTTCTTTTTGTTTTGTTTAATATGTAATTGTTATCATTGTGTTTTGTTGTTATAGCGTTTTGAGACTTCAGTGGTAAGCGCTTTATAAGCACCATTTTTATTATTATTATTATAAAGAGTTATGAGCCAACTAAAAACATCACTAATATTTACAAGTAAATTTACGATGTAGATGTGAAGTGAAGTGATTTCAGGCTTTATACATTTGATTACAAAATATCACAGTTTGATTGCATTTTACAGAGTTAATGCTGCTGTGGTAATGATCCATTTACTCCAGGCTGTATTTAATCAAAGATTAAGGGTCTGGGGCCCGTTTCTTGAAACCGTCATAAGTCTAACTTCTTGGACAACCCATTGAAACGTGTGCTATAAGATTAACAAGCGTATCTATGAGATTAGACTTATGATGGTTTCGAGAAACAGGCCCCAGGGCTTGTCTTGTGTTAGAAATTGACCACAGTTCAATTATTATTGGATAATTTGTCGTAAAATTGCCCTCACGTTTCATCTTGATTGACTGATTGATTTTTCAGAAGCTAGTGATCTCATGGATTGAGGAAAGAGTGACCTGCCTGGAAGTGACTGAAAAGGTATGTAACCATATACATCTTGTCAGGAAAGTGCTTTCTCTTGGTCTAAACAGAGCGAGTTACTTTTTTTGCAGAATCCCAGGGATGATTTTGGAGGATAAAAGTAATTGTATAGGTTGGAAGTATGCATTGTGTTTATGTTTTCGAGAGGAGAAGTTAATGTAAAGGGTTGAAGATAAGAATTTGGTTAGTGTAGGAAATTGCGGGGGGTGGGGGGGGGGAAGCAATGCAGGAGAATTTGTCACACAACTCTACTAGCTAGGCTGCGTGAACTGTGCTGACAAAGCAAGAATAATGATAAATGATAATAATAACTGGTTTATATAGCGCCTTCTCCAGTGGATACAAGGTGCTGTCTCTTAGTCTAAGGACAAATTTAATATTGTAGATGTATATCTTTTCAAGTTCTTTGTCGTAGAAATGTAGGGAGTTTATTCCATAGTCACGGTGCAAATATTTTGGAATGATTTGAAGCCATTGGAATGAGAAAGGAAGGAGCTGATATAAATCAAAGTGAATATGATTTTCTCTGTTGCTGAAACAGTGAGGAGATGTATAGAGGGGATGTGCTTGACAAAGATTAAAAAGTTAGAACAATTGTATTCTCTTTGTAGAATAGAATTCATGTACATACAGAAAAAGAATAGAATACAGAATATAGAGTAATGTGGTTGACAAATGTTAAAAAATTTCAAACAAGTATCCAGTATTGTATTCTCTTTATTGAATAGAATTCATGTACATACAGAAAAAAAGAATAGAATACAGAATATAGAATAATACGTTTTTGTTTGTTATTTATTAATCCACAGACAGGATGGCCCAGCAACGGTCTAGAGTTAGCTGAATTAATGTTGAAAGGTAACCAGCAGCTTATCAAGTCATCCAGTGGAACCCATTTCTCACAAGCACTAACAGAGGTATGTTGAGTTTTTATCTCCATCTGCAGTTGAGAAGGTAGACAAAGAAACTAAACCCTTAAAGGTATAGACCAGTTCTGGTCATGCGATTGCATTGTGAAAGAAATGTTGTAGAATCGATCAGAAAAGGTTGATCATCTAGCATATAAGTATTGGTGTGTACTGCAAGGTTCTGAAATCATCAAAACGATAACAAATTTGGCCAAGTCTTGGTAAAGTTACAAGCACTGTACACACAAAGATGTGTATGGGACTACACAAACGTGTGGCATAAAAATCTGTCCCGATGTTTTTGCTTTTACATGCCATATATTTAGAATATGAAGGCATATCATCAAGAACCATGCTTCTTAGGGAACATGTTCTATCTGATGTTCTTTGACACTTGCATAATAACAATGATAACGCTCACAAATTATTTCACCTCTTCCCAGAACTCAACCTTCTCTTTAAAGGTGCGCCCCTTACCTTTAGTAGAGTATTATGAACATTAGCTTTGGACCTTGATTGCATAGAAGAGGAAAGAACATTTATCCAAAAATTGAAAATCAATTCCCCCTCCTCTTTCTTACATGCTCTATTAGACTCTCTCTCTGTCTAGTTTTGTGTTATAATTTTTCCTTTTTATTTTTGCTCCATTTCTTTAAAGGGATATAAATTTTTCATCTCTTCTTTTATCTCAGACAAACGGAAGTGACTGCAAGGAGTCCATGGAGAGACTAAAAGAACTGGTCCACAACCTTCAAGAGCTCAGAATCCTCCATACCAGATACAGGTGTTTCCTAACTCTCGACCAGTTTTGCAAGGTGAGCTCTGGACTAATTGAAATAGAATGCAGTCCAACTGCCCAAATTTTACTGGCAATCGTTTATTTTAGACATTTGCTGTAACCAGAACTCAGATTTTTGTTGTTGTTGATTTTGTTTTGATTTTTTTTTTTTTTTGTTGATTTTTTTAAAAACTTTATTTTTTTCTTCTTTGTATTATTATTTTTTATTTTTATTATCATTTTGTACTTTTTATTTTTTTAAATATTTGTTTAACTACATTTCATCATTCAAGACTCAAAGGCTTCATGCTCTAATGTTGTATTGTCGTTGCTTTGAAGGAAACGACAGAGAGCATCTCGTTCAGGATGCTGGAGAGGGTTGCTGCTCCCGAGCTTGTTCCGGGGACCATCACCAAATGCATCATACCCTATGCTAAGGATCACAAGCTAGAGGTGGACAACCTGCTCTTGAAATACATACAGGTACGATTCTAGTCTGTTATAACTATGAAAACAAGACGGTTAAGTAAAGCAAAGGTAATTTGATGTTTTAACTAGTTGTATTGGGTGAAAAAAACCCATAAACATCAGGAAAGTAGACTGTTAAAAGTTAGAACAATTTTGGACAGATAATAATAATAATAATAATAGCTCGTTCTTCTATAGCGCTTTTCAGGACCGGAGGCGCTTTACAGATAAGTATAGTATTACCCCGGTCATTGGATTCAGGCTTACCCGTACACGATGTATGCACATTCTCCACTCCCTGTTTGAAAGTTTAGATGTAAATCTCATAATGTAAATCTCATAATGGCAAACTGGTCAGTTGACATTGAGTTGATTGGGAAGAACTTGCCTGTTTGTTGTTCACTCTACCCTGACATATTGGGAATCTCCATGTATCCTCTAAGCACTTTTTTGTGTTGACATGATTTTAATTTGTGACAGGATAATGAGGTAAACACTTTGCATTCCATAAATCAGTGGATTTACTCTACCCAGTTAATCAGTATTGAAACTTAATATGTCTTTGTGAATACAAACTGCATTCTTGCATACAGGACCTTCTGTCTGTACCGAGTCTGTTCGCCACCTATGAAGCATCCTGGGAAGCCAAAGCCATCACTGTCATAAGATGCATCAAGGATCTTACTGTGAGTAACATTTAAATTTGTTTCATCAAGCAAATCTAGTCTGTGACCAGATATTTTATGACTCCGTTACCAATTAGCCGGAGGCATTATGTTTTCGGGTTGTCCGTCCGTACGTCCCGTTCTTGTGATCGCGATATCTCAAGAACCGACTGATGGATTCCTACCAAACTTAGGTCATGTATGTATCTTGCAGAGCATATGAACTGATTAGATTTTGGGGTCACGAGGTTAAATGTCAAAGGTCACAGGGCTCATTATGTGTGCAAAAATAGCTTGTGAACGTATTTTCATGAGAACTGATGGATGGATTACTATCTAACTCAGGACATGTATGTATCTTCCAGAGCCAATGAACTGATTAGATTTTAAGGTCACGAGGTCAAAGGGTCGTACATATGAAAAAAGCTTGTAGTCAAGATACTCTGAGAATCTGTCAATGGAGTATAATCATACTTGAATTTAAAAAAAAAATTTGTTTTGGTCTGTAAAATCGCTCTATGGCGGAGGCATCATTTTCGACTGCGTGCAGTCAAAGGTCCATCTAGTTTTCTCGATTTCTGATCCATCACTGTATAATAGTTTATTTCAATGCTATGTTCAATCTTTCTTTCATTTTTGTGCTCTGTAACAAATAAAATTCCTTACAATCAATAGTAGAAAAAGTATATTTATATTATATGTATCTTAACTCTTACTACAAGAAATTGTATGTTTGAGTGATTGGCAACTTAAAATTTAATCTAAAAATATGATTGACTGATGGAGATATGATATGACCTTTCTATTTTAAATCACAATGGTGTGTTAACTGTTCGATTCAGAATGGGTTAAATATGGTTGCTTTGAAGGTATTTTTTATTTATTAATGTTAGTATCCCTGTTTACACTCAAGTCCCAGCATTGGTACTAATGTCTTTTTACTGGTAAATAATATACATGTGCCACTCTCAACCCAGGTGAAGTAAATGGGTACTTGGTAGGAAGTAATGCCATGAATGCTTTCATTTAGGGCAGCTTAGCTAAAGCCGATGTATTAGTAATACCTGTAGGTGGCTTGTAAGCGGCTTGAGCATCCCTGGATGGATATTTGCACAATCTTAAAGTAGCTGGTATTATCTTTATCGTTTTAGAGTCAGTGTGGAGCCATACTAGCTCTGATGCAGAAGGCACCCGTACCATGGAGCAGGGGAATGGAACAGGTGGTCCAGTATGGCTTGTCCCTCAAACATCCTATGTAAGAAAAGCCCTCCCACACATTTCTGTAATATCCCCCCCCCCCCTTTCTTTGTTTCCCCCTTCTCTCTCTCTCTCTCTCTCACCCTCTCTAGGTTCCATAGCTATCAATTTTAGTGACCATATTGTTCCAAAAAGCTCCTTTTGTAGCCCTTGCATCAGGTTGATCACTGGTATTTTACTTCTCTTCCATTAAACCAATGATATCAACAACAAAAATATGGTTCAAGTATGTAGCAACGAGCTGAATAGAATTCAGGTGATATATAAAGTGAATATTCTCAGGGTCATGAAAGTGTTAAAAATCCCAGAAAATATCTTGTTAAAGTGTTACCTAGAAAAGTTGGATCACTCCTGACCAAACAGTGCTTAAGCATGTATAAGTTTTAAAAGATTCAGTGAAAAGAGTATAAGTTCATGGGGTCTTACGTATGTTAAAGGTCACAGGATCATTGATCAACAAACATACATGTACAACTAGGTGAAGATCTATTAGAGATGCAGTACCATTAAATCCTTTTACTGATTTTAGCTGATTTGTTTATGCAAAAGAGTTTCCAATCCATATTTCTAATTTCCTATGATCACAGGGTTGCCCAGCTGGAGGAACGTCATGGTATTATGAAATTGAGAGACATGTTCATGAAGTATGACCTGACATCGGTATGCCTAGGAGATACAGATAGTATGAAGGTTAGTTATTACTTTATCACATCACACCTGGCCCCCATTTCACAAAACTTGTCATCAGTGACAAATGACAGTCTTTGTTATAAGCTACTGAAATCCTTGCTTCTGATTGGTTATCAGCAGATTTGTCACTGATTTTTGTCATTTGTCATTGAAAAAAGGCTTTGTGAAACAGGTCCCAGCTCTCACTGAACTGCGTTGGCTACCGGACAAGTACAGGATTGAATATAAAATCCTGCTACCGATGTTCAAGGGGACATCAATAATCCAGCTAAATTGTAATCAGGACACTACTTTCTTGTCTCATATAAGCATTAACATAGATCTAAAATTAAGAGAGTTTTTGATGCCCCATTGTAAACCATGATTGATTAAAAAGAAACCATAGGCAATTCTTGTGAAAAATATGTGAAGTGAAGAATATACAGAGTATGAAAATGAAATCATAATTGACATATAGAGTCTTCTTGATGCACTATTGTAAACCATGATTAAGGACGAAGAAGAGAAGAAAAATATTGATGAATATGATCCTTGTCGTGTATATCGTAGATTGCAGTATGAAAATGAATTGATACACCAATGTAAAACATGGTTGAAGACAAAGAAGAAAAGAAAAAATGAATCATAATGTGATCCTTGCTGTGTTTCTCCTAGATTGCGGTGAAGAATATCTTGAGTCGGGAGGACCCTGCGGTTCTAGAGGATGCCTTACGTGTTGTCAAAGCTCACTCCAGTGAACTCTCCAAGATGGATGCCTATCTCTTCAGACTCCAATACCTCATCAGGTCAAATCAGGTATGTTTGTTTGTTTTTTTTTTTTTTTTTTTGATTGTTTGTTTTACTTGACTGCTAAGAAAGCATGTGTATGCTTGTAAGTAAACAACCGGGGGACCGACTGCTTTAAGTCCTCTCAGAGGAACTGGTAATGAGGATCAATGACTTACCAAAGGGTACTAGTGCATCAACTTCGTTTCGAACTTGGGACCTCCCGGTTACGAGACCACTGCTCTACCACTGAGCTATCGCGTTGCCATCCTAAATCCAGAAAATTCAGAAATGTGGTATTTGTATTTGTGTTATGTGAAAAAAGATCCTGTTTGTATTCAAAATACTATGGTATATTTTATGTTAGTAAAAAGTATGTTGATTGTCATATAAAACAAATTGAAATTGCGCAATAAAGACCCCTATCCTATCCTTTATTCTACATATATTCTTTTGTCATGTGTAAATTTGCAATGTTTATTTGTTATATATTTGTAAAAATGAAAAAGAAAAAGAAAATCAAACAGAAATAAATAAATCAAATCATCCTTGCTCGGGTAGATATCTGTATGCGCATGCAGCCATTTTGCGCAAAATTATCCAATGACTTGTCCTGATTTAGATTTGTTATGACAATACTATTACTTTACTTTTACAAGTTACAGTATTGTGATTTGTAGAGGACAGAGAGGTTGACAATTGGCACTCGATGGATTAATCGATGGACTAAGTCTATGCTTTTGGGAAGGGATTCACCTAGCCTAATGTTTGGATGTGTCATGGTATAGTGGTTTATTGTCTCGCCTTGTCTCGCCTGCGTAGCAAAAAGCGAGACATAGGCGCCGCTTTTCCGGTGACGGCGGCGGCGACGGCGACGGCGAGGCGACGGCGACGGCGACGGCGACGGCGTCAACATCAAAAACTTAACCTAAGGTTAAGTTTTTGAATTTTTGGTATAATTTTTAAAGTATAAGTTCTTAGTCAATTAAACTTTGACTATAGGGTAATCAAGTATCCCCAATCATGTGAGTAGAATTTCAGATCACAAAGTCAAGGTCAAAGGTCATTTCAGGTCAACAGACTTGGACTATGTTGTAGCATCATCATCGAAAACTTAACCTAAGGTTAAGTTTTTGAATTTTTGATATAATTTTGAAAGTATAAGTTCTTAGTCAATGAAACTTGGACTATAGGGTTATCAAGTCTCCCCAATCATGTGAGTAGAATTTCAGGTCACTAAGTTAAGGTCAAAGGCCATTTAAGGTCAACAAACTTAGACTTTGTTGTGGCATCAACATTAAGATTTTCAAAATGCTTCTTCTTCGTTATTTTTCAACCGATTTTGATTCTGATTGTTTCATATGATAGGGCTAGGAGGGAATTTAAAATTTCTTCACAGAATCTTGAAATTCATTATCTATGCTAATTTATGCAAATTTATTCGAAATCACAAAAAAGGCTTCTTCTCCTTCATTTCTCGACCGATTTTGATTTCGTTTGCTTTATATATCGTAGAGCTAACTTTGGTACACTAAACTTCTACACAGAATTTTGAAATTGTTCTCCATTAATTAATTATGGTAATTTATGCAAATTTATTCCAAAAATAACAAAAATTGCTTCTTTTCCCTCATTTCTTGACCGATTTTGCCTTATCTGGTAGAGCTAAATTTGGAACAATAAACTTCTACACAGAATTGTGAGATTTTGCTCCATTGATTATTTATGGTACTTTATGCAAATGAAATGAAATTATATCCCTTCCAGGGCATCAAATTTCTATTTTTTGACCAGTTCAAAAGTGTACCACATAAAATTTACGATATTTGTTGTTGTGAGATGCGGATGAGCGCTACGTCATTGACGTTCTGGTTTATCATATTGAATTGCGTTATGCAGGCGAGACCGCCGAGAGCGTTTCCCTTGTTCTCTTGACTCTCTATTCAAGGGTTCAAGGTTTAAATCCCAGTCCAGCACCTACGCCATTATTGTATCCCTCTCCTCCAAACAGTACTTGTGAATATAGGCTGATAAAACATTTTTAATATCACAACCATGTTTAATTTTCTTTTTTGTTTTAAGGTTGAGAAATGCCTGGATTTGTTGTGTGATCTGCCGCACCAAGAAGCTTTGCTCTGTCTGTCTCGGATCTTGTCCTGGGCTGAGATCATCATGAACGACCCCGCAGATACCTTCTGTGATGAAGAGGTGAATGCTCATAATAAGAAAATCAAATCATTGCATAAACAAACAAAACAATAATAATAATAATGAAAATAGATCACATTTATAACGCGCCTAATACTTTGTTTCTAGGCGCAGTATATATTATTACCCTCATCTGATTCAGGCTCACCCGCAAACGATATATGCACATTCTCCACTCCCTGGGGAGCATTCCGGCTAGTTGCCATTTTACAAGCACACACTTGCACAATCAAACAAACAAACAAAACAATCAAATATGCAAACAAACAAGCGGCAAATAACAAAACAAAGAGTCATAAATAGTAACGGAGACAAATCTTGAGAAATAATTTTTTTTTAGGGGTGGGGGGGGGGGGGGGAGTTGAAGGTGTGTGACTCTACTCATCAGCTGCCTCAAACCTTACTTTACCCTTTCTCAAAAGGAGAGAACAACCCTCAAAATGTCACTGTACACATTCGATTGACACTTTTATTAAAGAAAAGATTGTTGCACCAAAATTTGCCCAAAGATCAGCTTTGCATGAACACGGATCTTTCAAATATTGTGCTGTGATGCCATTTCTTGTGCCAGTCTTGCATGTGTGGAATTTATCATATTGGCCATCATAGAAATTATTAATTTCATGTTTTCATGTATCGTATTACTGAATTGATCTGTGGTATATCTTACATCAAACAATTGGCTAATTTCAAGATCACAGAGAGCCTCATGTTGATCTAGTTATAGAGAAAGTTGAGTTCTGGGAAGAGGTGAAAAATAATTTGTGAGCATTATCATTGTTATTATGCAAGTGTGGAAGAACATCAGAACAATATGTTCCCTGAAAAGCATGGCTCTTCAAATCATGCCTCCGTATTCTTAATATGAAAACTAACAGCTTAAAAAAGAGCCCAATTTTTATGCCACAGGTCTGTGTAGTTCCATATACATCTTTCTGTGTACAGTGCTTGTTACTTTACCAAGACTGGGCCAGATTTCTTATCATTTAGATCAACACCAGAACATTGCAGTACACACCAAGAGTTATGCTACATGATCACTTTTTCTGATCGATTCAACACAGTTTCTTTCACAATGCAATCGCATGACCGGAAGTCAACTTTATCTTTAATCTCTCATGTTTTTTCAGAGCAAAGACTATCGGGTGTTGGTAGGGCAGGCTGCTATAAGATTGCTGCAGACTGATCTCTATATGGAGCTCAGTAAAGATCCAACACAAGACAATCTTAAAGAAGAAGAGCTTCAAAGTCTTCTCTATCTGCAGGTAATATCTTTCAAGATTTGAATATTTTTGAATTATATGCCCTCTGTTTGCTCTCTTTCTCTGTTTTAATTATTAAATTATTTTAATTCAGGTATTCAGGCCTGATAATTACTTGATTTAAATCGGTTTCCCAATTTTATTTTTTTTTCCCCAATTTTTTCTTATCCAAATTCATGTTATATAGAAGCAATATATTGCTAGATAGTTGACTATAGCAGGGCTCATGCTAACAAGCGCCCGGGACATATTGGGCAGCCAGAATTTCAGATTTTCTACATAGAGCTCAAGGCAATATAGGCCCCAAAATTCAAGTCCGGACACCCAATGAAAAACACTAGTGTGCAGCCCTGGCTATATACATAATGTGGTAAAAGGAACTATCAAACAAAATAGAAAATGCAGACTGAGGTTAGTCCAATTAACATAACCTAGGCAAGTACATGGCATTCCAACTTACTTACTAATTTACAATTTTTATCGAAGCTAGTTTTTAATTGATTGCATATACCTACAGATAAAAATGTCACATTTGATTGAAAATTGTATTTTGTCAAAGTGGAAATTCACCGATGGAGGGTGATTTTTCTCTATTGTTTTTTTTTTTTTTTTTACTGCAGTTGGAATACGGTCTTCTTGTTCCATTGGGTAGTTACAGGGACGATGTCTTCAGATTACAGCTTCTCAAGAAGGTCGTCGTTGAACACTACAAAGAGATTCGCACAGGAATCAGAAAGAAAGAGGTGGGTACAGTGAAACCTGTGTTTAAAGACCGCTCCAGGGAGACGGTAAATGTGGTCTTAATGAGCAGGTGGTCTTTGTGTACAAGTTCCTTTGGTATGGGTTTCAATTGGAAACTCTGCACAAGGGAGACAAAAAATGCAGTATTTATAGACAGGTGGTTTTTCTATACAGGTGGTCATTAAAGCAGGTTTGACTGTAATTTCATTCATCCATTTAATTTCTTCCACCAATAAGGCTGTGGAGCAACGGAAGTACAGAATATCCATTGTCTGAATCGTCTGCACTTGCTTTACAAATTATTTTTCTACACTGAAGAGAGGGTTCCAACTTCCTGCAGTAATTGAAAAACCACAAAAAGTTATAGAAAACTGAAAGTATATTTTAAAGCCTGGATAAATGAAGGGAGAGTCATGGGATATCAAAATACAACAGGGAAATATCAATGAATGAATATTCTAGTAAAGAAACAAATCTGTCATTTACACAAATGAAAAATTTGAAAAGGTTAAAGGGGAATTCAACCCTGATATTTAATTGATTTTAATAGAAGCAGAAAATGAGAGAAACAATTCGATGAAAGTTTGAGAAAAATCGGACAACAAATAAAAAAGTTATGAATCCTTCAAAATCAGTTATTGAAAACCACAAAAAGTTATAGAAAACAGAAAACATATTTAAAAGCCTGGATAAGTTAAAGGAAAGTCATGGAAAATCAATATACAACAGATAATATCAGTGAATGAATATCCTAGTAAAGAAACAAATCTGTCATTTACACAAATGAAAAACTTGATAAGGTTAAACCAGAGAGAATTATCGCTAAGAAAAAAGTCATGGATTTTTTGTGATCATTGAGAAGTCATGAGAAAGTAATGGAATTGATTTTTTTTTAAAGAAGAGTGAGAACCCTGCGATAAGCACATACTCTTTACTGAGCATTGTTAAGAACAAGATGATGTTTAGATTTTCTTATTGCTGTTGTTTTTCTCAGAATTGTGGAGCTGCCGAGAGGAAGTCAAGGGATCTCAAACCAGGAAACTTTGTCAGAGTTTTGAGGTGAGTTCTTTAAGGTCTTGGAATGCAAGTCAAATGTAATGGAGGACTAATGTGATGGTAATAATATTTGATAATAATCTGGATTTATAAAGCGCTTAATACAAAATACCGTCTAAGTGCTTTACATATATTATTGCCCCTGTCTTCGGATTCATTCACGCACAATGTGCACCATCTCCTCTCCCTGGGGTGTATTGCTACTACATGGTCATGGTAAGGGCATATGGCATTCACTAACACAAAGGCTTTTGTCATCCGACCAGGTCCCTTGTGTAACAGTCTCCTTGGTACCAAGGAAAGCATGTCGTTATATTGAAATCTCGTTTCGTCAGGGCTAAAACAATATAAGACAAAGACTTGGAACCAGTAGAATTATCCAATTACATGTCTAACAAATGTTTCATTTAACAGAGTATGACAATGTTCAGTGTTCTAAATATTAAATATGTTTGATCAATTAGTAAAGATATTTTCATTTCTACCATTGTCACAGGGGCTAGATTGATGTGTGATGTGAATTATTCATAGCATCCTCCTTCTGTTAGAGGTTTTAAAATCTGAACAAACCAATATTGTTACATTTTGTCTTAAAAAAGATATGAGATTAAATACAATTTAAAGCCCCACTCCACTACTTCTACCTACTTGCTTCCTCTATATAGAAAACAGCCCGTAGATCCCCCATGATCTTCTTTTTACAATGTTAATTGAGAGCTTAATTGATGAGATAATCACCTGTCAGTGACCGTGCAGGGAGGTCTTAATTCCTCCTGGCCAAACTAGTGCAGTGGGTCTTTGAAGGACAGTGAATGATTATAATTCTGTTTTCTGAACGTTTTCTGATAGACTTGGTGAAATCCTAGGTGTATCGACCAGTGAGCTGAGAGGTGAGATTGCTCTCAAAGCTGCTCAGACAGGAGAGATCAACACAGCTGTCACTATATGCAGGTGAGATAGGGCCAAGTGTTCATGTATACAATAGTATGAAGAGCTAAGCAGAGGCAGGCAAAATTCACCTTGATGTTATATTAAAGCTGGTGTTGATAAAAGCAGATAAATGAAAGAAACAAATCAGTGAAAGTTTGAGGAAAGCTTGTGTAAAATAGTAAGAAAGTTATGAATATTTAAAGTTGGAATTGATTAAACATAACTCGATAAAGCGCTTTATAAGAAACAGTTAATATCATTATTATTAGAGGTAGTGGTGGTAGTGGTGGTGATGGTGGAGCAACTCTGTAATATACCTGATGAATCTGTAGTTTGATTTCCTTTTAACTCACAACTCCCCCTTCCGCACTTATTTCTCTCTTTCCATCTGTTTATCTATCTCTTTCTCTCCCCTCTCTCCCCTCCCCTCTCTCCCTCCCCTCCCCCCTCTCCCCTCCCCCTCTCTCCCCTCCCCTCTCTCCCTCCCCCTCCCTCCCCCCCCCCCTCTCTCCCTCCCCTCCCCCTCTCTCCCTCCCTCTCTCCTCCCCTCTCTCCCCTCCCCTCTCTCCCTCCCCCTCTCTCCCCTCCCCTCTCTCCCTCCCCCTCTCTCCCCTCCCCTCTCTCCCTCCCCCTGTCTCCCTCTGTCTCCCCTGTCTCCCCACCCCCTCTCTCCCCTCCCTCTCCCCCTCTCTCTCCCCTCCCCCTCTCTCCCCTCCCCCTCTCTCCCCTCCCCTCTCTCCCCTCCCCTCTCTCTCCTCTCCTCTCCCTTCCCTCCCCCTCTCCCCCTTTCTCCCATTCCCCTCTCTCCCCTCCCTCTCTCTCTCCCCCCTCTCGCTCTCTCACTCTCTCTCTCTCTCCCCTCCCCTCTCTCCCCTCTCTCCCCTCCCCTCCCCTCTCTTTCCCCTCCCCCTGAATTCTCTCACTTCACCTTTCTCCATCCAGTGATCTGTGTGAGCCTGACTGTTCCCCCGAGGTAGCCTACACCCTCTACCATGTCTCCCACACTATCTGCACCCAGCTGGCCAATGAGCATGACATCTTGGGTGGGCCATCGGGAGGTGATCACATCAAACAACTCTTAAATCTAACCCAAAAAGCAACTGCTTCCTGTAACCCAGGTACACCAACCTATTAAAATGTTGTTTTGCTTGTTTAATCGTTTGACTAGTTTTGGTTTTAGTCTCCTTGCTGTCAACAGATACAACTGTAGTGTGTTAAAAATCGAGTATGGGCAATTAGGTCAGGTTCAGATTTTTTAGGGAGTTAAGCATAAGTTTTGAAACAATGATCTCATTCAAAAATATTTGTCAGAATTCCACAAAATATGGACAGTAGGGTTGGTTTGATAATGTGATAATATTTGCGATTGCACTGAATATGTTCTACACATGCCTTTATTAAAGACATTTTTCAATGATTTTGTGAACCTATTAGAAATGAAGTGTAATTTGTTTCTTTATTTGTTTGTTTTCCCTGTAGAATTACTTGCAGACTGCCTTGATCTTAGCACCAAGGTCCGCTCCTTGAGAGACCTGTGTGACCAGTGTGAGAGTGGAGACTATGGTATCTCAGTGCAGGTAATAAACATGACAAGAAACTTTCCTGTGACTGGATGAATGTCCCTTTATATGTACAAACTATCACCAGCTTTAGCTAGGCCACCATGATAAGGCACTCAAGCATGCTAGGCAGAGCTGCCAACTAGTACAGATTTCCTTCTTTTTTTTTTGGAGGGGGGGCGTAAATGTGATCTATTGTAGCGAGTGCTGTGCAGTATGGCGGCCATCCAACACTCACTGAGACAGACGTAAAAGTATCAAGTATTCTCTTAATAGTCATGGAAAACTGATGTTTTGCAACTTTGTGTGAGTAAGGCACCAAAGATAATCATGTGGCATGCGTCCGCCAAGTGTTGGCATGCCGTTTCTAAAAGATTTATAGCGCCGCATAGGAATTTACTGATTTATTCCCAAAATTACTAATTTTGAGCCTTGTGATCAATGTTTTCCTGAAGAACATACGGTAGTACCTTGATGAAGGTTTGAACCGCATAACATCTAGGTGTGTCGTGGATACGTCTACATGTTTGGCCTGTAGTTTCTTTTGTCTCTTTCTGTCTCTGTCTCTGTAGGTGCCCATGTAAGGGATACAGCTTGCTATGTCAGCTGGTCCTTTGCTAGAGCATATGACCATGTGGTCATCACACCATATGTGTCAATGAGATTGCTGCAGCTCTATTTAGTTTACCTCCTTTCTCTCTCTATCTGTCTCTGTAGGTGCCCATGTGAGCGATGTAGCTTGCTATGTCAGCTGGTCCTTTGCTAGAGCATATGACCCTGTGGTCATCACACCATATGTGTCAGTGAGATTGCTGCAGCTCTATTTAGTTTACCTCCTTTCTCTCTCTATCTGTCTCTGTAGGTGCCCATGTGGGCGATGTAGCTTGCTATGTCAGCTGGTCCTTTGCTAGAGCATATGACCCTGTGGTCATCACACCATATGTGTCAGTGAGATTGCTGCAGCTCTATTTAGTTTACCTCCTTTCTCTCTCTATCTGTCTCTGTAGGTGCCCATGTGAGCGATGTAGCTTGCTATGTCAGCTGGTCCTTTGCTAGAGCATATGACCCTGTGGTCATCACACCATATGTGTCAGTGAGATTGCTGCAGCTCTATTTAGTTTACCTCCTTTCTCTCTCTATCTGTCTCTGTAGGTGCCCATGTGAGGGTTTCAGCTTGCTATGTCAGCTGGTCCTTTGCTAGAGCATATGACCCTGTGGTCATCACACCATATGTGTCAATGAGATTGCTGCAACTCTATTTAGTTTACCTCCTTTCTCTCTATCTCCCTCTGTCTCTGTAGCTGCCCATGTGAGCGATGTAGCTTGCTATGTCAGCTGGTCCTTTGCTAGAGCATATGACCCTGTTGTTATCACACCATATGTGTCAAAGCAAGAGCTGCCAACCATTACGTTTATCCTGGAATTATGTCTTTTTCTCAAAATTACGGTAGTATGTTTTTTTCTTCTTAAAATGTTTGACAGTAATAGGTGGGTGCACGGTTCTAACAAATACAAGTTCTTTGTCTTACTGCCTTGCGCTGCATGTATATTACGTATATTATCGGTATCGCACGTTCGGGCGTTCAAGTTGTCAGTGCTAAATCTGCCAGGAAAAGGCAACATTCGCTTGAAGAACATACTGGCAAATGGCCATGTATTCTATGAGCAAAGAGGGACGAACTATAATACGGAAATAACAGCAAGAGGAATGGACATTTTTGCATTGGTAGTGTGTCGCCGGGGTTGTAAGATTTTTTTCATGAATTCCTTTTTTTTTGCTTGAAATTCCGTTTTTTGTTGCCATCATGGCTCCTTTTTTTAGTTGCACAAGGTTGACAGCTCTGCATTCTGCTGACTTATCCATACTTTTGCATTTTAGATTGGGGCTGCAGAGACCAAGAAAGATCCCTACGAGGAGTACACCTATGAGATGTTCTTCAAGGAAGATTCACTCGTTTTATCATCTCAAGATGTCATTCCTGTAGCAGCAGAGTTTGCTCTGGCATGTCAGCCGACGGTCAGGCCAAAGGACGCTCTGCCGTTCCAGCAGGCCAGGGTGTCTGGACAACCTGTCTTGCTCAAAGGTAGGAAATTTATCTTGCAGGAAATAACAGTTTCATCTGGGACTTACAACTCTTTTCATAAATAATCCCTCAATGTCAAAACTCACTTGTGCCAACTGCAGGTCTCCTGGTGTAGAGTAATCTTCACTGGAAACAGTTTAAAAATCTTGTTTCAAATGCTTCAGAAGCATTTGGTATATCTGTCCATTTACTTTCATTGTGGCACTGGGAAATCATTTGAGAAGCAGATTAAGAGTTAATCAAAATGTTATTTCAAAAGTGTGAACTTTTTTTCCTGACTCGCTTTAGATTCCAAAGAGAGTAATAAGCAAGAAGCCGTCCAGTCAGGTTACATTGGTCAGGTTGCAGCCTCTACCAAGTACCTGTGTCAGACATTCAAGGAGCATAACCAGTGCTGCCTGGCCTTTCATTATGTCATGGAGTTGCTTGCCATGTCCCTGGTCCATCTCTCAGTCAACACCGGGAACAGATCACTACAAGATGAGGTGAGTACATGTACCTAGAGGGTACAACCCTGCAACTTGACACTCTGAAGCTGATGATGGTAATGTTGATGATGGGGATGTTGGTGATGATGATGATGATGATGGTGGGGGTGGTGGAGGAGGAGGTGGTGGTGGTGGTGGTGGTGGTGGTGGTGGCGGCGGCGGCAGTGGTGGTGGTGGCGGTGGTGGTGGTGTTGGTGATGTTGCTTATGATGATGGTTATGTTTGTAATGATGATGATGATGATGATGATGATGATGATGATGATGATGATGATGATGATGATGATGATGATGATGATGATGATGATGATGATGATGATGATGATGATGATGATGGAATCAATAATGATGATGATGAATGATGATAAAGATGATGATGATGATTAACGTGATGATGATTAGCGGGTTATGATATTTACTATAAATAGAGGACACATGAAGGTGCAGATGATACTTATTATTCGGACTTAGCCACATCAGTTTAAAATTAGAATGTCCACTGTACTACTTTCTAATAATTTATGTTAGAGTTTTGATTATTTCTTAAAATCAATGTTTGCAATCTCTAACAAGTAAATGGTTTTCTTTAGGTTACATTAGCAGCTGTAGAGAAAGAAATGAAAGAAATGGCTGAGGTTATGCCTGTTGCTAAGCAGAACATCAGCAATCTGTCATCTATTCTACTTAACAAGGTGAGCAAGGAGAGCTTTTATTGGTGGCAACAATATTAGTCCTCATTTGATTAGTTCTCATTTCATTTAATTTTCATTTCAAAAGAATAATAATTTCATTTTATGACATTCATATTGACATGCAAGAAAGGAGGAGTTGATCCCTTAAAGGCAGGGTATTCTACTGACACTACTTCAGTTATATGTATATTGCCACCTGCAGCTCACAACGTCCCGACGTGTCTACAGCCATGTCTCACAATGCATCACCAACTACATGACGTGCATTTGATGTTGCGTGACTACAGGAACCAAAAGATGGCACAATTGAAAATAGCTTACAGCAGTTGTAGCGATGTCGGTAAAATACCCTGCCTTTGAAGCACATTGTGTTGGGCACCATGCCTAATGTATTTGGCAAGACAAGACATGGAGACACAGACACAAAAAACAAAATAAAACAGACAAATAATACAAGACTACACAAGCCAATAATGTATACAAAGACATAATGATAAGAAGAGGGGAGAATGGTAAGAGAGCAGGTAGAATATAAACACACCTGTATAACCTTTAATATGAATTCACAAAACAAATTGTACATTTATACACTCAAAAAATAAAAATTAGAGAAAGGTCCTTTTTTCAGAATCTTTGAAAAACTACCTGTTACCCTATCGTGGAAATGCCATTGATTTTAGTCAAATAAATAACCGCACATTGATTTGATTTACACCTCGTCCAGATATTCAGCTGTCGGACTGTGGATAAGTTCTTGGCGCTGTGTTACCTCACCATTCAGCCATCCAAAGAACAGATCAAGAAGCTTGTCTACAATGCTGGACAAAACTACAAGAAAATCTTAGTAAGCCCTAGAATGAATGTCATTTTTTTGTAGGAAAGCCTCAGATAATACTAAAATTAGTGTCATATTGAAGCATTTCATGTTCGATTCAATTTGTATATTTAATTTTAACAGAGCAAGTGTTTGTTATTTTTTCCCTTGATGTAAACAAAAATTGCTCAATGTCACTAAAAGATGAAATGTAGGGAGTAAAAAAGGAAAGAAAAAAGATGAAGAATATCAATGTGTTTCTGTTATTTGGGAATTACAGCTTAGTAAAGACATTTGTACACATGGATGCTGTTTTTAGATTGTAATGTTATTCAGATTACCTCAAAATTTTCAGACCCTTAGAAGAGTAACAATGAATACCTTGGGATGTATTCTATCACTCAATTGAAAAAAATATTGAAAAAATTGAGTGATATGTATTTTTTAAAGTAGATAATTAGGTTATTGTATGTATAAAATATACTTGCTTCACATCAAAAGGCTTCATTTGTTTTTCACCAGGCAATAGCCCAAGTAGGATGTGAGATGGCTAAGATGAATCAGGATGCAAAAATACAGACTGTGTTCCAAGACCTCGCTACTAGTGCATTATGGGGAGATAGACTCCTTAAGATTAAGGTAAGTTTTCTATTTCCTATTGAGAGCCTGCTGTTTTTTGTTTATGTGTAAATGAATGGCAGTTGCTTGCAACAAAGATTCTATGCATTTTCACTGAGCTCTCTGCTGTAAGGGGGCTAGGGTAGGGGCAGTTTCTATAATTGAAGCGATCCACGGCGAGACGGCCCGGTGGCCAAAACCGCCCCGCCTAGTACCGACTCAGAAAATGTTAAAGTATAGCTTTAGTTCTTGAAGTGTAGAAAACGAAGATAAATCAAAGTCACTGAAACAAATTCTTGATTGGAGTTGAAGATTTATTAAAATAAACGAAGAATTAATAAATCACGAAGTTCATGTTTTGGGGCTGGGCAACCCAATCGAAACAGATTAGCAACTCATGTCGATCGTAACGGAAGAGAGCTCCCGCTCTAGAGACGCAACTCGGTTTTTATACCCCCGAACTGACACGCCTCGCGCACCCAAAAATTGAGGCGTGTCACACAGACGCATTGCGTAATATCAATCCACCCATAATTAGTTTCCGTATTAAAAGGTCCTATATTTCTTGGCGAATTTACCCCCAGGATATAAGGCGCTCCGGATGATCCGCATCTCTATTCCTCACATACTTCTTTCACGCACCCACCTGTGTCTCTTACATTCTAATCTCTCAAACAAGAGATGCAAATCACCCGGAGACCCAACAACCCTGGAATATAACAAGGGATAAATGTTGCTATGTCCGTCCACACTAGCGAGCCCACATGCTTCTGGCTATTACACACCTGTAATCCTCACTTCCCCTCTCATACTATTTCGATAGTGTGAACAGACCCGGCAACAAGGAAAAACCCTTCCAATTGTAATACAAATCTATTTCCCAAATTTGCCTGATTAAATTTAAGTCAACTGTGGCGACACGCCCAGCGACACCTAATCCAATCGGCCAAGCCGAAAAAGCCAAAATTAAGAGCGCAACGTCTCGGAACAGGTGTTAAAAATAGCTTACAAGGAATTCACCATGTATGTTTGTAAAAATAGTTCTAGCGAAATCTACCAGGAATTTGCCTTGTACATGTACGTCAATGAACCTTTGAGGAAAACGTAAACACGAGAATATCCATATCATTACAAACTCCCCTACTGAAACGATCTGTCCCATAAGATCGCAAAAAAAAAAAATAGAAATTCTCGTCGTATATACGTTCCCCTCCAAGTTACACACACGTACATGGCTGCCCAGCCCTAAAACATCTACAATAACTTCATATACATCATATAAAGCCAACATGGCTTCCAAATTACAATATATAAACACACATATCAAACTGGTAATCCAACTCACAAAAATACCCACTAGTTCAAACATACTTAGAAATATCACCTCCCATTAATGACACCCTTTGCATATTAAAACAGCATGTCAATATTTTGCAAGTAATTGCACAACCTGAACGCAATAGTCAATTAAACAAACCCTCAAACTCCAAAATTTTCTTCTTTTTTTTCCTCGAGTGTCCTATTCCTGCATGGTTAACAAAAACGCCCAAATTTCCCTACAGCAGACTATGAAACCTACCACTATCATGTCTCCAACTACTTGTAATTATAGCCTGAAACTGTTTGCGAAGCTTAGGGAAGTGTCACAACCCCGGCGGTCAGAGCCGGATACCCCAGACCTCCTCCAACCGGTTGTTGGGACTTCTCCTGCCACTTGTAAACATCCATATGTAATCAGAAACTACTTAAAAATTGAAATATACTAGTGAAAATACATGCACCTTCTCCGAACACTGGAAAAGACAACGATACGTGTAACTGGAAAAATATAAAAAATTGTAATAAGCAGACCTATGGAATATACAACCAATTTCAACACGCAATTTGGCAAAAATCACCATAACCATAAATGACCCCAAATAAAATCAGGACGGGTGCCCAGCCCTAAAACAGTAAAAGTTTGATAATTAACATTATTAACTCTCCAATTTGATGTAAACGACTAATTACCGTGATAATTAACCGTCAATATTACGGTCCCTTCAATAAAAAATACGAAATATCAGACTGTACATAGAATATCTCAAAATTTGTAGATAATCAGCGCAAAACTGATTTTGGTAAATTAAAAGGGTTAGAATGTCTACCCTTAGTTTGTCTTTGCGACCTTCTTGGGATGGCACCATCCTGATTCCCTGGAACATTAACATTATCATCTCCAGCTCGCCCTGCTACATCCTCCTCCCCTACTGGATCTATACTATACCTACTTGATCAAAATTAGGAACCAACATATACTCTCCCATGTATTTATCTTGCTGTTTACGAGGACATACTTTATCATGTACATGTACATCAGTGAAATTAGGTCTTATTTCTACCTTGATGTCCCCATTCATCATGACATCCTACCAACACATTCTTACGTAAACATTGAGGAAGTAAAACTTGGAATATCTGCCCAAATACAGGGTCTAGCACTCTTCTTACTAACAAACCATCTTTCAATGAAAGGCGAGACCAATGAGTCAACCATGATTTAACATTATCAGGTTCTGAAGGATGTTTGAAGTATTCATCACCGGGTGCCCAATTTTGGGACCACCGCTCCCATACAAACTTCAGTTCGGGGTCTTCTTTCTGCATTTGGATTAACTGATCTTTTGTGTAAGATGGAAATATGCCAGAACTTGAAGAGCTAGGCTCTGCAAACGACTGTTGGTCAGGATTGTCACTATGCACACGTACCAAAGTGGTTCTGCAAAATAGTAACTATTTGATTTGTATCTAGTGATTCAAAATAACATCGTAACTCTTTACGTGCCGGCCCCTCCAAATGAGCCTTGATCACACTGACCTTTTGGGTCTCTGAAATTTGTGACTGTTCACAATATAGGTCAACCTCTTCTAACCAATCTTCTAATAACATACCACCCTGCCCTGAAAATCTATCCAACGTAGCGGTTGTCCTACCAGTAGGTGTAATCCGGATACCCTGTAGAGCTTCGGTAAAACCCGTTACCAAATCTTTAACCAACTCTTCCGCCATAATTATTATCTAATGTAAATATTATTAAATACTTAGTCTAATATGAACATTAAGGCAAGGGATGCAACCTCGGGTTACCATATATAGTATAAAACCCCTAAATACTGCTTACCTTAATTTTTGGAAGAGATGTATACTACATGTAGGCGAGCCAGAGTGAAACCAGAACCATATTCTTAGTTACCATATGTATATATGAAAAAAACACACCTTCACTACTGTTCTCGTTTACAAGGATTATATAAATTTACCAGTCAATTAATGAATTATGCCGTCAGATAATACACTAAATGTTCTGAATAATGGTATACATCAAAAGATGTATCTAATTGTATATAATGCCATACGCAACAAGGCATAGAATCAATTATCATATATAGATAAAGTGTTCTAAGTTCAAGACATACCAGAGATGTCAATCCGCTGCCTGCATCCGTCACCCTCAGAAATACTCCCTCCTAGATGATGTCTGAACACGCCTTAGATCGCCGTAGATACACAGTCTTGTAGTCCCTCTCGATGGCGATGATGTTGTGTCGCGTCGATGTAGTTGACTGCAAGATTTCACGTCTACGGAGATCACAGGACGAACCGTTAGGCTACGCAGAAAACCCGTAGACCAGCTACGAGACCAGCTGAACGTACCTAGTTTCCCGGCACCGCGGCCTTCTAATTCACCGGAACGATGCAAGCATGCAACACTGAAGGCATGTGCCGCCGACCATGAATGAAGTGACGATATCACCTCCCCGCTGACACAAGCAGCGAGCCCCTTCAAGATGACACCCACGCGGCCCTAAAGTACTACCGTTTTCCCAGCATAAAAGAATCACCAGCTACGCTTCCACCGTCGCTTCGTCGCGCTGTAGCTCTGCGGAAATAAGCTCCTGGGCTCCCTCGTCAGGAAACCACCAGCAGAAGAAAATTTCACTCCTCTCAATACTCTTCGATGCTGAGCGGCCGACAAAAAAAAAAGTTAGTTCGAAGCCCAGGGGTTCTTGGACTCCGTCCTCGTGACAACCCTAACAGATCCACATATAACTAGTTGACGGATGTGAGCTAACAAAAATCTCTGCAGCTCTCCGCTGACGTCGCTAATATATCTTGAAGTTCAATGGTAATGGTTGAAGTGATAAACAAGTGTCTTACCCCATCCGTACTACCAATTGAAGCGATCCACGGCGAGACGGCCCGGTGGCCAAAACCGCCCCGCCTAGTACCGACTCAGAAAATGTTAAAGTATAGCTTTAGTTCTTGAAGTGTAGAAAACGAAGATAAATCAAAGTCACTGAAACAAATTCTTGATTGGAGTTGAAGATTTATTAAAATAAACGAAGAATTAATAAATCACGAAGTTCATGTTTTGGGGCTGGGCAACCCAATCGAAACAGATTAGCAACTCATGTCGATCGTAACGGAAGAGAGCTCCCGCTCTAGAGACGCAACTCGGTTTTTATACCCCCGAACTGACACGCCTCGCGCACCCAAAAATTGAGGCGTGTCACACAGACGCATTGCGTAATATCAATCCACCCATAATTAGTTTCCGTATTAAAAGGTCCTATATTTCTTGGCGAATTTACCCCCAGGATATAAGGCGCTCCGGATGATCCGCATCTCTATTCCTCACATACTTCTTTCACGCACCCACCTGTGTCTCTTACATTCTAATCTCTCAAACAAGAGATGCAAATCACCCGGAGACCCAACAACCCTGGAATATAACAAGGGATAAATGTTGCTATGTCCGTCCACACTAGCGAGCCCACATGCTTCTGGCTATTACACACCTGTAATCCTCACTTCCCCTCTCATACTATTTCGATAGTGTGAACAGACCCGGCAACAAGGAAAAACCCTTCCAATTGTAATACAAATCTATTTCCCAAATTTGCCTGATTAAATTTAAGTCAACTGTGGCGACACGCCCAGCGACACCTAATCCAATCGGCCAAGCCGAAAAAGCCAAAATTAAGAGCGCAACGTCTCGGAACAGGTGTTAAAAATAGCTTACAAGGAATTCACCATGTATGTTTGTAAAAATAGTTCTAGCGAAATCTACCAGGAATTTGCCTTGTACATGTACGTCAATGAACCTTTGAGGAAAACGTAAACACGAGAATATCCATATCATTACATAAATAAAAAAAAAACACAGAAAATGCAATAAATTTTCAATAATTTATTGCATTTTACCCTGGTCCCCAACATAAAAAAAAATCCTCTGGAAGGCCATGCATTATGGCTCAAGGCATGGGCGCACAGTCATTTATGACTTAAGGGCGTAGGTCCCCTAGTTGATAAGCATAGTAGCATACACATGCTTTAGCAGTCACGCAAAACACACATTGGCAAATTGTTATTCAATAAAATCTGAGTATGTATACTATTATCTAGATCTATTATTTTTAAATTATTTTTGAAATAATTCCATAAATTGGGGTAAAAAAAAAATATTCCACCTTTATGAGCGACAGTGTATGTTTATTCTCTCACAGCCTTGTAGATGATTTATGTCCGGTAGGGTCTTACAAATTTCATCAGAATAAAAAAAGCTACTGGTAACGGTTCGTAATCAGCCATAATTGCAATGGTGCGTGTAAAATCTGTGTATCATATGTTGCATCTAGTTGCAGAAATCCAATCACTGTTCGATTGTCTTTGATCTTTATACCAGGTGTCTTTCAAAGATGCGTTCAACAGCATGGAGAAGAAACGTCTGTTGTTACCTCAGCTTATCACTCACCCACAAACCAGTCTAGAACTCATCACTGAATACTGCAGGCAAGTCTACTTTAATATTCATTTATTGCAACCACCAAGGTTAGTTTTTTTGTAAATATTTAGTTTTGCCTGACTGCTAAGAAAGCATGTGTACCGGTATGCTTGTAAGTAAGCACCCATAGTTTGGATTTCATCCCAAAGAAATGTAAAAACAATCTTATACAATAAAATGAGAGAAATCAACATTTGAAATACATAAGGATGAGAAGATATGTGTAGTAGTCAAAGTCAAAGAACAATTATGCTTTATAATAATAATAATAAAAGTGGGTTTTTGTATTGCGCTCAAGTCTGTCATTGTGTTATGATGGCCTAGTGGTAGATCTTGTAACTGGCAGGTCTGAACCAAGCAGATACTTTACTGCCCTTTGATAAGGCATTTAGTTACGCGTACCAAGTCCCTCAGATAGGCTTTAAGCATTAGGTGCACTGTTTGCCTCTATACAAGCCTATACTATCTTAACATTCGGGTAAAAAAAAATTAATACTCTTATGCTTCTTTCCTTGATTGATTTGCCTTGTACAGAGATTTCAAACTAGATGAGCAGGAGGCGCTCATGATGTATGTTCGTCTGCTGCTGTTGCCTAGTGACAGTGAAAGGGAAGATCACCATGGCAACAGCAAAAAGCCTCTGGACAAGAAAGTGATCCTCTCAGCCGTTTCTATGATCCAAAAAAGAGGAGCTCTCGTTCAGATGCTGAAGGCAAATGTAGATAAGGTGAATATGTTCAGCAATTACTCTCCACCCAGGTGTGGGTACCCAGTAGGATGCAACCGTCATTGTTGATCAAACAGTTTCTGAGCGTCACGTAACGCCTGGCTGGAATACTCCCCAGGGAGTGGAGATTGTGCACACATTGTGTGGGGGCAAGTATTGAATCCAATGATCGGGGTGATAGTATATCTGTAAAGCACTTAGAGACATTTGTATTAAGCGCTATATAAAAGTGGAATATTATTATGGTTATTATTATTATTATTATTATAAGACAATATTTTGTGTACAGATATTTTCATGGATTACAGACACACAGCCATTGTTGCAACTTGTTTTTGCAATGATTAATGACGTGAAGGTGTCGTGGTCTAGTGGGTATTTCACCAAACTGACAATCACTTGGTTTGCGGTTCAAGTCCTGGCATGGCACTTATATCTTTTGGCAAGACATCAATCTAAATTTGCCACTCTTCACCTAGGCGTCAAATATGTAACCGGTAATGATAACGATATAAAATCAATATGTTTAGAAAATTTATGGTGCTCACTGATTTGTTCATGATCCTTCATTACCGATTTTCTTGAATCCAGTAAATTTTCAGCACAGACCAATTGTATACATGTATTATCATAAGCATTATCAAATTATCAATATGTGACCAATCCCTTAAAACGATTGGTGTTGTTTTACTCTGGATTTGGCCTTGAAACTTGCCTACATCATGTACACGCACCTTCTTGACCATTTTCTTTGCCATGAATTTGCCTTGTTTTGACACACAGATTGACTGCTACTTCCATAATGATGATTTGTCTAGTTCTAGCTATTCCCGATGGCAGCTGCTTTGCAGATCGGACCATATTCAACTCGCGAGTTGGCATATAGTCTTTAATAGTGTAAAACAAATGGAAAGGGATCGTTTTATTGTGGGCTTGGACTCAAAACTTGACTACTTCTTGTGCATTTTTGTTCTTGCTGATGTTATTTGTCCTTATTTTAACTCACAGATTGACTGCTATGACTATGAGATGCTTCGTCTAGTGCTAGGTATTATCAGCGATAGCTGCTTAGATGTGACGGACCAAACCCATTCTACTGAGGTGGTATGTATAAACAGTGCTCTAGAACGATTTTAATATCAGATATTCATTTAGGCTGCTATTCATGAGAGCGTATGAACTTTAGTCCAGGTTTAATAGGGTAGGGGTAGTCCATTGCTTCGTGGATTACTTAATGTCCTTTGGCAAGACATTAGTCTACATTTGCCACTCTCCACCTAGGTGTTAAAATGGCACCTGCTAGGATGCAGATGTTATTATGGTTATGATTGGGCTTGTAAAAATTGTGCCTGGCCGAAATACGCCTCAGGAAGCGAAGCCTGTGCACTATCATGTGCAGATAGCATTTGAATCCAATGACGGTAATAAAAATTACAATGTAAAACGCTATGAAACATAGTTTTAAGCTTAATTATTATTATTATTATTATTGCTTAAACAAAGATCTTGTCAACATTAAATCAATTTCTCATTTTTATTTCATGACTGGATTTAATTCATTATTCATTTTCTTACAGAAGAACAGTAATTTGGACAGCATAAGGAGCTTAATGCTCCATAAATCAGTTTTACCAGGTTTAACTTAGTCCACCTTTATAAACAAAAGCCTTACAGTTTGGGTTGTTTTGTTTCCTTTTCCACCTTTTGAAGTTTCTTTATATCACCAAACATATCAAAAGCACTAGTGATTTCAATAGAAAATGCATGATGTACCCAATATCAAGGAATTAAAATGACTCGGTGTAAAGCAGTGGTCTCTTCACCGGGAGGGCCCGGGTTTGAAACCAAGTTGATGGGTGAGCCCTTTGGTAAGGCATTAATCGTCATTACCAAGTCCCTCAGAGAGGACTTTACAGCCATAGGTCTGCAAGTTAACCAGCTCACATTACAGGCATACACATACTTTAACAGCAGTCAGGTAAAAGAAAACGAGCCAAACTCGCCTTGGGATTTCATTTGTATGTACAGTATATGGAATATTATTAATTTTAATACAAATTTGTTTTTTTGATCTTTTTAACATACATGTAGGGTCTGCAACTTCTGGACTACCTGGAGGCATATACACGTCGTAAGCCCCCGTCAGAGTATGAGATCATGTTTCAACAGAGTGGAGAAGATGAAGGGGTAAGCAAAGTCCATTCTTTTGCATTTAAGATAGGAGGGGTGGTGGATTGCACTGGTCTACAGCAGGATGCATCATTTACAAATGAAAGAAAAACTAAATTTAAATAATTGAAGAAAAAAAATATGCTGATTAGCCACCTTTTATAAATATTTTTAGTATCACTTTTCATTTATCACTTATATGTGTCCCCATGGTATACATACATGTACTAGGTGTAAAATACTGCTAATAACTAAAAAGCTAAAGATTCAAACGAAACTAAAGCTTGCACGTTGACGGGTAGAAGGTTGTCATATGTATTTGGAAGTAAGTGTTATGCGATGGAATTTCATGTTGCGTCATATTTTCTAACTTCCATTAAATTTCCTTTCAGCTGATGCTTACCACAAAACCGCTACCACCGCTCTCAAAGACACGACTACCATTCCATCCTCTCTTGAAAGGTGGACAGTGGAAAATTCTCTGTGAGTTAGATGAATTTAGATTTAACTGAATTAAAAATACAGAGCTTTGTAACACCGATAAGTACATTTTGAGTATTTCTGTCAATTGTTAAAATGCTTATGTCATTAAAGCTGTGGAAAATACACTGAGCAAAAGCGAAACAACCCTTTGGCATAGTTGCCCTTAAGAAAATCATTAGTTGATAAAAGTAGAACGGGTAAATTTGAGAGGCATAATTATTTGCATGATTATACTTATTTTAGTTGATTGTGATTGCCTAGTTTGGCCAATTGCTTTCAAATTTGGCATACACAAAAAAAAGGGTTTACTATTCATCCTAAATCATAAAGAACAAAAGGGGTGCAGGTGATACAATGGATGCTGTTTAACCTGTTTATGAACTTTGACTTGCAGGTCGTGAACTCAGTGAAGACACTCTGGCTGAACTCCTACCTATCGCTGAAGTACTACGGGTAAGTTTCTCAATTATCATTTGTTATATTTTTGTTTTTCAATTGTTATAAAAATTGTGCCTGTCATTTCCTCTTCATTTGATTCATTTTACACAGCTGAAGGCTGTTCTTCAGCAATTCTTCAGAAATTTTATATATGTTTTTGAATGCTTTTTTTTTAGTATTGTATGTTTGATGTAAACTTGCATTTTTAGTCTTTGGATTTTTTGACAAGTCTTGGATAAACCCTCATTTGAATTGAATCAAATAGAAGTATACGTGAACACATTAAAATCAAGCGATCCTGTTGTGTACAATTTGCAAGATACGTGTTATGTGCATCAGCCGTGTCTTCACATAAACATACACTTTTAATGCCATGTCCCCACAAATAAATTTGTGAGCCTCTTCTTTTCTGTTTGGGTTGGTGGGCAGAATCTTAAATCACATCTTGACATTTTATTTAACAAACTTTACTACAACGTATAATTTAGAGCGTGATAACAGTTCACAGTGATTTCTAAGTAAATTTTTTGGGAATTGAATCTTCACTGCGAGTCTTAAATATGGGCTTAATTAAATATCTTATCAATTCCCAATTATAAGGATAATAATAGGTCCATTTATATAGCATAGCTACTATATGAATATACTATACTGCGCTTAATACAAAGTATCACATTATTACAATCTTAAGAAATATCTGTTTAATTTAGCTTATAATTGATTACCGTTACCTTTCATATCTGTACATTTCCTATTGCACTTTTGTATATATGTATCATGTATTTCATCTTTTGCACAAGCTGCGCCTTGAGCATTTGACTGTCAAGTGGATTTGGCGCCTTATAAATCTCATGTATTATTATTACCCTGACTGTAGCTGAGCCGCCATAATAAGGCACTAAAGCGTCCAAGGAATTTTTTCTTATCGGGTACCAATTTACCTCACCTGGGTGGAGAATGGCAAATGTAGATTAATGTCTTGCCAAAGGACATGAGTGCCGCGGCAGGACTCAAACTGCTAACTGTGTGATCCACAGTCCAGTGACGAATCCACTAGACCATGAAACCTCTACACAATAAAAACATATTTACTTTTGTTCACTGCGTTTAAAGCCTATCTGCACTAGTTTGGCCAGGAGAGATTAGACCTCCCTGCGTGGTCACTGGCAGGTGGTTATCTCATCAAATCAGCTCTCAATTAACATTAAAAAAAGGGGACCATGGGGGATCAACGGGTACTGCTTGGGCATTGTTGGCTGTAAAGAGGGCGCAAGGAGCGTAGTACAAGTAGTGCAGTTCTGGTTTAACTGTCTGTTTCCCTCTCCAGCTTTCCACCGATCAGCTGTATGTGACCACCATCCAAAACATAGTCAAGGCAAGACAGCTGGGTCAGAAAGTTGCTACAGGTGAAGGTAAGGTCATACTACCTGTTTCCTCTCATGGGTTTAACTAATAGTCTTACACATAAATGAGCAAGAATGCACAAAAATAAAAAAAAATTAACATAGCCAGTGTCATTTTTTGTCTTATTTTTTTTCTGATATCCCTTGGGCTTGCTCTCATACACAATTATTTTTCCCAACCACTTTTGAATGACGTACAGAAAAAAATGGCATCTATCTTTTTTTTGCTTCAAATTGTATGTGTGTTTGTATGTTTCTTAGAATGAAACAGCCTCAGGAAATAAAATTACCAATTCGAATAGGAGAGAAGTTTCTTTTCAAAGACGACTGGCAAAGCTGCCAAATTTTTCCAGTTGCACTTGAGCTATTTCTTAAATCATTTTTCATCTTTATCATACCCGTCGTTTGTGAAAAATGCAAGATCATCACATGATACATCCGGCAATGACAAAATGTGCCTTTCTGTCAGGATGTACCGTATCTAGAATCTAATTTTAGAAAATGAAAGAAAAACGAATTATTATATCATTTCTTTTTGATGACAGATGGCAGGGGCGACAAAGGATTCCGGCCACCCTGTAAGCTGGACATGGATACTCTAGCTAAGGTCAAGAACATTTTGCTCAAAGTGAAGCAGCCTGAGATGGCCGTCGTGACAGCTAGATTCATAGCCAAGGAGCTCCAAGTCAGTAAGTAATCCTGTCTGACCTATGTACAGTCAAACCTGCTTTAGTGACCACCTGTCTACAAAGACCACATTTTTTGTTTCCGTTGAATTGGTTTCTCTTTGAAACATGTACTAAAGGAACCTGTACATAAAGACCACTTTTCTTGTCTCCTTTTGGTGATCCTAATAGACAGGTTTCACCGTATTTGTCAGTATATCCTGTTGGCTGAAAAGCTATGATGTGATGCTCTGGTTTATTGTATGTGCCCAAGCGTTCAAAATAATGAGTATCTTTTGAATTACGGAAAATGTTTTCTAAATTTTGTATTGGTTTAATGTTCCTGTGTTTGGAATGATTGCGAAACATTTGAAAGGCAATCAAGCCAACTCGTCCTGTTTAGATATGCAGATATTGTCATTTTAGATCCAGAAGTGTGCTTGCTCTGGATTATTCTGCATTAGCTCTGCGTTGGCTCTGCGTGGACTCTGCATTAGTGCCGCGGCGGGACACGAACCACTGACCTTGTGATCCACTTGACCACGACACCTCAATAATGTTCATTCATCTTGAATTTCCAGGTAAACAGAAGGAGATGGCTCTGAAAATGTGTGAGCGACTAGCTAGCAGATGGCAAGAGTTGAGTGAAGAAGGGGTAAGTATATGACCTCCTTATTACGTAATGAATGGCAAATGGCGATGAACAAAGGGGTTTTACACACAACAAAGCGTACTCTCTTATTTTTGTGTGATAAGGTACAGAAACCTTGCCGTATTGAAACCTTGCTATATCAGGTGCTTGAAACTAAAATGTGAGTTGCGATCTGCTTTAATATTGTCAGTTCATAGCCAGTTGGGCATAGGACTCTGTGTAATACAGTGTGCGAGTTAATACCTGTCTGGCTCCAAACAGATGAAAGGTCTTTTAAATTTTGCTATGGCAGTTTTCTTGAGGCAATTTTTGTAAACGAAGCTTAGAATTATTTTTTCTTTTTACCTCCTGTTTACGGCAGACTCCTGACCACCAGAAGGCTTGTGCCACCCACCAGCGTCTGGTTGCCGAGCACCGAGCTGTCTGCACGGAGGAGGCTCTCCGGAGGCATGGCCTGGCCGATCCTTTGCACGTTCAGATGATCGCTACACCTGCTAAGCTCATCTTCAAGCTCTACGAACACCCTAGCATTGAGCAGTGTCTGCAGGGTTACCAGCATAACCTACCAGGTATGGTTTTGTGGTCAGTCAGTGGGCGTGGACTGTTACACAAATAATTGCTTTATAGTGTTTTTTAGAGGGCTATTTGTAAGTAATCTCATTGAAGTTTCAATTTGTGTAAACATACTAAAAAATCTCGCAACCATTAATTCATCATCATAAGGTTTCGGAATCTTTGTAAGATTCCATTAGAAATTAACTTTGATTGTTCCCTGATTGTCTGTAATATCTGGCTCCCAGGATACTGATTTCTTTACTAAAATTGCCACCCAGGCAAATGACGGGCCTCGGGGGCATATCAGGATGTAACTTCCCCTTGAGCCTATAGAAACCGCAATGCGTCTCATAGCAGTCAAGATATCTATACTAACAACTAAAATCAAGCAAAAAATCAGGGTTTCAATATATGTAATTACATATACGCTTTAAATATGTTAACTCCATTATTTATTTTATTTGTTTATTCTGTGCACTAGACATTAATGCTGCAGTGGAGGAGATTGCCAAGATAAACAACAGTAATTTAGAGAAGATTAGAATTCATCTGATGGAACAATGGATGCCTCAACCCGTCATGAGCAAACAAGAAGAAACGGTTCGTTACCTTCCAGATATTTGAAAAATATTTAATCATGAAATGAGGATTAAAGCGGGACTGTGTTATAACAATTTTTATGCCTCTGTTACGAAGTAGCCGGAAACATTATGTTTTCGGGTTGTCCGTCCGTCCGTCCGTCCGTCTGTACGTACGTACGTACGTCCCGTTCTCGTGATCGCGTTATCTGAAGAACCGATTGATGGATTCCTGCCAAACTTTGGTCATGTATGTATCTTGCAGAGCCGATGAACTGATTAGATTTGGGGTCACGAGGTCAAAGGTCAAAGGTCACAGGGCTCATTATGTATGCAAAAACAGCTCGTGATCGCGTTATCTGAAGAACCGATTGATGGATTTCTGCCAAACTTTGGTCATGTATGTATCTTGCAGAGCCAATGAACTGAATAGATTTTGGGGTCACGAGGTTAAAGGTCAAAGGTCACAGGGCTCATTATGTATGCAAAAACAGCTCGTGATCGCGTTATCTCAAGAACCGATTGATGGATTCATGCCAACTTAGGTCATGTATGTTACTTGCAGAGCTGATGAACTGATTAGATTCTTGGTTCATAAGGTCAAAGGTTATGGGCTCATTATGTATGCAAAAATAGCTTGTGAACGCATTCTCATTAGAACTGACAGATGGATTACTATTTAACTCAGGACATCTTGCAGAGCCAATGAACTGAGTAGAATTTAGGGTCATGAGGTCAAAGATCAAAGGGTCATATATGTATGTGATAAATTGCTTGTAATCACGATATTCTGAGAACCTGTTAATGGATACAATTGAACTTGAATTTGAAAAATTTCTTCTGTTTTGGTTTGTAAAATTGCTCTATGACGGAGGCATCATTTTCGACTGCGTGCAGTCAAAGTTCCATCTAGTTTTTCCTGCGACTGTAGTAATTTCCTTTTTGTGTTGAAACCTTGCTATATCAGGGGCTAAAAACTATTAAAATACCAAGGGAGTGGGACCAGCAAAATTGCTTACTTGTAATTTGAATTTATTACAGTGTTCTTTGTATTGAGGTTCCCACTAGTTTGTTATAACAGTGTTCATTAGATCTTTGTAATGAGGCTCCCCTGTAGAAAAATAGGTGCACTGGTATAATGTGTTAGGAAGAAGTAATGGGATATTTATTTTGTTTTTATCTTTTTTTGTTGTTGTTGGTTTGTTTTGAAACAGAATGGGAGATACAGATATGCATTGTGAAGTATGCTAAAATGAAATAAATATTATGCCTAGATCACCAAACTAAAAAAAATAAATTATATGTTGCGTTGTGTTTTTGTCATTCACTCGTAGACCATGAACTTCTCATTTGGGTCATCAGGAGAGGATGAGATTCCAGAAGAAGAGAGAAGTCTCATGAGGTATTGATCTACTTATTCTTCTCCTTCTCCTCCTACTCCTGTTTATTTTCCTCATTCTCCTCCTCCACATCCTCTATCTACTCCTCATTTTCTTCCTATTCATCTCTTTCCCTTATCTTCTCCTTGTTCTCCTCCACCTCCGCTCCTTCACCACTTTCCTCTTTTCCATCTCACTTTCCTCTTTTCCATCTCACTTTCCTCTTTTCCATCTCACTTTCCTCTTTTCCATCTCACTTTCCTCTTTTCCATCTCACTTTCCTCTGTTCCATCTCACTTTCCTCTTTTCCATCTCACTTTCCTCTTTTCCCTCTCACTTTCCTCTTTTCCATCTCACTTTCCTCTTTTCCATCTCACTTTCCTCTTTTCCATCTCACTTTCCTCTGTTCCATCTCACTTTCCTCTTTTCCATCTCACTTTCCTCTTTTCCATCTCACTTTCCTCTTTTCCCTCTCACTTTCCTCTTTTCCATCTCACTTTCCTCTTTTCCATCTCACTTTCCTCTTTTCCATCTCACTTTCCTCTTTTCCATCTCACTTTCCACTTTTCCATCTCACTTTCCTCTTTTCCATCTCACTTTCCTCTTTTCCATCTCACTTTCCTCTTTTCCATCTCACTTTCCACTTTTCCATCTCACTTTCCACTTTTCCATCTCACTTTCCTCTTTTCCATCTCACTTTCCTCTTTTCCATCTCACTTTCCTCTTTTCCATCTCACTTTTCTCTTTTCCATTTCACTTTCCTCTTTTCCATCTCACTTTCCTCTTTTCCATCTCACTTTCCTCTTTTCCATCTCACTTTCCTCTTTTCCATCTCACTTTCCTCTTTTCCATCTCACTTTCCTCTTTTCCATCTCACTTTCCACTTTTCCATCTCACTTTCCTCTTTTCCATCTCACTTTCCTCTTTTCCATCTCACTTTCCTCTGTTCCATCTCACTTTCCTCTTTTCCATCTCACTTTCCTCTTTTCCATCTCACTTTCCTCTTTTCCATCTCACTTTCCTCTTTTCCATCTCACTTTCCTCTTTTCCCTCTCACTTTCCTCTTTTCCATCTCACTTTCCTCTTTTCCATCTCACTTTCCTCTTTTCCCTCTCACTTTCCTCTTTTCCATCTCACTTTCCTCTTTTCCATCTCACTTTCCTCTCTTCCATCTCACTTTCCACTTTTCCATCTCACTTTCCACTTTTCCATCCATTTCACTTTCCTCTTTTCCATCTTACTTTCCTCTTTTCCATCTCACTTTCCTCTTTTCCATCTCACTTTCCTCTTTTCCATCTCACTTTGTTCCTTTTCAAACATCTCCTTCTCCTCTTTCTATTTTTCCGTATTCTCTTCCCACTGCTTCTAGTCTTCCTCTTCCTCCTTTTTCTTCTCTCTTTTTTTTTCACTCTCTCCTCCTCCCTCTCATAGTATTCAGCATCACCTGTGCCTGGCAGTGGGTGGGGGACGACTTAATCACTATTACTTAATCACTATAACCCTCATGTCTATCTTGATTAGGATTTTTTTTTTTTTTTTTTTTTTTTTTTGTTTGGGGGGGGGGGGGGGGGGGGGATACTTCACCAGGGTGTCCCCCTACTCACCCACAAAGTATGTCGCGGGTTCTCAATGTGCATAGGTTGTGATTCTCCTGCACATGGGGCCTCCATCCATGACTGTGCCACCACCTCAACAAAGATCAATGTGCTTGACATCCCTGTTCAATGTCATGTGTGCCTGTCCGTTTTATTATGACGATGGATAAAGTATGCATAATTTTAAACTTGAATAAAAATCCATTTTTCTCCTGCTTCAATATCTAGGTTGAAATATCTGCTGCAAAGACAGAATCCAGAGAGTACAGTTCTCTTCTTGTTAAATGTTGCATTCAAGGTAATTTTCTCTGTGTTCTTCTTCTCTGTGTTTTCATTTTGTGGCTCTTTGTCTCAACATCCAGTCTTTCTTTCTCATTATCCAAAAAAAAAATTAAAAAAATAAAAATTATCCACTCAATGATAAGGCTGTGTTGGAAATGGAACTTGAAATTCATAATATTCATGTGAAATACAATTTTTTCTCACAAATACACAAAATTCTATTGTTGCTTTCGACAGATACACTTTTGGTAAATCAAATAACATTCTTTGAATACCCTTTTTATACCGTCAAATTGCTGATTTACACTGGTTCTGGATTTTGGTATCGTATTTTCCTTGCTTACCGGTCATGTTAAAGGCAGTGTGTTATATTCCTAGTTCTCATTACTAGGGTACAAGCCTGTAGAATAGCTCTGCAATATGAGACAGGAAAATACTTCGTAATTTGGCAATACCCTTTCACATTTGCTGCTTTTGCTAACATATCCATAAAGGAGCAGCAATATTTGCGGCTATGTTTAGGCAGGAGGTATGAACAGGGTCAACAAAAATGGAATCAAATTGAGCAAATACTGCTCCCCGATTCTATGGTGCATTGTTGAATCTCTCATGAAGAGAAGTATGACTCTTGTTGTAATGTTGTTCATAAGGTTCATATTTATTGTCCATTAAACAATGAAAATTTGTTGTGTTACATGGTATTGCGATACACATATATAACATACATATACTCATACAAAAATCAATACAATAATTGTTAAGTTGACGAAAAACAAAAACAAAGATATAGTCATGCACAGAAAATAATATACATGTATATATGAGTGAGGAGGAATGACGATGGGATTTTACAAGTATCGATGATGTATTGTTTTTTTTCTTTCTAGCAAACCTCGACTCACGTCACTACGGGATGCCAGGTGAGGGCACTACGTTGTCTCTTCTCTCTCTCCGACGATGCCGTCATTTCTCAAGTCTCCAAACAGTCTGCCTCTGAGCTCAGGTATGTAATGAGAATGTAAAGAGAAAGTTGAGCAAGGTTTTGAGAATTTTCAAAAATAATTTGTATTTTCATTATTTTTAGTACTATATGAAAGAATGATATTGTAGCAATGCATTGGATGGTTTGCTCCTGAAGTTCTCTCATATTACAAATATAACTAGAAATAGCTTGGAACATTTGACCAAATTCTGATACCATATATTTAAAGAAGTGAAAATATGATGAGTTTTGTTGACAATACATTAGAAATTGTTAAATCTACAATGCGAATCAGTTTAAATTGATCAATGATACAGGTATATCATTAAAAATCTCTTAAATTCTCTCTGACATTCTGATTTCCCTCTTTGAGTTTGTTGCATTTTACAGTGAGAAGGGATAGAGAAGGAAATAAAAATATTATGTATCATACTATAATGCAATTGGGATCATAAATCCTCATGAGTAACCAACAATCAACTATGATCTCTTACATTAAAGTGACTTGGTGACATTGCCTCAGATTCTGAAACAAAATCCTGGATTTAGCTCATGCTGCAATCATAATTATAAACCTTTAGGTCAGTCTGGAATCCAATGACTTTTATGATTGGAAACCACATTTTTTTTTTTTCTTTTTTTTCGAAACAGTTTTTATAACACTACAGTCTATTTGGAAAAATGAGTATGGTAAAGATTTTTACTTTTTTGAGGCACTTCATGATCATTTCGAAATTTGAAGCACAATTTTTCTAGGGCTTCAATATTACACCATATCACAAACACTGATAACTCGTAGGGCCATGCATCTCAGATTTAATATTGTAAAACGATGCCTTTAAATACTAATTTCCTTTGACAGAGAGTACTTGAAGAATCTGGTGTATCTGAGTGAGTTTGAGGCTCTCAACATTGCCATGGATCTGTCCACATTGACATCCTCCAACAAGGCCAGTCTGGTCAGGGGTCTATGGAAGAACCACAACCATGAGCCCAGGGTGAGTAGTGGGGCGTTGCAAGAAAGTTGCGATCGATTGCAAGATACAAAATTTGCAACTGGTATTTACAATCGATTGCAACTCAACTTTCTTGCACTAGTCTCCTAATTTTCCTAGGATTTTGTTAAGATTACAGTTTTAACAATAACGTCCCCCCCCCCCCCCTCTCTCTCTCTCTTACTAATGGGGCATTGCAAGAAAGTTGAGTTGCGATCAATTGCAAATTTGCAATGAATTGCAAGACTTACGCTTGATTTTGGGGATTTGCAATTGTTTGCAACTTTCTTGCAACGCCCCATAGGAGGTCCTATGACACCCTCTCTTCACTGGTTCTACAAACTTGTTCTGCTTACTTCTAACTCGGACCTAACATGAACCCTAACCCTAACCTACAGCCTGCATCATGATGAAAATTGGAAGTTAAAGATTTTCATTTTTACTCTTAATCCAAATTCATGATGATGTATCACAGAGAATATTTCACGACACCATTTTTTGTCTTCTTAAGATTATTTTGTCCTCGTTCATCTTGGATATAATGTGCAATAATGTCAAAGCGTACAGTTCCTGAACTTGTTTAAAATTTCATTTAGAAAATAAGGGGTTTTCATAGTCAAACCTATAAGAGTGAGTATCTGTATTTCAGTGGTTAATTATAATAATAATGATAACAGTGAAGTCTTGATAGCGCTCATGTCTGGCACATTGCCACTCCTGGTGCTCCATTATCATTACCCTGGTTTTAGGACGGCTGCTGTTACAGTGCTCGAGCATTTCAAGGAACCTATTCCTGCCAGTGTACCCATGTACCTCACCTGGGTGGAGTGTGGCAATTGTACTGCCAAAAAGTGTTAAACTCTGTTCTACTTGAAATCGTTTAGAAGTATTATGGCATAAGCTGCACAAGTACATTTTTAAGTCTTTCATAATTATTTTTATCCTCAGAGTGTTCAACTGATTGCCAAGCTTTGTCTGGAGTACGAGGTCCATGACAAACATCTGTGGAACAGTATGCTTCAACAGCTCCAAAAATTTGGAATGGTAAATAATATACACTGTCTTAAAGCCTGTCTGCACTACTTGTAGCTACTTGCCTCCTCTCGTTCGTTCGTGCAAAGAATATCAGGGAGTACATCATCTAGATAGGAAGATCGTTATTGAGCCAACAGATCGTCTCATCATCGAGCTCACGAAGTCCGGAAGCGCCGTGGGGGGATTTGTGGATCGGACAATCATCAATGACATGATCCATAGTTTGGATCTCTCCACAGGCGCAGTTTGGTGATGATTCAGCTCCAATTTTATGTAGGAAATATTGTGTGCGGCCAACTCCAGTTCTGACACGGTTTAGGTTGACCCAGGCTTTTCTTGGGAGGTCGCTGCCACTTGGTTTTGCACAGGGCTTTGGGATGAACTCCTTCAGGTTGGTAGTGGACGAATTCCACTGGTCTGACCAGCGTTTTGTTATCCAAGTGGCTAAGGTGGAGGGGGGGTTCTCAGGCCGCAGCTCAGCAGCCTGTGTTGCAAAGTGTCTTCTAGGGAGACGCTGTCCTTCAAAGGCAGAGGGGGCAGGAACAAGGCATTTATCTCTGTCATGCTTTTGGGCAAGCTTAGCATACTGCGCATCTCGTCTGAGCTGAGCTGGTGGTATGCCAGATAATATTGGCAGGTTGCTGACTGGTGTTGCAGTGAGTGTTCCGCTGATTAGTCTCATAGCGTCATTGAGGACAACATCAACCTTGTGTACATGGGTGCTGTGGCTCCATGCAGGTGCAGCATACTCGGCAGTGGAGAAGGCAAGAGCTAGAGTGGAGGTGCGAAGGGTGGTGAAATTAGCTCCCCATCCGGTCCCTGCAAGCTTCTTTAGGAGAGACACTCTGGCTTGGGTCTTTTGGGCTGTGGCTTTGGCATGCTCGTGGAAGGTGAGGCTTCGGTCAAGAGTGACACCTAGGTACTTTGGTGTTGAGACGAAGTTCAGCCTAGACCCATCTAGTGAGATATTCAGCTCTCGGTTGGCGCATCGGTAAGCCAGGTGGAAGACGGAGGATACAGTCTTTGTTATGCTTATCTTGAGATGCCATCTGTTGAAGAACTCGGCTAGCATTTTCAGGTCCTTCTCCAGTGATGTTTCGATTGCTTCGAAGGAGTGGTTGTTGAACCCCAGTGCGGTGTCGTCTGCGTAGGAGTACTGCATGCATTCCCCTTTGGGCATATCAGAGACATAGATGTTGAAAAGTATCGGAGCGAGGACAGAGCCTTGCGGCACACCATTGCGGAGTTTCCTCTTCCTACTGCATTCGCCGTTTGATGTTTCGAGGACAAATGACCGGTCTTGTACAAGCAGCATGATGAATTTCACGATTCTTACATCTGGAATGGTCTGCAGGGTCTTGAGGTATAAGCCACGGTGCCATACTGTGTCAAATGCCGCAGTAAGGTCGACAAGAACTGCACCAAACTTCTGCTTCTTCTGGAAGGCCGTCTCTATGTCGTTTACAAGCCTGACTACTTGGTCGGTGGTTGATTTACCTTTCCTGAAACCTGCCTGTGTAGTAGGTAGCTTCTCTTCGACAGTGTCAACGATTCTGGCAAGTAGCAGCCTGAATCTTCCTATTCAGCCAATCAAAGTGCCTCCTCTATATACATGTAGCAAACAATGCCCAATCGGTGCCTGTTGGTCCCCCATGATCCTTTTTTTCATATGTTAATTGAGAGCCAATTTGATGAGATAACCACCTGTCAGTGTCCATGCAGGGAGGTCTAATCCCTTTTGGCCAAACTAGTGCAGACAGGCTCTAAGACACTCTCAATAAATCTACAAGGTAAAGGGGATTGTCATAATAATAGTGTTATTTCAAAAGGGGCTCAGCTCTTAAAGATTTAGCTGGTGTCTAAATTATATGTAGTATATGCAGGTATTTGTTTTATGATCTCCCTTTTGAATAGGTAGTTTTACTTCATTTTGTGAAGTAATACTTACAATTTCATAGAAAATTAATGACATGGTCATCACCCTATTAACAAAATTCTGTTGTGTATTTACACAGCACCTCTATTACTTTAAGAGTTGTTATTTTGAAATGTAGAGAGGGAATCTTCGTCTGTTTAAAATGTCTTTTGTTAATTTGCAATATGCTTACTTATACAGACTGGTCCAATATATTGAGATTCTCACTTAATTTACAAGTACTGCATTACATATGATGTTTCTCTTCAACATGACCGCTAATATACATGTATGTCTCTTGTTTGATACATTATTCTTGATTCTAAACATAGCTGGATTATCTGGAGTATGTATTGGTCCAACTAGCTGGGCTAAGGGAACTGAGGTCCATTCAGTGTCTTCCTAAGGTGTGGTCTGTCATCCTCGCTACTCCGTTCATGTCAAGTGAGTATCTCATAAGGAGGCGCAATAGCTCAGTCAGTATAGCAGTGGTCTCATGATCCGGTGACCCGGGTTCGAAACCAAGGCGATGCGCTAGTGCCCTTTGGTAAGGCATTAATCCTCATTACCAGGTCCGTCTGAGAGGACCTAAAGCCGTCGGCCGTCTGGTTGCTTACTTACAAGCATTTATGCTTTCTTAACAGTCAGGTAAAATAACCACCACCACCAACCACCACCACCATCTAGTGCTCACCACCATCTAGTGCTCACCACCCCACTCTCACTTTATATACTGGTGCTTTTGATTCTTGTACTGGATGCCTTTTCCTACAAGTTCTTGAGTTGCCAAATTAGAAAATTCATATATTGCACTTTGAGTGCTATACTTGAAGCCTGTCTGCACTAGTTTGGCCAGGAGGGAATAGACGTCCGTGCCGTGGTTACTGACAGGTGGTTATTTCATCAAATCAGCTCTCAATTAACATAAGAAAAAGGGGACCATGGGGGACCAACAGGTACCGCTTAGGCATTGTAGGCTATATAGAGGGCGCAAGTAGTGCAGACAGGCTTTTTAAGTGATGTTTATAAGGTCAGTAAACACAGTGAAAACAATTTTTAGATTCATTCCATCCCTTTTAATTTACATACTATGCAGTGGAATATATTCTTTTCCAATTCGTTTTGATTAAATTGCTTTTTTGACTGGACTATTAATCTTCCAACCGATGTTTCTTTGCAGGCTGTACGCCACTGAGTGAGGAACAATCGGAGAGGTGTAGAAATGTGCTGTCACTGGTTCAGAAGTAAGTGAGGTCCTATAATATTTGTTTAGGGTCACAGGTCATTACTGACACAAATGTCACTTTATTAACTTTCTGTCGAGACATGACTGGATTACTTTTGATATGTTGTCTGTAACAGAGAAATAGAAAATGGATATACAGTTGTAATTATTATAGATTATCTTGTTCTTCTTTTATTAGTGTACCTGCTTTTTTATTTGTCTGTAAAGAGTTTTTTTTAATTTCTATTATACTGCTTTTTCATTGTCAAATGAAGCATTAAATACCTTTTCAAGGGATTTTTGTTTGTTCAGCTATTCCAACTTGTAAAACTGTTTCAGTTTTAGGAAGATATATGTTCCCACTTGTAATCCTTCATCCTGATACAATGGACCATGGTAAATACTATTGTTTTGGGGCGGGATTAGTCTCCCAAGACCCACAAGGAATTAACAAAGTTGAAATGTAAATGTCAGTCACTGTTTATCTGTGCTTGATTTGTATGTTAGGTGTCCGGTCCTGTATGATCTTGATTTCATACGGCTTAGCTGTCAGTTTCTGAGGGTCGATATGCATGCAGAGGCACTGGCTTGCCTTCTACACATACCAGACAAAACCAAGAGAGACACTCAGATTGATGTAAGAACATCTCTTGCTTCATATTCATTTCTACTATGATAAATAAATGTATTAATTGATTGATTAATGGTTGTACACCTGTAGGACACCTAGGGGGTGTCTCACAAAGACTCAGATCTACTTGAAGGTCGGGTGACATCCAAATATAAGTTGATTCCTGTTGGTGTGCAGGTCTGCACACAACTCTAAATATATTTCTTCAATTTTTAAATATTTTGTAAAATAATTCTCTCAGACCTGCTAAGCTCCACCCTAAAAAAAGCTCCAGATTTCACTCATCTTGTGACATCATCTGTCAATCATTAGTGAGGTAACAAGAGGCAGGACCAAGCACTATACCTACCTTAACAAAAGCCCTAAATCTAATTCGCAACCATAATCCTATCCATGTGTGTTTGGAGAAATAAAGCATTGAGCGATTGAAACCAGAGCAAGTGACACCGAAGCAATTATCAGATCACCTGGTTGAATGAATGATTTATAGGTTGTTTGTGTGATTGACGAATCGATTAAGTAAGCGGTTAATTTAGTAGGTTATCTGATGGTTTGATGAACTGATCATTGACTGATTGATTGATGCTTCTATTTTTATTTAATTAATTACCAAATGACTACCGGTAGATTGAATGTAATACTAATGAAGGATATCACATATGTTTGTAGCTTTTAGAAACAATGCTAGAGAGCATTTGTTCTAATATGCAACTCTATATATAATGCAATATATGTAGATACACTGGATTGCTATCTTAATTTTTTGTTTTGATAGGATTGAGGAGTAGAATTTAGTTTGTTTTGTTTGCTCCTTTACAGACCCTCTTGGATACACGTCACATTATCATCTTAGATTCTCTGTCTCAACTTATGGAAAAGAAACAACCCCTACCAGAACATGAACATGTAAGCCATTGTCATCTTTTTATTGTTATTTGATTAAAGATCAGGTTTGTATTAAAAAAATGTTCAGTTTATATCCATAAAGACTGCTTGGAGCAGTTCTTATCATTCAATTTTTCTTTGTCTCCTCTTTATTGTAAGTATACCATGTAAGTATAGAAATTGAATATATGAAAACATGACATACAACAATAAAGAATTCTTCAGTGAATTTCTTATCAGTTTAAACTATAAAAAATTGAAAGCACAAGGTTGTGCTTGAAACTAGCATGAATGATGTTCACATGGGCCACCCAAAATTTAACGCTGGACCCCCAAAACTTAAACGTTTTTAACAGGGGGTCTTCATTATGGTAGGCATTATTTAATCAGGTGTAAAGGCATGTTTCTGAAAAACTCCAGTATATAACTCAGGTTGCTTATTTCCACACAGTACGGTTAGGGTTAAGGTTACGTTGGTGGATATCTTTAATAGAAACGTGTCTCTTTGACTGATTAAATAATGTCCAGCCTTCATCATAGAGCCCCTGTGGAAAATTGTTTTTGCAGAGCCCTGTAAGAGATTTACCCTATTGTTTGTCTTTTTATGTTGATAGGTTGTAGCTGAAGTGTACAGACACATAGCATCAAAGGGCATGTATGAACTCCTTCTAGAGTCCAAGCACTTCATGGGACTGGTCCACCATCTGGCAAAGCATGATCAACTCCAGGAGCTAGTCCAGAGGACAATACAAGCAGACAGGTACAAACATGCTCAGGCTTATATTTTTAATGGTGGACTATCGAAGTCAAACCTGGGGATGGTTTCACGAAACTGTCCTAAGAACAAGTTCACCACCATCCCCTTGAAACGCATGTATTACAATTAACATGTGTTTCGATGGGATGTCGGTGAATCGTTCTTATGATGGTTTTGTGAAACTATACCCAGGTTGAACTTAGTCCAGTGATTTACGGAGTACCAAATGTCAAGATCTTTATTCTGTACAAATAACTGTTATTCTTTGACAAAAATCCAGTCATGAAATTAGAATTAGAAATCAATTTTGTAACGGCATGACTTTTGTTCTTCAATTCAATTCAGAATTGTATTAATATTTATGGGTTAATTGACTTGGCACTCCATAAATCAGTTGACAAAATGTACTCTCTTAAACCTGGACTAAAGTTAGAACAATGGTATGAATACTGTTGTATAATTGTATAAAGGGACAGTTTATTTTGAAATACATAAAGCGAGTATCCTCTTTCATATCCTTTCTCATCATTTTGAAGCAACTATTCCAACTGTGTTACAACTTAAAAGCCAAATTGTGACTTGAATTCCTCCTTATTAACTTATTTCATGTGAATCTAACAGCCCATTAAAATAGAATTATTGAGAGCTTGTTGCACCTGATATTTGTCTGCATTATTACACAGGTTATGGGATGCCATCAACCTTGTGAATGTGTTTCATGTCTACTACCCTGTCACACCGACTGCACATGAATCAACAGGCATGGAACTCTTAAAGGTTAGGAACGAACCTCCATTTTGTGCTTGCCAATTTCTAGCATTTCTAGATTTGTTACCTGTACTATAAACTTTGTTCCTTTTCAAGTGACAATTCTTCTCCTAAAGTAAAAAGTAAATAATACAATTTTTAATTTTGTTGTATATACACCAATGTTAAAGACAACCTTTTTGTAGCGTAGCGTAGGGGGGGGGGTGGGTGTAGGATTACATGTACCTAAGCATTTTTATTCATATATTTTCTAATTATTTTACAGAGCAATTGTAACTTTTTTTGTTCTCAAGGTCTATAAAATACAAGCCATGCTTTTTTAATAGACTTCTCCACTTTGTTTTAGCTCTGTGCCAATCATGAATAATTTATTTGAATAATTGTATAATCATTTGTTGAATCTTTGGTTAATATCATGTTATTGAATTTGTATATATTGCATATTCATTTGATTATGTTATATTATGTGAAAATAAAGAAACCTTGAAACAAGGCGCTCTGTAAACAGTGGACTAACTTAATCCTCTGAGTAGGGATTTTAAACCTAGAGTAAACGCAGTATGCTTTTATGAACTCCCACATTCACGTTTTAAATATGCACATATGTTTATGAAGTTACAGTAACCCATTCTCATCTTTCTCTTCTCCAGGTCTACCTGGCATCCCATGGTCTGGAGGATGATGCCATGAACATCATGAATTTAATGAAGGAAGAAGACGACGACGCTGATTGATGCTTTTAGCTGAAGTGTTCTCCCTTGAATTCAATTTTTTACCGATAGTACTACTTTTGTGCCTTATCATTCCTTTGATTGTCAAGACCAAAGAACATTTCATACGTTTGTTTGTTCGTGTCTCCTAAGATCAAGATTAATGTATCTTGATCTTCGGAGTAGTTGCTACAACCGGCCGTGTCAGACACGTTGCCCCGGGGTGCGAGATAGGACTCATGTAGCGTGCCCCCATTTAAAACAATTATACAATAACAATTAACATTACATTTAATTAAAAGTATGAAACTATTAAAATTACTCTCATGTTACAGGAAAAAACATTATAAAAAAGAACATTATAAAACTTGTAGTAAACTGTGATCATGTATGTTGATTGACTATGGACTTCTTTGAGCATAAGAGGCTTCTCACTTATAGTTGAATATCACATTTTACATCCTGCATCGACGTCATCATCATCATCATCATCACTTTCTAAAGTCAGCATTTTCCCTCTGACGAGGCTTTACTGACTTTCACGCCATGATGACACTCCCTCCCTCAACTTCTTCTTGTCTAGAGCATCCTCATTTAGACCAGCCTTACTGCTTTCTATCTTTGCTATATCTTTCCGTGAAATAACCTTGTGACACTATAATCTAAATGAGTTTACATGACAACTAAGTGATTGCTTGTCCATGCAGTCATAAGGATAGTATATCCATTACCTATGTAAAAAGAGAAAACAAATGATTTTGGCTGATGCCAAATAGAGATTTTGTTTGTTTTTGGTATTGGTTTAGTTATTATTTTCAGTTATAAAGCAGAGGACTAATAAAAGGTACAAGTTTGTTCCAAAGCAATATCTCAAGGTTTTACTCGTCTCTATTGTCAATAACTTCATAAAATGACATACAATAATTACCAATTGACATGTTATAAACACAATGTTGGTTAATGATAATGCTAGGCTTTGACATTCATAAAGTTGCACTTGTCATTAACATACATTTTACATAATGTTTTAAATGAATTATGATTTTTGATCTTCTATGTCAAAGTTCGGGGTGCGGCCTATGCGGCGCTGCAACCTATGGCATCATACATATATGAGAGGTTTTTACTTTGATATATTATTCCAATGGTCCTTATGTGCTCATGTTGGGACTGCATATACAGTAATAAATGATGGATTAGAAGTTAACAAAAAGAGAATATTAGTAAAGGGAAAGCATTGTCTTCCAAAAAATTCTGGGCTATTAAAAGACTGATCATAATTAAGAATTTGTTTATTGTTATTTTTGGTCCTTGATCATATTTGTCATATCTTTACCAAACTTTTTGAATTGACCAACAATGCTAAATGCTATAGAAGTACACTGTCTTCTTTTTGTGACATTTTTTGGATTATCTTTTGATCTGGAACGCTATGAATTACACATGTTATAGAAGAGCAGAAAGAGCAAAATATCACAGAAAATATTAAAATCTATTTCAGTGCTGTACATTGTGCCTTTCATGAATGTGATATAGTACAAGGAAAATGCTTTGAGAAACAAAATCAATGCATGGAATGAAATATTTAGATCTCCAATAATGAATTTTCTGTACAGAATCGACATCGCTTTGTTATTTTAATGCAATTGTATTTTGTATTTTATTATTTTGTTTAATTTATACATAGAAGTCGCCTAAATTGTACATTATCGGAACTTCCTCACCGAGAAACTCATACAAGTATACACAATAAATGTTATGCTTCATATTTAATCTGTTCAGTTGTATGTTTCAATAGGCTGGTGTTCAGTTTTGCTCTGTTGGTTTCCATGTGATGGGAGATACAGGCCACGAGTAAGATTTAAATCACTAAGATTAATAACTTTGTAAATTTATGCAAGAAGAATGCAGATTACACCCTTGATCCTTAAAATACACTAGTGATCCAGAGATGGAGAGAGAGAGAGAGAGTGAGAGAGAGAGAGAGCAAGAGGGGGGGGGGGGGGGGGGGGGTCCTAATTTTTTTTTTTAGATACAAAGAGTGAATGTTGTTTCTTATGATAAAATGGTTCACAGATTTTAAGCTTTGTCGACAAGAGTTCAGAATATTTATAAACAATAAAAGGGAAATGGAATATAGCAGTAAGATTGTATGATCTCATTGCCAATGAATACAAAGGGACAATATTAAATTCACAAATTATTAAATACTAAAGACAGAAGGAAAGAAATGTAGAGGACCGAAAGCCGTAATAACTTAGGCACAGGGTGACTGGCATCCTCGAAAAATCGACTTGCATTTTGCCAATAAGCAAAAATTGTGATAAAGTGATTTGACAATAAAATCTCATCAAAATAAATACTAGATAAGTCATAACAATCATGAATACTCCACATTGTGAATGTATGGTAACGTAGAGTTGGAAAAATATGGAGGGGAGTGGGGGTGGTGTTGCATCCTTCTTCTCGTATATTATAGCTGTACCTTTTAGGTACCAAAGATTGGATTGCCATGCAAAAATGCAAACAAAACAGAATAAAGCAAAAATTTGCTCCCATTTCTAGTAATAATGACACACACAAACATTGTAGGCCCTATTGGTTCCAATTTAATCTTTCTGTCTCATTTTCTTTTCTCAATTTTCTCTACTCCATTGAACTTCTTTTTCATTTCTTTCTGCCATCCCTCTTTCTCTTCTGGTCTTGATCTCTTCTCATGCAGTTTTATCCTTAATTGCGATCAAATGGGGCAGGGGCTGCAGACCCTCGACCCAATGAATATGACCATGCAAGTACTTATCAAAAAATCATGTTATCAATCTCATAGCAATGCATGATAAATTAACCCGAATTGATTTAAAAGTAAAGTTTGTCGTGTCCGCCTGGCAAACTCAACAGGTTACTATAGGGTCGACCTATCCAGGGTAGTAGTCGAGTTGTCGGTGGTCGGGTTGCCAAGATTAAAGGTAGTCGATTTGTCTAAAATCCTCCGAGTACCGTACTAGCATAAAAATGCACACGTAAGAATTTAATAACGCGTTCAATTTTTACAATTTCCTTGCATTATTCGGCATCATGTCAGCCACAGCTAATGGAGTTGATCCCGCTCTCGTTACCAGAATAGTGGACAGGGTGAAATCTCAAGGAATTTTTGATCAGTTTCGCCGTGACTGTCTCGCAGATGTGGACACAAAGGTAATTTCACGAGAGTGTAATGCCAGGCACGGAGCTCTGTCGCCGCCGCCCAATGCTGCGGCGGAGGAGCTCCCTGGCTTAGGCCCTGGGCTTGGACTCTTTTGTTGGAGGCTGTAGTATTGCATTGGGCCCGGGTGCCCTAACTATCTGTCTGTGTGCAACTAGTTAACGTTTGAACCGAAATTGACCAGGATTTTATACATCCCTCTAATGCTTAATTAGATATCATTCCCTCATAATAAATTAAAGGGATGTGAAAGACTCAAAGAGCTAGAGAGTAGAGTAGTGTCCCACTGTCAGTTATGTTAGTCAGTGTGTGCCAAAAAATTTCATTAAAATTCATTAATTGTGGCGCTTGTTCTCAACTGTGACCATTGATTTCGACCTGAGAGTGACTCCGGTGTGGAGATACCTAACTATAACACCAAAAATCATCTAATTCTTCCACAATTGTTCAAATAACAGTTTAAAAGTTGTTATCTTTCTAGGGTGTCTGAACGATTTTTCAATTTTCAATTTGGGATTGTTTTTCACCACTTTTGTTTGATATTTGAATAAAAAATGTTATCAGAATAATACATTCCAAATTTTATGTCTCACCGATGTTTCTATCAAAAGTTACAGCCCCTCCAAAACGCTGGTATATTCATATCATTTTGGTCAAAATCGACGAAAAAGACGTCCACGCAGAGTGATGTTGTTTTGCTAAATTCAGACAAACGGCTGTATCGCGCGATATGCAAGCGTATGCATATAGTACGCATGTTGCTAAGCCAATGCGCGACTTGCAGCTTGAGCCACGCTGTCTCCGCGATATGTGCAATTGACTAGTATGGGTGGCCGTTCGCGGCATAGAACCCGGAAGTGAATACACGTTGTAGTCAATGGCAATGTCTCCGCGATATTGCCATTGACTACAACGTGTATTCACTTCCGGGTTCTATGCCGCGAACGGCCACCCATACTTTCATTCACTATAATGTGTAATTGAATTTGGGGTTTCGTTCGTACGCGGAGATGTTACGCGATGTAACCATGGTTTGGACTGAGCGGAGCGCACGCCTCCTAATTAGCTGATCCACCAAATAGCGAGAAGGGTATTTTTAAACTGTTATCAGTTGTGATCCCTGGGGGCTAGCGAAAATATAAGCACATAGAATTGTTCCTTAGGACTGGGAATACTTATCGATCTGGGCGTCATATCTCAAAAGTGACAAACCTCAGAGTTAGCCAGGACACAATGTTTAAATTGCTGTTTTGACCAAGATATTTTTAGAATTTCGGGGGCTACGCCCCTTTGGAAATATTGGAATTCACCTGCTCTTTCATATGACACCTCATTTATTGAGTATCACCTTCAGGATCACAACAGATAAAGGTTTGGATCTCGAATTTTTGCATGGTCGCGCAATGCACGTAGGCTGCATAGGGATGCGTGTAATCTCTATGGGAAGAATTTTAGCACACAACATCGGGTGCGCGATCAGACACCCTAATCTTTCTTTAATACCTGTTTCGTGTCAATTTTCTTTTCTTTTTGGGAGTATTTTTCCTTAAAACCAAGACATTAATAGATTATTAGTAAACACTTTCACACAGCCACAGGTTTCACGGCAAACACGGCTGCACAATACAAGTGCATACCGACATTAGCGGAGCTAGCAAGTACCAGCATTAGGCGTGACATCACGCATTTCGAGGGTCTGAAAATGCTCTTACGCACGACGCGCGCTAGATTTTGAAAAACGCTATACCTTATAGGTGTGTTATACCCTCGCACACGCGCTTGCGCGCCGAATCATGAAAATGTCACGCATTGCCGATCTTTGAACTTGGCGTCTCTGCAGTAGTAGGCCAGGGTGCGTGCGTGCGCATGTGCGTGAAGTTAGCGACTTTAATCTCAGATCCTCATTAAATTCATGCAAGTAATTCACATTATAAATTTATAATGATCATTACGCTACGTACATATGCACTACACTTACCTAAACCATGGTTTGAGATATAAAGCTCCTTTATGAAGTGGCCTTTCTATTTTTTGTAATAAATCTGTTTCATAGTTGCATTCTTTTTTATTGTTGCATTACATCAGCCAGCATACCAGAACCTGGGAACCCGGGTGGAGGGCTATGTCTCCTCTTTCCTGACCGATTTCGTGTGGACACCGGACATGAACAAGAACCAGCTGAGGAACAGTCTCAGGAGACAAATTAATGAGTAAGGCAGCTTTTTAACCTCCTTTTTTCAGCGTGGGATTGGAATTAAAGATATAGTGGGGTAGTGGTAAAATTGCGGTTCAAGGGTTTTGGGTGCAAAATATCCATTCAATATTGTTTAAATATTGCCTTCAGAGGTTTAGATGGCAATATTTCAACCTAAATTCGCAAAAAAGCAGAAATATATGCCAAAATTTTCAATGTTCAAGTGCATTCGCGATATCTATCCAGGCAAGACCGATATGATAATTTACCAAATATATCAATTAGTAGGCCGTTTCCCATCAAAACTTGTATCATCACGTATTAGTCAAAACATATTCTTTCACATGATTGGTAATAGAGCTTACATTTCATTTTTTGAGAGGGGGGCGTTTCCAAAACTGATCTATACCTTTAAACTTCATGTCATTATTGCAGTGTACATGTCGGTCTCAATAATATGGCAGTACTAGATCTGGTTGATGACTTACCTTGAAATTAAAAAATGAGCCACTTTAAAGAAGAAAAGAATTCTGTCCAAAATTTCATTACAAATTTAAATCTTGGGTTTAACTTTTTGGTTCAAGGTGATATTTTTCTTTACAAGTTATACTGGACAATTCAGCAAATTTGGAATGATATATTATCAGAACATATTAACTTGATAAGATAATAAACAATCATGCTACAGATATTAAGTGAGATGAGATGATTCAGCTGATCCCTAATTTTTGTAATATTTCATTAACTTGTAACTTAACGAGTGACAGTATAATTGATAGATTACGCTGTAATGTACTCAGATTGCCTCTGCTTTGAGTAACCCCATCACACTCTCTGTGATCATTACAGGGATCAGGTAACTTTGTCTCAGATTCTGAAACAAAATCGTGGATTTAGCTCATGCTGCAATGATAATTGTAAACCTTTAGGTCAGTCAGGAACCCCATAACTTTTACAAGCCAATTGCCTGTCTGATTATCAAGATATTTATGATTGGAAATCGAAACCAACGGTTTTCATATTACTACAGTCTATTAGGGAAAATGAGTATGGTAAAACCGGTCACTCAAAGATTTTTACTTTTTTGAGGCACTTCTTGATCATTTTGATGCATGATTTTTTGGGGGGCTTCAATATTACACCATATCACAGACACTGATAACACGTAGGGCCGTGCTTCTCAGTTTTAACATTGTTAAACGATGCCTTTAAACTATCTAGATCTGAGATGCTTGCCTCAGGAGTGGAGAGAGTCATTGAGCAGGTGGTGGACGCCCAGCTCCAGCAGATCTTCCTCCCTCGCATCGAGACGGTCGTCAAGGAGTACCTTCACAGTGATAACACACCCTCCTCCAGTGATGTCAAACCGGGCATGGAGAGTGGGTCCATACCCCCTCAACCCGGTCAGTAACCCTAGTGGTGACTCTCAGTCATATTTGCTTTTATATCACCCCTTAAGCCCCATTCCCACATGGCATGGTAAACTGCCCTTCAAAAAATGAAATAATAGTGCACAACACGTTTTTGTGCCTTACAACATGTATAAGACATATATAAGTTGTTATGCCTTTAGGCCTATTGTTACTTGTATGTACACTTTCTCAACCCCATTTGCCATTTGCCACATGTAAAATAGTTGTAATTTTGCCACAGCAGTTTACCACATTGTGTGTGAACTAGCCTTTGTTCTTACCCAATGTCTTACATATGTTTTTTTAATAATAATAATAATAATAATAAATAATAATAGTGGCTACTTGTATAGCGCACAGGTCCACCTTTCGGTGCTCATGTCTCCTCAAGTCAATGACTGAAATTATCGTAAGCTTGCATAATTCCTACTTTGCCTTTCTAAACCAAGCACATGACATATCGTAATCATTGAAGTAGCCTTTCACGAGCAGTCGCAACAAAATTAAAATTGTGTTATCGTGTTCAATGCAAAAAGTAACCTGAATATGCTTGCATGATTTTTTCCTACTTAAGTCCCTGCTTTTGCCTATTTTTACTTTGCTATCAAGCGTTCGAGACCTTGAAAATAAATGTAGTGGTTCAATATTTCTTAGACATTGTTTTGTACCAAAATTTCTGTTGTTCCTTGTCAGGATCTCTACAGTTGTATTAGCTTGTAATGAGGTTCAACTGTAAACCTTTCTATAGGTTGTGTATTTCCCCCACCCCCTTTTTGATGAAAATATTGAAGAATACTTATGTTACCCTGTCAATTTGATTTATTTTGCATTTTATTCTATACAGGGAGCAGTGGTTCTAGTCCTATGGTTCTTGGAGTAAAAGGATCTCCTGCAGACAGTCCTCTTCCTGGGTGGAGTGCTGCTAACACCTCTCTGCAGTCTTCAACCTCCTTCCCCAATCAGCCCCCACTTCCTGGTGAAACCCCAGACCAACCCCAGCCTCCACCCTTGCCAGATTCAAGCGCCGTCCAGGAAAAGCCTCCTCTACCTCGCTCAAGAGAAGCATCCCCACCTCCATTGCCACCAAGCACGATTCCAGAGAGAACCAGGCACACATCTTCTGTGTCCTCTTCACCAAGTTTGGACTCGATATCATCTGATCCGCTTAGCATTGACAGCGAGGAAGAGAAGCCAAAGGTAGTCGTGAAGACCAGTCCACCAAAAACTGCATCTCCTGCCTCCTCCTCCAAGTCCACTCCAGGAAAGGCATCTACTGGGAAGGTCGCCCTAGGAAAGAGGAGAGTGATCCTGAAGAAGGTGGTGGTTCGGAAAGCAGATGGCACCAAGGTGGTCCGGGTAGTCCGGATGGACCCCACTAAAGCAACAGCCAAAAGGCTTTTGATGAGGGCCACATCAAGAGCTGCCGGTGATCAGGGTGGATCACCCAAAGGGAAACCCATCTCTCTTGCCAAAGTTAAGACAGAAGAGGGTAGACAGCAACCTGAGGAAGAAGACAGTCCTGTCAAGAGCATCAAACTGCCGGAAGATGATCTCTCAGGTGATGTCCTAGTCAGTCCATTGCTGGGCAAAAGGAAACATTTGCCTATCGACACCAAATATTTGAAAGTGGCTGAAGCTCAAGATCCTCAAGTTGCTCTTCAAGTCAAGGATGAACCAATGAGCAGTGGGGATGAGGAGAAATGGACTCCCAGACCAGAAAGGCCAAAGCGCAGAGGATTCTCAAGGGAAGAAATAGCAGCTGCCCACGATGCCTCAGACAGTGATGAGGAATCAAGGCCATCCCCTGTGATTCCCAAGGAGGAGGACAGTCTGTCCAAGGACTTGGAGGATGTATCCTCTTCAGGATCAGACATGGACTTTGAAGAAGGAACTAGTAGTAACTCTGCTCCAGATAGAAGAGACTATTTCCCTGCTGATGCCTCTGACTCTGACAGTCATGTGTCTGATGTTACTGTTAGCTCTGTGCATACCAGTGACCTTTCGTCATTTGATGACAAGATCAGTTCATCATCCAGTTCATCTTCTAGCAGTGAAGAAAGCGAAGAAGATACCGATGACTATGGCAAAAAGCCTGGTAAGTTAATTTCCAAAGAATTTACCTTTTCGCAAACCCTGTTTCCCCATCTATTGCATACAAAATACAAAGGCGTGTTACTTCCAATAAGAGCAGTTCGAGAAACTTATATTAGTTTGTTGAAGATTTCATCTCGGACTTTCATCTGGTGCCTGGTCCAAAAGGTACTCCTAACAGTTCATTGTGGCCTTGATATTTGTATCCGACTTGATGAACCCTTGACTTTAATTAAAATTGATATCTGTGCCTGTAAGTTGCAATTACCCATGCTGGGGGGTGTTTCACATTTTGTCATCAAGATTATGACTTTTATCAACACTCCTAATATATCCAACCTTCAGCAAAGCCAACGGACCAGTCCAGGGCAGATGCCAAGCCCATGCTTCTGGCCTCCAAGGAGGAGATCCTCGACCGAAGCGTGTCTCCTGCATCATCCGGTGGAGGGAAGACATCTCCTAGGCCGGTGGTAGAGGCTAGGTGGAAGAGACAGCACATGGTGGACATTGAGGATGAGGAGACGAAAGCAGACAGGAGGAAGAGGGCGGTAAGTTAGTTAGTGAGATGGTCGTGCTGTCTGTCATCAGGGCAGGGCCATCTTTGTCTGTTCTAGCTATAGTATTATAATGTGCTGCATGTATCGCAATGGGAATTCATTGGCATGGCAATGCAGTATGTTAGTCCGTGTTAGAGATTTGCTTTAGATTTATCCATGTTAATGCAGCTAAATGTTCCAAGACCTTTTTCGAATTCTCTTCATCTTGCATTGTTTCAAACTAAACGGGATGAAGAAGGCTAAAGTGACAATTGATAAAATACATTTATAATTGTAAGCATGACACAGCGGGATTTATGTTTTTATGTTGGGGAAAATAATGCCTTTTCTATTAATTTTGAAATTATGATTTAGAAATCAAGTGCTCGGTTTGAATACTGGTTATGTTGTGGTGCAATTAAGTTGTCAGTATTGTTTTATTTATTAAGATAGAAATAATAGAATGACACACTAGCATCCATAATATAAAGCTATTTGAATTCCTGCATAATAAACATTAAAATATCTGCTTCCCCCTCATCACCAATGGTGTGTGAATGATAATTCTGACATACGTGTATATGGGTGAGAGACTAGACTAGACCATAAGGCAAATATTTGGTAAAAGTTAGGATTTAGTAACTGGAGGTAGGAGAGGAAATAGTTTGTAGCCTAGGTATTACCAAATGTGCCTAATATTCTTTTAAAGCATTGTATTGGATAACCTTGTCACAAAATGGAAGGAGTCCTTTAGAGCATACCTGCTTTGTTGTTTAAATATCAATTTGTTGTAAAATATATGCAAGTAACTTCAAATCCCTAAAATCCATGATGACAATGGCCAGTCAAATCTAAGTGTTTGTTATATCTTTGTCTTCCGTTCCAATATGAAACAGGATACGAAAGTTTGGATTGATCAGCATCACCAAGCTTCTGGATCCAAAGCCAAGAAGGTGCCCTGTTCACACCTTCCTCTTCTTAGGGCCCTGTCACACTGGGTGCATGCATGCACGCGTTCACACAGAGCATTGATAGGCACAATTGTTGCATACACTGTATACTGATTCACCTTCACACACAAATGATTTTTAAAAAGAGAAAAAAGGGCACAGTCTATCAATTTACACTTCACAAGCTGATTCTGACAATCTACAATAGTCACCTCGGTACACCTGATGCATCAAATAATATCAATTCAACATGGGATAATTCCCTACATGATTTCAAACTGTAACTTCCATGTTTATTACATTTCTGGCATGATTATTTGGGGAAGCAGTTGTGTGGTGATCGTTGCATCTACTGCATGCATTCAAAGATGAATTTTGTATGATCCTTGAAAATGAAAATGAGATCATAAAGATTTACACAATGAAGTCCTCTGTATAGAGTACCGAAGTGTGACATCATACTGGCCAAGTAATTAAGGTTGCTGGTTCCAAACAATTTTAAGCTAAACAATGGTGGGGTGATCACACCAGTGCTAATCACGTAATTGGCCCTGCTTCAGCCCTTTGCTTGAATTATTTCGAGGTGAACCTCATGCACAGGCTCTGTTGTTTGGAACCAGTAACCTGGACGACGAGCGAATATGCCGTTACCACTTCGGTATTCTATTGAGCCACAACAGTAAATCCATTGTGACATCACAATGGAGGCCACATTGATGTTGTGTCATGCACATGCACGCAAAAGAATTGCTTATATAATGCTCCAGGTAATGTGTTCACATGTGCATCCAGTGTGAAAGGTCCCGCACACAAACCACATCACATGATCAAACTTCATTTCAGTTCATAAAGTGGTTGGAAAAATGGGGAAATCATAGGTCGAAAGTTGGAAGAAGAATGGAAATCATCGCATTTATTTGAAATTATGTTTCGGGGATGGGGGTGTATCATGTCTGTTTTGTGGTTTGGGGGCTGGGGAAATGGACAACCATTTGACTCTCTCCATTGTCATTTTCTAGGTCATTAACTAAAACTTCACACACATATATTTTGTCAACAAGTTGTGAACAGCATTGCTTTCAAATCAAAATTTGAAAATAGCCTACTCTTTTGTATGAAAAATCTTGATTAATGTTAGTTTGAAAATTCCTGTACCCGCAAAATGAATTTCTCTTGGGCTGTTCATTTTGTTCTTATTTACATGTTGTTTGCAATATCCGAAGCAAAGATACTATTGCAGCTTATTTATTAAAAGTAAAATGGTGTTTTAAGGGCATGTTTTAAGTCAGAAGAAAAAAAAGATTTGAAGCCCACTCAAAAATGTTTATCTTTTCCAACTGTTTTCCAACTGTTGGTTAATAATTACAAATTAGGTAAATTACAAATTTATTTTGTCACAAAAATGATGTTAGTTGAAAATGTATACACATGGAGAGAGCCAGGTAGGTAGTTGCTGACCAAATAATCTATAAGATGTGAGTTCTTAAGCATTTATTTTTAATTGGTGTAGATAGATATTATTTCTGGTGGCTCAGTCATGGTTTGGTGTCAGACAAATTTGTACTGATTCTGATTGATACTTGGGTTACTATCAGCAGTCACAGTCGGTCTGATATTTTTGAAGGAAAAAAGTCACAAAAACAACACCCAGGGAAGTAGACATTACTTGATAAATTGACTTCAAACAAATTATTTTAGATGTAATATTTTATGTGTCTATTGCGTGATACCAGTTATAAAGTTTTTCCGGTTTCATGTGAGTTTAAAAAGACTAACTAAAACTTGTCTGGTGTAGGAAACTTGAGACTCTGACAAGAGATTCTCAATTTGGAACGTGCTTTCGTGACAATATTCTTGTTCTTATTCTTCATTTAACTCTTTAAAGACCCCAGAATTTGTATACAATTTTGAACTAGCTTAAAAACATTGATATGCTTTTTAAGGCATTCTTATGCTTAAAGTAACTCTTTAAAGACCCCATAATTTTTATACAATTTTAAACTACCGGTAGCTCAAAAACATGGATATGCTTTTTAAGGCATAACTTATGGAAGAAAAATGACGCTTACTTTGAGAATAACAGACTGAATCATGACTCTGCCACCAACTCTTAAAGGCTTAAAGTAAACGGACTGCAATTAACCTCTTCTCAAACAATTATTGCTGATATATCTCTGATTGCTATGACATTTTGGTGTGTTTAAACTGTGTGGCGTGAGACATAACATTGCTGTTCTTTAACCCTTTCTGTACTGTAACCAGGCTGCCTTTGTATTAGGCATGTGGGAATAACAGCAGCTGGGAGTCAAGGGATTAATCAGGCTCAGCTACCCCAACTCTGGGGGTAAATTAGTAGAGTTTTTGTTGTTTTCAGTTTTCTTTTCACCGTTGGAATTTTTTCCCCAATTTTTGCTTACCTCTCACATCTTTTGCCACTGAAGGTGGTGTTTCATGCATTTCTGGGTTGTCCATCTGTCTAAGAATTTGGTTGTCTTTAGTACCCATTTAAATATTGTATTGGTATTATAATGGGAATGCAGTCAAGAGGTTAAAGGTCAGGTGTCGATGCCACAGTTGTTTCCCTGAACAGTAGGCCCTGTGCATTTTGATATATCGTCGGTGGGGTGACAAAACCTCGTATCTCAAAAATCATGAATTTTCAGGAGAGCGCAAAAACCTTTCCTGTCTCAACAGATTTAGTGCTGTGACACCGTCCTTTGTTTGGAATTTGTGAAAAAACCGAGACAGGAGGCATTCCATGGATTTATCAGGTGGTGTCGTAGGCCATTAGGTACAAAATTATGCAAAAAGATCAAAATCTCAAAAAATTGAGATACAAGGTTTTGTCACCCCACCGACGATATAGATCACAATATTTGAATCATGAAAAACATTTATAAGCCATGAAAAAAGGGGGGGGGGGAGAAGAAAATAACAAAAAAACATACAAGCATGTGCTGATTACTATTGAGATGATTTCCAGGTTGAGATGAAAGTGATGTTAGTCATTTATATATTAGGTATCTTGACCTTTATTTTTTTGGGGGGGAGGAGGTCAAAGGAACTGAGGCAGATAATGTTAAACATCATAATGCAATATACCATCTAACAACACTTAAAAAAAGACTTTATAGCCTTAAATACTGAATTACATGAGTTGATCATTCAAGAAATGACAAGCTTATTTGCATATTCAAAATTATAATGGGATTATAAAGATTAAACTCTTGGGCAACATATTTTTAAGTGAGGGATCTAAGGTTATCATTAACATTCATAGGGTGGCATATTGGAAAAACAGTCATTTACATTTATTCAATTTTTTATCACATTTTTCTATATCTTTTGTTTCATAATTTTGCATTTCATTCTTTTGGGGTTTTGATCCATTCTTCTCACATTTCGGTCTTTTAATTTCCTTCCTTCATAGTTTCCAAACATCATTCATATTTATTGCAAATTACAAACTACAACGAATGTTTGCTTTTCACACATTTACCATTCACAACCTTACCGACATTGCCAAAAAGATTGAGAATACTATTACAATGAGGTTGTTTTGCTCAATCTTGAGAAGGTTCTGTTCAACCTTTTGACGTAGACATAAACATAGTTTAATTATTTGCAAATTGGTTTGAGATTGGAAGAAAAGAGCCCCTGCAATACTTTCAAGAAAGTGATCGAACTTTGGTATTATAAAAAGGGTAGAAAGAATTTAATTGTTAATAAGAATACTTCTTGTTCTGTGGGTAGATGTCACAACTATAGGCTCTGACAGATATAGCATATTAATACCTCTAGTGATGATAACATATTAATAATGAAACCGTAACACTACCGGTACTACAAATATTGTAAAATATATATATAAAAACAAGTTCTAAACCTAACTAATTTTAGCACTTATTTTATTGATTGTTAATGAACCTGTTGAACTTTTGGATTCCTTTTCATGATCTTTCACTGAATTATATCGTCTATCATTGTTTACAACTTTTGCTTTAAGTAGATTTTCAGTCTAATTTTCAAACTTTCTATGGACTGAAGATCAACTTTGGGCAATCATCATGGATGAATGGCACTGTAAAACCAGATACAAGATCGTTTGGTCTTTTAAACTTTCAGCTGCAGGATTTCTTTTTGGAAGTGTGCAGTTCAGTGTTTGACTCATTTAATTTGCAGCATAAAGAAACTTTGAAGACCTATAGTCACAGGTTCTCACTAATTTGATACTATTTAGGTGTTTACCCACTATCAGGTGTTCTTTAATAGTCAAAGTCACAAGGAGTGGATTCATCTTTTAGGATGACCCGTAGGTTTTAATGTAATGTACTGTGCCCTCCACTAATCGCCCCTGAAAATATCATCACAAATTCCCCTCACACTCAAGATTGATGGCAAGCTAGAATTATTTTCCTGTAGGTCATAGTTGGTTGCCTAGGAGACCTATACGTAGGGGGGGGGGGGGGGGGGGGGGGGGTCGAACCCCCCCCCCCCCCCCCGGCTGGCTGAGTCGTTGCTTAATTTTTGTCGCGATTTATTTAAACACCCCCCCCCCCTCCCCCCCCCCCCCCCCTCCCTCGAAAAAATCCTGCGTACGCCCCTGCCTGTACACATTTAATTAGTAATTCCACCAAACCTGGTGCAGCAATTTATGATGCAGTGAACACATGGAAACAGATGACTGTTGTTTTGGCATAGTCTAGACCAAGATGAAAACTCTTGACAAAATTCATAGAAATGAAAGTTTCTGGTTTTTCAGTACCGGTATCCATAATCAAGTGTTTATCTCCTACTTGTTTGATCACTCACTTTTCCTATGACATTTCCACTTACTCCACCTACAATTTTGAATTACTCTTCTCTTTTGCATGACTAAAGAGCTTGTTCTAATCCTTCTTGTAACCCTTTCCATTCAGCCAAGCTCATTTCATTAGCTTAAATTTGATTCATCTAAAAATGTAAATAGAATAAAAAGACTGAAATAGGCTTGCTTTAGTAATGCTTGATGCTAGAAACTTGTCTTGAAACAAAGTGTTATTCAGCCAACGTTCATATTTTTTGCATTTTGAATGAGCTTGTAGTTTTCCTGTTTGCTTCTTTTAGAGGTTTAAGTTATCTTAAGCTAAAGGATGCTTAAAATTATGGCGTGGTGCTTTTGTTCCCTCTGGTTTCTAACCAGTAAGAGGGAGGCTATAAATAACTGCAGCTCATGTTTTTTTAAAGCAAACTTGAGTTAATCCTGGCTTTAACTTAGCCTGCTGATTTATGGAAAGCCAAGTGTCAGCCTGATTATTCCATAGAGATTACTTTATTGAAGTGAATAATCAATTTTTTGAAAAAATTTAATCATAAAATGGAAATGTGAAATTAATATCATGGTGAATTGATCGAACATGATATTATTCATTCAATTAGTAACAGGATTTTGATGATTTTAGGGATAGATACGCTGTCACTTAGTGCTTCAGGGATCAGCAGAACAACTCAACCCACTTTTTGAGGTTTATGATTGTTTGCTTTCAAGAATACTAGCCAAAATGATTAAATACATTCATGATATTTTTTGCACTCTCCTGGTCTTTCTTATTCTATGAATATGTTCGGTTAATTGTTTTTCTTGTATGAGATCCCTGAGTCTCACTTTCAAATTCACACCTAACCTTCTTCCACATTGGAAGGAATTGCTTCTTTAATGTCAAAGCAGAGTCATAGTAGGTTGTTACATGTTATGCTGGCCTAGGGCAGGTTATGGCCATATAGGGCAATTAAAATAAACATGTTGCCATTCACCTGCCCCATTTGGTCTTGCAGAATGACATCTCAGAATAATGTTTGAAATGAATGAATGAATTCTCATACAAATTTTGTTTTGTTTGTTGGAATGAAAGCAGTTATATAAAATTGTAATAAATTTGACCTGGATGCAACACTTTGCATGGCTTTGCATCGCTAGTGGTGTTCTGAATCGAATCTGTTATTTTATACAGGAAGTGATGGCAGGGCATTGTAAAATAAAGCAAAAACAAAACAACTTCAAACCAAAATAATATAATTTGTGGCACCCTTCATGAACTAATTGTTTCAGATTTAAACAATTGTTGTGAAGTTAAGGTGCATCAATTTTCATTGCAAACAATTTTGTTAGTCTCCATAATGCCTTGTACATAATGTCATTTCTTTTTTTCCCCTTCTCACTCATTTGATCTTTGTTCAGGCGGAGGCTAAAGAAGAGAGAGCAAAGCGCAGGCAACAAATGAAGGAGGAGAGAGAACATCTGAGGGAAAGTGCTACAAGTCCATCTCAGATAGGTACGACTTACGTTTTTTGTCCCTCTTTCCATTTGTCTTTTTGTATAACTTTCAACCCTAGTTTTACGGCTTTTCTCTTTTTTTGTCAAATATCTGAAACAGAAATTTAAAAAAGAGAGAATGAAGTATTATGAATTGTACTTCATTCATTCTGAACAATGTATTATTTTGTTATAGTAACCATGAACTATATTTCAATTTTACAGATTGGATACAAATGATACAGCAGTGAACATTAAATTATTTGCATGAAACCACAAAATTCATGAGTTCAAGAATTTATGAATAATCTTTTGAATGTGACTGGTATTTAATGAAACATTCTTTAGGTTGTTGTCACAAGCACATGGTGTTTACGTTATGTTTATTCCACAGAAACCAGGAGACAGAGGAGAGGGAGAAGTGAAGACGAAGGAGCCGAGAGCAAGCCTTACACCAAGCAGCAGCTCAAGGAACAGAAGCTCCAAGAGAAGCGACGAGAAGCCAAGCGCCAGCGCAGCCTCCTATCTCAGAGTGAAGACAGCCCTGCAGCACTGGACTCCAAACCCAGGAGGGAGACCGAGTGGACAGCCCCGCGTATCCTCAGACAGGACTTCCTCATCAAGAAGCGACGGGACTCCCAGATTCCTTTCCATCACCTGCTCACCTTGGACATGGCTTACAAGCAGCTTCTGAAGAAGAGTCAGCAGAGGACCAAGTTCATTGCTATGAGGGCGAGGGAAGAGAAAGAAGGCAAGAAGTCGTACAGCAGGTTTACCTTCCATGCTCCAGGCAAGAATGTCAGAAAGTCCAGATGGCTGCAAGCATCGGCAGAGCGGAAGAAGTGGAAGTCAGAGAGAGAAGCGCCATCCGCACCAGAGGCAGTTCTGGAAACGGTTGCTATGGATGAGGCTGAACAGCATGAGGAAGTGCAATGTGCCAATGAAGAGGATAGGCTGGAAATGATATCACCTACAAGCCCTGATGAAGCTCCTCCAGAACCTGAGGAAGACAGTAAGGGTGGCTCAAGATATGAATCTATCAAAAGTCCTGAAACTGAATTAGACATTGATCAATTTGGAAAGAGTAGTACGGATAAGGTTGATGAGCTAGAGCCAGAGAGAACTGATAATACGGTAGACAGTGATAGACTTAGCAGTGAGAATGTGGATATAGTACTCAAGGAGAAAACAGAAGCTGAAACAGGATCAGAGTTTGGAAAAGCCAGTGATGATACTGCCAATGACACCACTGATGTAAAGATGGAAGAAAACGAAACACTGAGGGTGTCTCCCAGTCAAGTAAACATTGGTGTCACTGATACTAAAGAATGTGATACTAGTTCGGACAAAGATAGAAATATTAAAGATGAAGAGATGGATGTGGCAACAGAAGAGAGGGTTACTCCAGAGGATCATCATGCTGAGGAGGATGCAAAGTTGGAGGAGGAGGAAAAAGAGGAACCACAAGAAAATGATGACATTGACAAAGAACAGGAAGTGGACAAAGAGGAAGAAGTACAAATCAGTACAAAAGATGATGAGAAGAATACTGATACACCTGCAGAAGACACAGTACCAACCTTTGTCGTGCTCGAGAGAGAAGAGATATCAAGCGAGGAAGGGGATTTTGATGACCCTGAGAGAGATATCACAGAGGAGCAGGTTTCTTCTGAAGATAAATCGGTGAAACTACCCTCCATATTCCAGCAGACTGAGGCAATATCTTCGGATGAAGAGCTTGATGAAATCATGCCATCTTCATCAGGGAAGGACAAGGCGGATAGGGATAGGGTAGAGGAGAAATCTGAAGGAGAGGTAGATGAAGAAATCCCACCCCTTGCAGAGGGAGAATCAATTACCAAACTCACTGAAGATATATCAGGAGATGAACTCTCTGATACTCAATCTGTAGAGAATCCACCAACTCCAACCATGGATGAACCGTCAGAGTTTGAAGGAATCAGAGAAGGGAGCAATGATGGACAGGCAACTATTCCCATAGTACTTGTTAGTAATCCTGGTGGGTCTGGTAAAAGTCTTGGACATAGCTATTCCACAGGATCATCAAGTGATGCAGAAGGAACCAGGACAAGGGAAAGCACTCCGAAAAGTGATGGAAAAATCCAAGAAAAGATTGAAGACAGCAGAAAAAAAGAAGAAATTGAAGAGGGAGAACTTGCAGAAATGGAAGAAGGGGAAGTTTCAGAGGAAAAGGAGCAGGCATCAGGTCGTGGGTCACGCTACAGGAACGTTAGTGGTCAAAGTGATCCTTCGGAGGAATCATCCGGGTATGGAAAGCGCCCACGTAGGAGAACCTTCTCCCCACATCAAGGCAAAGATGATGAGTACTTGTACTTTGGTCTTGGAAAGCGGACACGGCGACAGTCACCAACACCACCAGCCCAGTCTCCTACTCCTCCGACACAAGGAGCTGCCCAAAGGAAACCCCTCACCAGGGAACGTTCAAGATCTGGCGGGATGGCAGCTGGCCAGGCCAAAGACTCCCCAGGACCGGTCAAGGAGCAGGAGGAGAGGGTCCCTTCGGCCCCGACAGAGCGTCGATCATCCCGCTACTCCAGGAGAGTGTCACCTCCTAATAGGTACTCACCGAGCGAGCAGAGGGCAGCACCCAAGGGCAAAGGCCAAGGCGGTGTGACCCCACCATCTGCCCCATCGACATCATCGCCTTCACCCTCACCACATGACTCTGACCAACCCTCTGAACCCCAGCAACCACATCGTCACTTCACCCGACGGATGAGTGGGAGAGATGAGGAGAAGAGGAGGCCTCATCGCTATGAAGACATGTATTACTATGACAACAAGAGATCAAGAGGTAACACCAATCAAGCACCTGCTTCAGGTAAACCAGCGAGGAGGACATCAGGAGGAGAAGAAAGGAAAAGGAAGCGATAGATGATGAATTATAAATGAGAATCTGGGCAGCTCAAAAGTTCAAATTTATTGACATTCCATTGAAAACATGTTTAAATTTGATGTATAGGTTCTGTAGGATGTCAACAAACTTGTGCTTCTGATTCACATGAAACGTTCCTCTGATTCTGAGAGATTGCTCAATTAATTTGAAGGAAGAACTAAAGATCATTGACTACATGTACTTTTGAAAGCAAAAAAATGTACCTGTATTGCTGTTCTCATCAATTTGACAAAGGTACATGCATGTATACTTCATGGTGCAAATACAATGTACTTTATTTACATTAAACATGTGTATTGCACATGTGATTTTTGTTTTAATCGCATGGTATTGCATCGTTTTGTATATTCAGTATGTGCTTTGTAATGCTTTGTAATGTCTACAGGTACTTGTGTACACAATCTGGAGAACTTTTACAAGTTTCTTAAATATCATTTTGATTTTATTAAAAAAAAAGAAAATTCATGTTGGAGTGTCATGAAGTTTGATGTTTCTGAAATAGAATTGCCTTTTTTTATACATGTGATTGTATTCCAACTTTGTTAATTTGATGCCCTTGAAAAAGTAGTTCATCTTTCGTGTTTTGAAACCCTACTCAAATCACGAATTCTTTTAGATTTAACAAATAAAATTTCTCCAGTTGGTCATTATAAATAAAAATACCTGATTTGACAAATGCTATTATTCATATCAATTTTTAAATAAAAGCTGGAGCTCAATACTACCCTGAATTTAAATGCAAATATTCAAAATATAGGAAAAATATCCTTAATGTTCTGATGATCTATTACAACAAATGAAATTCTGTTTGGGAATCCTTTTGCAATGGCATCATTGTAAATCATTTTCATTCAATAATGTACAATTGACTGCATTTGAATATAACTTATTTCACATTTCTGTGAATAAAGAATTACCTCGTTATGCCTGGACTTACAATTTTTCTTGTGATGTGTCAAACTTCTTGGGAATCGATCATGAACAATTTTCCATTCTTTCTCAACTGAATCATGAAGTGTGCATGCATAATGTTTACTAACAGAATGTATAATTTGAGATAGATAAAATAATATAGATATACATGTACATGTATGCTTTGTTGGTCCTAGAATGTTGTTTAAATGTTGCAGATATGTGGATATATCTTGCGTCCCCCCCCCCCCCCTCTCATGAAGCAACAAATAATCCATGTACAGTAGAACCTTGTAAAAATGAAATCAAGATTTTATTTTTGTTTGTTTCATGGTCACATATTCTCTGCTGCTCTCAGATTCACCTCTAATCATACAAACGTAGACATATGAAATCAATTTGGAATTCTGGATATTTCAGGCCCAGTAAATACCTGTATGCTCAAATGTTGAATTTGCCTGTGCAACAAAGTACCCTATAAATGTGTAATGTTACACAATGTTACTGTGTTTTGTAAGATATTAAATATCATTTCAATGCAATTTTCTTTCGATGACTTCTTGCATTCATGTTGTTTTGTGAGAAATAGCAAAGAGGTAATCAAGAAATGTTCAGCGAAGATTTCTATCCGACATAATACATGTATTTTCAATTGTCATTGTTACTGGTTATGTTCATGAGTTAAGAATGTACAGTACAAATCCATGTACAGTACAAATGTACACAACAAATGCATGTACATGTATTGTGAAAAGGAAGAAAGACCGAAAGTGTGATTTGATAAAGGGGACTCAAAATTTGTTGAAGATTCTTGAGAAATGGAATGAGTGCAGTTGATTGCTAGCACTCTGAGAGAATGGATGGACGAATATATTTTGAGCTAAATAATGCAGTCGTGACATGAAATTTGAGAACTTCTTAGGGTGTATGGTTTGTGCATTGGCGTATCCAGTGGTGAAGGGCTGATCCTATCGAAATATGTGAGGACATTACAAACTTAATTGTTTGATTTGTGTATGAGTTGAGATGGTGTCTAAAATAACGTTGAAGGGACAATTACTACATGTATTGATATTAAAATAGATGAGAAATAATAAGTATTAATTGTAGGCATATTACCCAAATGAAACTATTTTAATCATCTCTATAAGCCCCTCACCCCCCCCCCCCCCGCACCACCACCCACTACCTCTGCTTGTGCTAGTGCCCAACTAAATTGAAAGAAATTAGGTAATACCTTTTTCTTCTTTTTTTAAAGCTTTTTTGCCTTTATTCAGATATTCATAATTATACAAAATGATGAATAGGAACAATTGTTCTTACAGTATAAACATACATGTAGTACATTGTTTCATACATTATAAACACAGACATATTTTAAAAATATTTTCCATAAGTTTCCAAACTATTATAGTACATACTCAATCAAGTGTACAAATTGTGCTACAATTCCTTTACAAAAGGTGACGGTAATACTTTATATCAATATTTTTTGATGCAACTTTATAAAAAGGAACAATTTTTACAACATATCTTCTATGCAAATTAATTAGTTCAATATAAATCAAGCAATCTGAACAAAGATTTTCTTATATAAACAAAAAGTATAAGGTGAAGGTGCTGCTTCATAACCCATGATAACAAAAAAAATTATATTTACATATAATGATATGGTGCATTTTTTGTTAACTCCTAGATTTCATTATAACTATTTGAGGGTCTTGTATCAGTGGAGGTCTGTAACTATACCGTTATTAAATAAATAAAAATATAAAAAACAAGCAAACAATGAGAGTAGATAAGTGTCCGGATCGATGAGAAAGTGAGGGAGTGAACAGGAATTACAATATATATACAATCAGTTCCCCTGCCTTAAGGGGTAACATTTTCCATTTTTGTCCTTTAATTTTGCTTTTTCATGTTCAACTTTTTTTTAGTTCTACAACCTTACTAGCTATGATGTTCCATCAAAAGGAGGACGAGCTATAGAAATACCAGGAGAGCGCCATCTAGTGCTGAGTGTTTGAGTGCAGGTGATTGATGGAATGTCTGTCCAGAATTGTGTTAAATTACGAAAAATCACTGTTGATAATGTCAATATTCTATTGATAATCTTCTGATCTAATCTAATCTCTCCCAAAATTGTTAACAATACCGATTATAGCACAATAGTTTGAAAATCATGTTCAATCTTTGATCGTACCCCCCTCTCCCCCCCCTCCCCTCCCCCCCCCCCCCCCCCCCCCCTCGTGGCTACGGGCCTGAATGGGGAGGCTGCATGGAATGGTATTATAGTCCTACAGCCAATATGACGTTCCTGTGCTCCCAAAAGCTTTAAAGATGAAGGCGAATTTTAACTGAAGAAGCTTTGACATCGCCGTTCTTTATATTTGTGCCAAATATAAGAGTGATAAAAATAAAATCCCGGTCGAGTCATTAACAGCATGAGCGCCCTCATTCGAGATAATTCTATGGCGATGATATCTTCTACATGTACTTTCGTATGGTTTTATAGTATAGTCTGACACCCCCACTATTATTTTTAATGATTGAATAAGAAATGGCAACAAAACGTTATTTCATGTACGGAGCAGTGGGGCCTACTATATGTCGACAAAACAATGGTTGTTATCTTTTTGTCATGAAATAAATGTATGAGAAAATTTAATTTAGAAACAGTATACGTAATTTATCGTCGCGGGCAAAGGAACGATATAAGTTCGCATCGGGGTCAACTTTTTCCAAGATATACCTGTATATCATAGTGACCGTATTGCTACTTCATAATCATTTAGTTAACCCTACACATATTTTACAAGCTCTAAAGTATTGCAAGTGAAACAAGTTGGATGAAATCAACGTGAACTTGACAAGTTTTCCCAGCAGGGGTGAAGATATGGGGTTACAAGAACCAAGGGATTCGATGGAATCTCCTCAAATACCAAGAAATCCGAACCGCTTTCTTAATCTTTACATGAATGTGTGAATGACTCGCGGAATTGCAATTTAAATTTCCTAATTTTCATTCAATTACCTTTCCACTTTGCAACTAGACATCGTCCTCCTTTTGATGGGACATCTAAGAAGGTAGTTAATTTGGGAAATTACATTTCTACATGGTCCGCATCGGCCACCTGCAATTTTCTTTGCCGGAGGCGCAGATGCCTGATTTAAAACCGTCGTCTGATTTTAAAATTGCGCGAAAAATTGGCGGGTGAATTGGAGAGACGCTCAATCGAGATCAAATTGTCAAAAATAGACCGTTAGAGTATCTTTCTGAAGACGAGAATGTGTTTTTGTACTCGTTAGGTCCTGCGTTAAGCAATTGTTTCAATTTATACCCTCATCAAAATAGTCTGTATTGCCATTGTGTCAAGGTAGCGCTCATTTATCAACAGTGACAGAAACGATTGTTTCGAAATTTGTTTAAACCTTTTTTTTGTGTAATATCACATTTATGAGACAACATGATATTTTCAGTCACCTCGCATTGAAATGGAAACTATATCTATATATTTTGAATAAAATTCATGTTTTTTTTCCTTATCCTCTGGCCAAATGAAACATACTTTCTCGCTCTCAGGGGAATTGCAATTATGGAAAAAGAAATGTGATCATTGTACTTTCGAAACAATTTAAAGAAACTAGGCTCACTCGAAAATTGCCCCGGGAAGAATTAGCTTTGTTTTTCGAAATAGAGCAGGCTATCACATTCTAGGTTTTCCTATGAATACCAGATAATTCTTTTCATGATATTTTTATATTCTTCTCAATTCTTCTCTTTCTTCCTCGTCTTCTTCTTCTTCTTTTTCTCATTCTTCTGTTCCTTCTTCTTCTCTTTCTTCTTTGTCTTTTTTCTTCTTCTTCTTCTTTATCTCTTTCTCCTTCTTATTCTTCTGCATCTTCTACTACTTCTTTTTTTTTCCTTCTCTTCTTCTCTTCTTTTTATCCCGGAGGGGTGCATTACTTACAATTTACCATATTTTTTCCTTCTGTATCCGGATGTTTTGTTGCAAGGGTTACAATCATTAATGAGGGTGTTGTTATATGCGTTACGTACAGTAATAGGTTTGGTAAATGGTTTTCGACAGTCCTGCGGTAGCGACTCTGTGGAACGGGGAGGAGCCCGGTAATTGGGCGCTTGGTTTGGGGTCAAAACCAGCCGACACTACCATGGCACGTAGAGAAAAAGAGATTGCAACGGCTGCGATGGAAGAGGAAAGGGGATGCAGGAAGAGGGGGCGAAAAGAGGAATATGGGGAGAGGAGAAGCGTGCATTATATTGATTGTTGATTGAAAGGGTGGGGGGCAAGGGATAGCTAGATAGAATCGATATAGATAGATAGATAGATAAACGGGTTAAATAGATAGATATATTATATATGGGTTCATAGATATATAGATATAGAGATAGGCGGGTAGATAGATAGGTCACTAATTAGGTAGATATATAGATAAATAGGTGAGAGAGAGAGAGAGAGAGAGAGAGAGAGAGGTTAAAGAAAACAAAAAGAAACCCAAACACCGGGGTAGTACATGTATATACCTTTCGTAAGAGTGAAACGAAATCATCAATACATTACTAAAACATGTCGATAATTTCAATATTTACGGTAATGACAACCAGCAAGGTTTGTTTCTCTTCGGTAATGCAAATTTGGCAGGCTTTTTATTTTGCAAGTTTCATGCCAAA